TGAGAGAGAGAGAGAGAGAGCTACTGAGAGAGAGAGAGGTATGGAGAGAGAGAGAGCTACTGAGAGAGAGAGAGAGAGAGGTACGGAAAGAGAGAGGTACTGAGAGAGAGAGAGCTACTTAGAGAGAGAGAGAGAGAAGTACGGAGAGAGAGAGCTACTGAGAGAGAGAGAGAGGTACGGAGAGAGAGAGCTACTGAGAGAGAGAGAGCTACTGAGAGAGCTACGGAGAGAGAGAGAGGTACGGAGAGAGAGAGAGAGGTACGGAGAGAGAGAGGTACTGAGAGAGAGAGAGAGCTACTGAGAGAGAGAGGTACACTGAGAGAGAGAGAGAGCTACTGAGAGAGAGAGAGAGCTACTGAGAGAGAGAGAGAGAGAGCTACTGAGAGAGAGAGAGAGGCTACTGAGAGAGAGAGAGGTACGGAGAGAGAGAGCTACTGAGAGAGAGAGAGGTACGGAGAGAGAGAGCTACTGAGAGAGAGAGAGAGGTACTGAGAGAGAGAGAGAGAGAGCTACTGAGAGAGAGAGAGAGCTACTGAGAGAGAGAGAGAGCTACTGAGAGAGAGAGAGAGAGCTACTGAGAGAGAGAGAGAGCTACCGAGAGAGAGAGGTACGGAGAGAGAGAGCTACTGAGAGAGAGAGCTACTGAGAGAGAGAGAGAGCTACTGAGAGAGAGAGAGGTATGGAGAGAGAGAGCTACTGAGAGAGAGAGAGAGGTACGGAAAGAGAGAGGTACTGAGAGAGAGAGAGAGAGCTACTTAGAGAGAGAGAGAGAGGTACGGAGAGAGAGAGCTACTGAGAGAGAGAGAGAGCTACTGAGAGAGAGCTACTGAGAGAGAGAGAGAGGTATGGAGAGAGAGAGCTACTGAGAGAGAGAGCTACGGAGAGAGAGAGAGAGAGCTACTGAGAGAGAGAGAGAGCTGCTGAGAGAGAGAGAGAGAGCTTCTGAGAGTATATATATATATATATATGTATATATACAGTGGGGCAAAAAAGTATTTAGTCAGCCTCCGATTGTGCAAGTTCTCCCACTTAAACTAATGACAGAAGTCTGTAATGTTCATCATAGGTTCACTTCAACTGTGAGAGACAGAATGTGAAAAAACATCCAGGAATTCACATTGTAGGATTTTTAAAGAATTTATTTGTAAATGATGGTGTAAAATAAGTATTTGGTCAATAACAAAATACTTTGTAATATAACCTTTGTTGGCAATAACAGGTCAAACGGTTACTATAGGTCTTTACCAGGTTTGCACACACAGTAGCTGGTATTTTGGCCCATTCCTCCATGCAGATCTTCTCGAGTGCAGTGAACACAGACTTTCAACTCCCTCCACAGATGTTCAATGGGGTTGAGGTCTGGAGACTGGCGAGGCCACTCCAGGACTTTCAAATGCTTCTTACGGAGCCACTCCTTCGTTGCCCGGGCGGTGTGTTTGGGATCATTGTCATGCTGGAAGACCCAGCCACGTTTCATCTTCAAAGCTCTCACTGATGGAAGGAGATTTTGGCTCAAAATCTCACGATACATGTTCCCATTAATTCTTTCCTTAACACGGATCAGTCGTCCTGTCCCCTTAGCAGAAAAACAGCCCCAAAGCATGATGTTTCCACCCCCATGCTTCACAGTAGGTATGGTGTTCTTGGGATGCAACTCGGTATTCTTCTTCCTCCAAACACGACGAGTTGAGTTTATACCAAACAGTTGTACTTTGGTTTCATCTGACCACATGACATTCTCCCAATCCTCTGCTGTATCATCCATGTGCTCTCTGGCAAACTTCAGACGGGCCTGGACATGCACTGGCTTCAGCAGGGGGACACGTCTGGCACTGCAGGATTTGATTCCCTGTCGTCGTAGTGTGTTACTGATGGTAACCTTTGTTACTTTGGTCCCAGCTCTCTGCAGGTCATTCACCAGGTCCCCCCGTGTGGTTCTGGGATTTTTGATCACCGTTCTCATGATCAGTTTGACCCCACGGGATGAGATCTTGCGTGGAGCCCCAGATCGAGGGAGATTATCAGTGGTCTTGTATGTCTTCCATTTTCTGATAATTGCTCCCACAGTTGATTTGTTCACACCAAGCTGCTTGCCTATTGTAGATTCACTCTTCCCAGTCTGGTGCAGGTCTACAATTCTTTTCCTGGTGTCCTTGGACAGCTCTCTGGTCTTGGCCATAGTGGAGTTTGGAGTCTGACTGTTTGAGGCTGTGGACAGGTGTCTTTTATACAGATGAGTTCAAACAGGTGCCATTAATACAGGTAACGAGTGGAGGACAGAAGAGCTTCTTAAAGAAGAAGTTACAGGTCTGTGAGAGCCAGAGAAGTGACCAAATACTTATTTTCCACCATCATTTACAAATAAATTCTTTAAAAATCCTACAATGTGAATTCCTGGATGTTTTTTCACATTCTGTCTCTCACAGTTGAAGTGAACCTATGATGAACATTACAGACCTCTGTCATTATTTTAAGTGGGAGAACTTGGACAATCGATATATATACATATATATATATATATATATATATATATATATATATATATATATATGTATATATATGTTGGTGTTGGTGTTGCAGTGCCACTCCTCACCACTGGGTGGCAGCTCTGGAACACTTCGCTCAGCAGCACGGAACACTGTCTCTTTGCAAAGGGTTCTCTGAGGGGGAACAGGGAGCAGGCCGGGGCCAGGTCTGCTCTGCTGTCACACTGCACACAAGGGAGGGGGGGGTTAGGTACCACAGGGTCAGGTACCACAGGGAGGGGGGTCTGCTCTGCTGTCACACTGCACACAAGGGAGGGGGGGGTTAGGTACCACAGGGTCAGGTACCAGGGGGGGGGAGGGGGGGTCCAGGTCTGCTGTCACTGCACACAAGGGAGGGGGGGGGGTTAGGTACCACAGGGTCAGGTACCACAGGGAGGGGGGTCTGCTCTGCTGTCACACTGCACACAAGGGAGGGGGGGTTAGGTACCACAGGGTCAGGTACCACACAGGGAGTTGGGGGCCACTGGAGAGAGTCCGGTACCACATAGATAGATAGATAGATAGATAGATAGATAGATAGATAGATAGATAGATAGATAGATAGATAGATAGATAGATAGATAGATAGATAGATAGATAGATAGATAGATAGATAGATACAGTAGATAAATGCTTTATTGTCAGATACAAGGATCCGAAATTTGTTTTGCAGTTCAGCAGCTCCGTAAAAATACAAACAAGACATACAGGTATAAAACAATTCACAAAGACATTATAAACAATTGTCCGCTCGCCATAACACACTTTGATTTTATGACTTAAGATCCTCGTTTAGCTTCAGGATGGACTGATGGACAAAGGAGTTCCTCAACCTGACTTTATTAAAATGTGGCACACGGTACCGCCGCCCTGATGGTAACAGCGCATATTCGAGGTTCAGAACATGGCCGGGGTCTGAAGTGATGTTCTTAGCCAGTCCCAGTGTGTTGCTATGGTATGCAGCCTCGTACAGTCCATCCAGGGGCTGTCCTACAATCTTTGAGCAGATTTTAATCAAGTGTCTCAGTCCAGATTTAGCAGTGACAGAGAGACAGCTGTACCACACAGCGTTACAGTACTGCAGGACACTGAGAATCACAGAAGTGAAGAACAGAAGCAACACCTGACGAGACGCTCCAAAAGACCGTAGTCTTTTTACAGATGAAGTCAATGTGGTGTTTCCAAGACAAGGAACAGTCTAAGACCACACCCAGATATTTGAATGACTCCACCTGTTTGATTGGCTCGTTGTTGATGATAGTGGGAGCTGTGGTTACTGGGTTTAAACTAAATACCACCTCCTCTGTTTTTTTGGTGTTTATTTCCAGAGCGTTGTTTTTGCTCCAAATCACAACCTTGTCTGTGCCCCGCTGGTGCAGCCCAGGACTGTCAGTATTTGACAGAAGGGTCACCAGGACCGTGTCATCCGAATATTTGAAGATGTGTTGATAGTTTGAAGTAGTTCGACAATCGTCGGTGTATATGGTGAACAACAGAGCTGAGCTTACACAGCCCTGGGGGGCTCCAACAGAGGTTGTGATGGCAGAGGAGAGTGTATCATTTACTTTGACCAGCTGGACTCTGTTGATGAGGAAAGATGCATACCAGTGAATCAGATAGGGATTAACTTCATGATGGGAGAGTTTCAAAATCAAAATGTCCGGTTTTATTGTATTGAAGGCAGATGAATAGTCCAGAAAGAGAGCTCTTGCGTAGTTGTTGGATTTGTCGAGGTGTTTGGTGATAGTGTGGATGAGGGAAGCAACAGCATCCTCGGTGCCACAACCTGTTTTATACGCAAACTGAAAAGGATCCAGTTTGGCACTAATTGAACTTTGAAGATGTTTTTTGCAAGATTCTCTCCAAGGCCTTCATAATGACTGAGGTTAGAGCAATGGGTCTGAAATCCTTGTGTACTTTTGGGCTTTGAGTTTTGGGAATGGGAATATGGGGAGAGCCCGGTACCACTGGGGGGAGTAAGGTACCATAAAAGCTAGGTACAACCAGTGGGGCTCAGGTACCACAGGAGCGAGTCCGGTACCAAAGAAAATACCTGTGGTACCTGCCTCTGACCCGTGGTACCGGACTCTGACCTGCGGTACCGGACTCTGACCGTACCGGACTCTGACCTCTGGTACCGGACTCCGGCACATACAATACTCTGACCTGTGGTACCGGACTCTGACTCGTGGTACCGGACTCTGACCTCTGGTACCGGACTCCGGCACATACAATACTCTGACATGTGGTACCTGACTCTGACCCATGGTACCTGACTCTGACCCATGGTACCGGACTCTGATCTGTGGTACCGGACTCTGACCCGTGGTACCGGACTCTGACCCATGGTACCGGACTCTGATCTGTGGTACCGGACTCTGACCCGTGGTACCGGACTCTGACCCATGGTACCGGACTCTGACCCGTGGTACCAGACTCTGGCCCGTGGTACCGGACTCTGACCTGAGGAGATGTCCAGCTGTCCCCAAACTCCTGAGGCGTTGATGCTTCGATGTTTTCTGGGCTCCGCATCTCGTTCACTGTTTTCAGGTCAAAGTTTCCACACAGACCCCTCAGCTTCCCCTGGACACACACACACAACTGTTACACACACACACACACACACACAACTGTTACACACACTCACACAAACTGTTACACACATACACAAAGGTTACACACACACACAACTGTTACACACACACACACACAACTATTACACCCACACACACACACACACAAACTGTTACACACATACACAAAGGTTACACTCACACAACTGTTACACACACACAACTGTTACACACATACACAATGGTTACACACACACACAACGCATACACACACACACACAACTGTTACACACACACAACTGTTATACACACACACAACTGTTACACACACACACACACAACTGTTAAACTGTTATACACACACAACTGTTATACACACACACAACAGTTACACACACACACAAACAACTGTTCAACTGCCATACACACACACACACAACGGTTACACATACACACACACATACACATACACAACAGTTACAGACACAGACATACAACTGCTGTGTGGCACAGGGGGAGGGTACCTGCCATCAGAGAGCGGGTACAGGGGTAGGGTACCTGCCATCAGGGCACAGGGGGAGGGTAGAGGGGGAGGGTACCTGCCATCAGAGGGAGGGTACAGGGGGAGGGTACCTGCCATCAGGGAACAGGGGGAGGGTACCTGCCATCAGGGAACAGGGGGAGGGTACCTACCATCAGGGGGAGGGTACAGGGAGAGGGTACCTGCCATCAGGGGGAGGGTACCTGCCAACAGGGGGAGAGTACCTGCCATCAGGGGGAGGGTACCTGCCATCAGAGGGAGGGTACAGGGGGAGGGTAGAGGGGGAGGGTAGAGGGGGAGGGTACCTGCCATCAGAGGGAGGGTACAGGGGGAGGGTACCTGCCATCAGGGAACAGGGGGAGGGTACCTGCCATCGGGGAACAGGGGGAGGGTACCTACCATCAGGGGGAGGGTACAGGGAGAGGGTACCTGCCATCAGGGGGAGGGTACAGGGGGAGGGTACCTGCCATCAGGGAACAGGGGGAGGGTACCTGCCATCGGGGAACAGGGGGAGGGTACCTACCATCAGGGGGAGGGTACCTGCCATCAGGGGGAGGGTACCTGCCAACAGGGGGAGAGTACCTGCCATTAGGGCACAGGGGGAGGGTACCTGCCATCAGGGAACAGGGGGAGGGTACCTACCATCAGGGGGAGGGTACAGGGAGAGGGTACCTGCCATCAGGGGGAGGGTACCTGCCAACAGGGGGAGAGTACCTGCCATCAGGGGGAGGGTACCTGCCATCAGAGGGAGGGTACAGGGGGATGGTACCTGCCATCAGGGAACAGGGGGAGGGTACCTGCCATCGGGGGGAGGGTACAGGGGGAGGGTACCTGCCATCAGAGGGAGGGTACAGGGGGATGGTACCTGCCATCAGGGAACAGGGGGAGGGTACCTGCCATCGGGGGGAGGGTACCTGCCATCAGGGGGAGGGTACCTGCCATCAGAGGGAGGGTACAGGGGGAGAGTACCTGCCATCAGGGGGAGGGTACTTGCCATCAGAGGGAGGGTACAGGGGGAGGGTTACCTGCCATCGGGGGGAGGGTACCTGCCATCAGGGGGAGGGTACCTGCCATCAGAGGGAGGGTACAGGGGGAGAGTACCTGCCATCAGGGGGAGGGTACTTGCCATCAGAGGGAGGGTACAGGGGGAGGGTACCTGCCATCAGGGGGAGGGTACTTGCCATCAGAGGGAGGGTACAGGGGGAGGGTACCTGCCATCAGGGGGAGGGTACTTGCCATCAGAGGGAGGGTACAGGGGGAGGGTACCTGCCATCAGGGGGAGGGTACCTGCCATCAGAGGGAGGGTACAGGGGGAGGGTACCTGCCATCGGGGACCGGCCTGGACGTGGACAGTGGTCTTGCGGTCCCAGAGAACCGTCAGGTCCTGGTCGTGGAAGTGGAAGACGGAGAAGATCCCGGCGGAGAAGAGGAACAGTCTCTGCCTGAGGTCCAGGACACTGGAGGCGCTCTAGAGCAGAGACAGTCAGGACCAATTCACATTCTGGTACTACACCTGGTACATCAGCTGGTACCGGTTTCCCCGAGTCGTCATCCAGAACCAGCAGCGTCGATCCCACACTGATGATGAGAGACTTCCTGCAGACCACGCCACGGTCCACACAGTCCAGGTTCTGAGCCGAGATACTGAGGGGAGTGTCCACCATGCTCTGAGGACAGGAGAGGTCTAAGGCAGGACTAAGGCAGGACTAAGGCAGGACTAAGGCAGGACTAAGGCAGGACTAAGGCAGGTCTAAGGCAGGTCTAAGGCAGGACTAAGGCAGGACTAAGGCAGGACTAAGGCAGGTCTAAGGCAGGACTAAGGCAGGACTAAGGCAGGACTAAGGCAGGACTAAGGCAGGTCTAAGGCAGGACTAAGGCAGGACTAAGGCAGGACTAAGGCAGGTCTAAGGCAGGACTAAGCCAGGTCTAAGGCAGGTCTAAGGCAGGTCTAAGGCAGGACTAAGGCAGGACTAAGGCAGGACTAAGGCAGGACTAAGGCAGGACTAAGGCAGGACTAAGGCGGGACTAAGGCAGGTCTAAGGCAGGACTAAGGCAGGACTAAGGCAGGACTAAGGCAGGTCTAACGCAGGTCTAAAGCAGGACTAAAGCAGGACTAAAGCAGGTCTAAAGCAGGTCTAAAGAAGGACTAAAGCAGGTCTAAAGCAGGTCTAAAGAAGGACTAAAGCAGGACTAAAGCTGTTGTGGTTTGCCTCCCCCGTGTGGTTTTGTTTTGTTTCAGGCATGGCTCCTGTTGGGTGTGGTCTTCGAGCAGGCACAGCTGTCTTCAGTTCCCTCATCACCACAGTACAAAGTCTCCAAGCTGATCTCCACTCATCGTCAGATTGTTCCGTCTTCCACCGTGGTGACTAGACCGTTTTTCCTTGCCTATGAGGGTTTTTGCTTTGTGACTTATTTTCTCATTTTTGATTTTTGTGTTCCTAGTTCCACTGCCTGCTCGAAGCCCCCCACTGGACCAAGCCTTGCCCTGTTTCCCTTCAGCCAAGCCTGCTGCACTTTTTGTTAATAAATATTTTTACTGCCCTTTTGCCGTCTGCTTTGAGGTCCTCTCATCTACCCTAACAAAAGCAGGTCTAAAGCAGAACTAAAGCAGGACTAAAGCAGGTCTAAAGCAGGTCTAAAGCAGGTCTAAAGCAGGTCTAAAGCAGGACTAAAGCAGGACTAAAGCAGGTCTAAAGCAGGTCTAATGCAGGTCTAAAGCAGGTCTAAAGCAGGTCTAAAGCAGGTCTAATGCAGGACTAAAGCAGGTCTAACGCAGGTCTAAAGCAGGACTAAAGCAGGACTAAAGCAGGTCTAAAGCAGGTCTAAAGAAGGACTAAAGCAGGTCTAAAGCAGGTCTAAAGAAGGACTAAAGCAGGACTAAAGCTGTTGTGGTTTGCCTCCCCCGTGTGGTTTTGTTTTGTTTCAGGCATGGCTCCTGTTGGGTGTGGTCTTCGAGCAGGCACAGCTGTCTTCAGTTCCCTCATCACCACAGTACAAAGTCTCCAAGCTGATCTCCACTCATCGTCAGATTGTTCCGTCTTCCACCGTGGTGACTAGACCGTTTTTCCTTGCCTATGAGGGTTTTTGCTTTGTGACTTATTTTCTCATTTTTGATTTTTGTGTTCCTAGTTCCACTGCCTGCTCGAAGCCCCCCACTGGACCAAGCCTTGCCCTGTTTCCCTTCAGCCAAGCCTGCTGCACTTTTTGTTAATAAATATTTTTACTGCCCTTTTGCCGTCTGCTTTGAGGTCCTCTCATCTACCCTAACAAAAGCAGGTCTAAAGCAGAACTAAAGCAGGACTAAAGCAGGTCTAAAGCAGGTCTAAAGCAGGTCTAAAGCAGGTCTAAAGCAGGACTAAAGCAGGACTAAAGCAGGTCTAAAGCAGAACTAAAGCAGGACTAAAGCAGGTCTAAAGCAGGTCTAAAGCAGGTCTAAAGCAGGTCTAAAGCAGGACTAAAGCAGGACTAAAGCAGGTCTAAAGCAGGTCTAAAGCAGGTCTAAAGCAGGTCTAAAGCAGGACTAAAGCAGGACAAAAGCAGGTCTAAAGCAGAACTAAAGCAGGACTAAAGCAGGTCTAAAGCAGGTCTAAAGCAGGTCTAAAGCAGGTCTAAAGCAGGACTAAAGCAGGACTAAAGCAGGTCTAAAGCAGGTCTAATGCAGGTCTAAAGCAGGTCTAAAGCAGGTCTAAAGCAGGTCTAATGCAGGACTAAAGCAGGTCTAAAGCAGGACTAAAGCAGGACTAAAGCAGGTCTAAAGCAGGACTAAAGCAGGACTAAAGCAGGACTAAAGCAGGTCTAAAGCAGGTCTAATGCAGGACTAAAGCAGGTCTAAAGCAGGACTAAAGCAGGTCTAAAGCAGGACTAAAGCAGGACTAAAGCAGGTCTAAAGCAGGTCTAAAGCAGGTCTAAAGCAGGACTAAAGCAGGACTAAAGCAGGTCTAAAGCAGGAATAAAGCAGGTCTAAAGCAGAACTAAAGCAGGACTAAAGCAGGACTAAAGCAGGTCTAAAGCAGGTCTAAAGCAGGTCTAAAGCAGAACTAAAGCAGGACTAAAGCAGGACTAAAGCAGGTCTAAAGCAGGACTAAAGCAGGTCTAAAGCAGGTCTAAAGCAGGTCTAAAGCAGGACTAAAGCAGGACTAAAGCAGGTCTAAAGCAGGTCTAAAGCAGGTCTAAAGCAGGACTAAAGCAGGTCTAAAGCAGGACTAAAGCAGGACTAAAGCAGGACTAAAGCAGGTCTAAAGCAGGACTAAAGCAGGTCTAAAGCAGGACTAAAGCAGGTCTAAAGCAGGACTAAAGCAGGACTAAAGCAGGTCTAAAGCAGGTCTAAAGCAGGTCTAAAGCAGGACTAAAGCAGGACTAAAGCAGGTCTAAAGCAGGAATAAAGCAGGTCTAAAGCAGAACTAAAGCAGGACTAAAGCAGGACTAAAGCAGGTCTAAAGCAGGTCTAAAGCAGGTCTAAAGCAGGACTAAAGCAGGACTAAAGCAGGACTAAAGCAGGTCTAAAGCAGGACTAAAGCAGGTCTAAAGCAGGTCTAAAGCAGGTCTAAAGCAGGACTAAAGCAGGACTAAAGCAGGTCTAAAGCAGGTCTAAAGCAGGTCTAAAGCAGAACTAAAGCAGGACTAAAGCAGGACTAAAGCAGGTCTAAAGCAGGTCTAAAACAGGACTAAAGCAGGACTAAAGCAGGTCTAAAGCAGGTCTAAAGCAGGTCTAAAGCAGGACTAAAGCAGGACTAAAGCAGGTCTAAAGCAGGACTAAAGCAGGTCTAAAGCAGGTCTAAAGCAGGTCTAAAGCAGGACTAAAGCAGGTCTAAAGCAGGTCTAAAGCAGGACTAAAGCAGGTCTAAAGCAGGTCTAAAGCAGGTCTAAAGCAGGACTAAAGCAGGACTAAAGCAGGTCTAAAGCAGGTCTAAAGCAGGACTAAAGCAGGTCTAAAGCAGGACTAAAGCAGGACTAAAGCAGGACTAAAGCAGGTCTAAAGCAGGACTAAAGCAGGTCTAAAGCAGGTCTAAAGCAGGACTAAAGCAGGACTAAAGCAGGTCTAAAGCAGGTCTAAAGCAGGACTAAAGCAGGTCGAAAGCAGAACTAGAGCAGGACTAAAGCAGGTCTAAAGCAGGACTAAAGCAGGTCTAAAGCAGGACTAAAGCAGGACTAAAGCTGGTCTAAAGCAGGACTAAAGCAGGTCTAAAGCAGGTCTAAAGCAGAACTAGAGCAGGACTAAAGCAGGTCTAAAGCAGGTCTAAAGCAGGTCTAAAGCAGGACTAAAGCAGGACTAAAGTACCTTGAGCAGTTGCACTCTGCAGGTCCCCACATAGTCGTAGAGAAAACCATCAAAGGTTCGGAAGTGACGGTCTCCGTACGAGGAGCACATGGAGGAACAGGGACGATACACACACTGGAAGGTCCCATGTTGACACACACTGCAGACACACAACACACACTGAGAGACCCAACACACACTGCAGACACACAACACACACTGAGAGACCCAACACACTGCAGACACACAACACACACTGAGACACACAACACACACTGAGACACACAACATACACTGCAGACACACAACACACACTGAGACACACAACACACACTGCAGACACACAACACACACTGAGAGACCCAACACACAATGCAGACACACAACACACACTGCAGACACACAGCACATACTGAGACACACAACATACACTGCAGAAACACAACACACACTGAGAGACACAACACACACTGCAGACACACAACACACACTGCAGAAACACAACACACACTGAGAGACACAAGCCACACTGCAGACACACAACACACACTGCAGACACACAACACACACTGAGACACACAGCACACACTGACACACACCACACACACTGCGATACACAACCCACACTAAGACACACAATTGTTACCATAGCTACAGTGTGTGTTGTTGGTAACAGTGGTGACAGTGTGTGGTGTTGTTGTCATAGCGACAGTGTGTGTTGTTGTTACCATAGCAACAATGTGTGTGTTGTTGTTACCATAGCGACAGTGTGTGTTGTTGTTACCATAGCGACAATGTTTGTGCCCGGGTAAATTGAACTGGGTTCTACGTAGAACTACTTTGAGCTAACTCACTTTGCACCTGTGGATACTGAAACTGTCAAAAAGATAATCATGAGTCTGAGCTCCTCCACATGTAGCCTGGATATATTGCCCTCTAGATTTTTTAAGTCTGTCCTGAGCATTTTCTTACCTTCACTGACACAAATAATAAACATGTCTCTTTTATCTGGAGCATTTCCTATGGCCCTGAAAACTGCAGTCATAAGACCTCTCCTGAAAAAGAGCAGTCTGGATCCTGCAGTACTTCAAAATGAACCGTCCCATATTGAATCTGCCATTTATTGGAAAAATCCATGAAAAAGTTGTCTACCTACAGCTTACTGAATTTTTAACAATGAATAATTCTTTTGATATGTTTCAGTCCGGCTTTAGACCCCACCACAGCACTGAGACTGCTCTCGTTAAGGTTACAAACGATATCCGGCTGAACACTGACGCAGGCAAAGTCTCAATCCTAATCCTGTTAGATCTAAGTGCTGCCTTTGACACCGTCGACCATGAGATCCTCTTACAGAGACTAGAGGACTGGGTTGGAGTCGCTGGCACCGCCCTAAGTTGGTTTAGGTCTTACCTTGAAGACAGGAAGTACGACCACATTAGTCCTGACTAGAACCAGGAAGTACGACCACATTAGTCCTGACTAGAACCAGGAAGTACGACCACATTAGTCCTGACTAGAACCAGGAAGTACGACCACATTAGTCCTGACTAGAACCAGGAAGTACGACCACATTAGTCCTGACTAGAACCAGGAAGTACGACCACATTAGTCCTGACTAGAACCAGGAAGTACGACCACATTAGTCCTGACTAGAACCAGGAAGTACGACCACATTAGTCCTGACTAGAACCAGGAAGTACGACCACATTAGTCCTGACTAGAACCAGGAAGTACGACCACATTAGTCCTGACTAGAACCAGGAAGTACAACCACATTAGTCCTGACTAGAACCAGGAAGTACGACCACATTAGTCCTGACTAGAACCAGGAAGTACGACCACATTAGTCCTGACTAGAACCAGGAAGTACGACCACATTAGTCCTGACTAGAACCAGGAAGTACGACCACATTAGTCCTGACTAGAACCAGGAAGTACGACCACATTAGTCCTGACTAGAACCAGGAAGTACGACCACATTAGTCCTGACTAGAACCAGGAAGTACGACCACATTTGTCCTGACTAGAACCAGGAAGTACGACCACATTAGTCCTGACTAGAACCAGGAAGTACGACCACATTAGCCCTGACTAGAACCAGGAAGTACAACCGCATTAGTCCTGACTAGAACCAGGAAGTACGACCACATTAGCCCTGACTAGAACCAGGAAGTACGACCACATTAGTCCTGACTAGAACCAGGAAGTACGACCACATTAGTCCTGACTAGAACCAGGAAGTACGACCACATTAGTCCTGACTAGAACCAGGAAGTACGACCACATTAGTCCTGACTAGAACCAGGAAGTACAACCACATTAGTCCTGACTAGAACCAGGAAGTACGACCACATTAGTCCTGACTAGAACCAGGAAGTACGACCACATTAGTCCTGACTAGAACCAGGAAGTACGACCACATTAGTCCTGACTAGAACCAGGAAGTACGACCACATTAGTCCTGACTAGAACCAGGAAGTACGACCACATTAGTCCTGACTAGAACCAGGAAGTACGACCACATTAGTCCTGACTAGAACCAGGAATACGACCACATTAGTCCTGACTAGAACCAGGAAGTACGACCACATTAGTCCTGACTAGAACCAGGAAGTACGACCACATTAGTCCGGTCCTCAGGTCTCTGCACTGGCTTCCTGTGGCTCAGAGAATAGACTTTAAAACAGCTCTGCTTGTTACAAGTCTCTCCATGGCCTCGCACCAAAATATATTAGTGACATGTTAGTCCCATATGAACCAGCCCGGACTCTGAGGAGCACAGGGACTGGACTCCTGCTGGGACTCTGAGGAGCACAGGGACTGGCCTCCTGCTGGGACTGTGAGGAGCACAGGGACTGGACTCCTGCTGGGACTCTGAGGAGCACAGGGACTGGACTCCTGCTGGGACTCTGAGGAGCACAGGGACTGGACTCCTGCTGGGACTCTGAGGAGCACAGGGACTGGCCTCCTGCTGGGACTCTGAGGAGCACAGGGACTGGCCTCCTGCTGGGACTCTGAGGAGCACAGGGACTGGACTCCTGCTGGGACTCTGAGGAGCACAGGGACTGGACTCCTGCAGGGACCCTGAGGAGCACAGGGACTGGACTCCTGCAGGGACTCTGAGGAGCACAGGGACTGGACTCCTGCTGGGACTCTGAGGAGCACAGGGACTGGCCTCCTGCTGGGACTCTGAGGAGCACAGGGACTGGACTCCTGCTGGGACTCTGAGGAGCACAGGGACTGGACTCCTGCTGGGACTCTGAGGAGCACAGGGACTGGACTCCTGCTGGGACTCTGAGGAGCACAGGGACTGGACTCCTGCTGGGACTCTGAGGAGCACAGGGACTGGCCTCCTGCTGGGACTCTGAGGAGCACAGGGACTGGACTCCTGCTGGGACTCTGAGGAGCACAGGGACTGGACTCCTGCTGGGACTCTGAGGAGCACAGGGACTGGCCTCCTGCTGGGACTCTGAGGAGCACAGGGACTGGACTCCTGCTGGGACTCTGAGGAGCACAGGGACTGGCCTCCTGCTGGGACTCTGAGGAGCACAGGGACTGGACTCCTGCTGGGACTCTGAGGAGCACAGGGACTGGACTCCTGCTGGGACTCTGAGGAGCACAGGGACTGGACTCCTGCTGGGACTCTGAGGAGCACAGGGACTGGACTCCTGCTGGGACTCTGAGGAGCACAGGGACTGGACTCCTGCTGGGACTCTGAGGAGCACAGGGACTGGACTCCTGCTGGGACTCTGAGGAGCACAGGGACTGGACTCCTGCTGGGACTCTGAGGAGCACAGGGACTGGCCTCCTGCTGGGACTCTGAGGAGCACAGGGACTGGACTCCTGCTGGGACTCTGAGGAGCACAGGGACTGGCCTCCTGCTGGGACTCTGAGGAGCACAGGGACTGGACTCCTGCTGGGACTCTGAGGAGCACAGGGACTGGCCTCCTGCTGGGACTCTGAGGAGCACAGGGACTGGACTCCTGCTGGGACTCTGAGGAGCACAGGGACTGGCCTCCTGCTGGGACTCTGAGGAGCACAGGGACTGGACTCCTGCTGGGACTCTGAGGAGCACAGGGACTGGACTCCTGCTGGGACTCTGAGGAGCACAGGGACTGGCCTCCTGCTGGGACTCTGAGGAGCACAGGGACTGGCCTCCTGCTGGGACTCTGAGGAGCACAGGGACTGGACTCCTGCTGGGACTCTGAGGAGCACAGGGACTGGACTCCTGCTGGGACTCTGAGGAGCACAGGGACTGGACTCCTGCTGGGACTCTGAGGAGCACAGGGACTGGACTCCTGCTGGGACTCTGAGGAGCACAGGGACTGGCCTCCTGCTGGGACTCTGAGGAGCACAGGGACTGGACTCCTGCTGGGACTCTGAGGAGCACAGGGACTGGACTCCTGCTGGGACTCTGAGGAGCACAGGGACTGGACTCCTGCTGGGACTCTGAGGAGCACAGGGACTGGCCTCCTGCTGGGACTCTGAGGAGCACAGGGACTGGCCTCCTGCTGGGACTCTGAGGAGCACAGGGACTGGACTCCTGCTGGGACTCTGAGGAGCACAGGGACTGGACTCCTGCTGGGACTCTGAGGAGCACAGGGACTGGCCTCCTGCTGGGACTCTGAGGAGCACAGGGACTGGACTCCTGTTAGTGCCCAGAGTCAGAACTAAACATGGGGAGGCTGCTTTTCAGATTCATGCTGCTAAAATCTGGAACAGTCTTCCTGAAGATGTGAGACAGGCCTCCTCTCTGACAATGTTTAAAACCAGGTTAAAGACAGTTCTGTTTAGCTGTGCTACAACTGAGGGATTTTAGCTCATTTCTTAATGCACCGTGGTTATTTATTTTTTAATTTAAGTTTTTATGGTTTTATTTTTTGTGTGTTTTTAAATGTTCTAATTGTAAGTAAGTAATCTTTATTCAGATACCACCTTTTCACTGCAGATCTGAGTCTCAAAGCGGTTTACAATTGTTATTTTTGGGCATTTGTCTCTCACTCCACACAGAGATGGGAGCGGGGCCAGTACAGGAGGCACATGCCAGAACTATTGTACATATTTTTAGTGGTAGGGGAAACCGGAGTACCCGGAGGAAACCTACGCAGACACGGGGAGAACATGCAAACTCCACTCAGAAAGGCCCTGGTCCGACCGGGATTCGAACCCAGGACCTTCTTGCTGAGAGGCGAGAGTGCTAACCACTCAGCCACCGTGCCGCCCAGTGTGTTTCTGGTGTTTGTTATGTGATGATTTGTGTATGTGTATGAAAGGCGCTCAACAAATAAACTTTGATTGGTTGATTGTTACCAGTGGTGACAGGGGGAGGAGACTCGGTCGCCGGGGAAATACTCCCTGCCCTTCCAAAGACAGGGACAGGCCGAGGGCTCGAAGCACTCCTCTCCGTGTTTCAGCAGCCTGCAGAGGACAAGACATGTAGGCAGGTTGTTTAGACCAGTGTCAGCTGCCAGAGAGAACACAGCAGCCTGCAGAGGACAAGACATGTAGGCAGGTTGTTTAGACCAGTGTCAGCTGCCAGAGAGAACACAGCAGCCTGCAGAGGACAAGACATGTAGGCAGGTTGTTTAGACCAGTGTCAGCTGCCAGAGAGAACACAGCAGCCTGCAGAGGACAAGACATGTAGGCAGGTTGTTTAGACCAGTGTCAGCTGCCAGAGAGAACACAGCAGCCTGCAGAGGACAGGACATGTAGGCAGGTTGTTTAGACCAGTGTCAGCTGCCAGAGAGAACACAGCAGCCTGCAGAGGACAGGACATGTAGGCAGGTTGTTTAGACCAGTGTCAGCTGCCAGAGAGAACACAGCAGCCTGCAGAGGACAGGACATGTAGGCAGGTTGTTTAGACCAGTGTCAGCTGCCAGAGAGAACACAGCAGCCTGCAGAGGACAAGACATGTAGGCAGGTTGTTTAGACCAGTGTCAGCTGCCAGAGAGAACACAGCAGCCTGCAGAGGACAGGACATGTAGGCAGGTTGTTTAGACCAGTGTCAGCTGCCAGAGAGAACACAGCAGCCTGCAGAGGACAGGACATGTAGGCAGGTTGTTTAGACCAGTGTCAGCTGCCAGAGAGAACACAGCAGCCTGCAGAGGACAAGACATGTAGGCAGGTTGTTTAGACCAGTGTCAGCTGCCAGAGAGAACACAGCAGCCTGCAGAGGACAGGACATGTAGGCAGGTTGTTTAGACCAGTGTCAGCTGCCAGAGAGAACACAGCAGCCTGCAGAGGACAAGACATGTAGGCAGGTTGTTTAGACCAGTGTCAGCTGCCAGAGAGAACACAGCAGCCTGCAGAGGACAAGACATGTAGGCAGGTTGTTTAGACCAGTGTCAGCTGCCAGAGAGAACACAGCAGCCTGCAGAGGACAAGACATGTAGGCAGGTTGTTTAGACCAGTGTCAGCTGCCAGAGAGAACACAGCAGCCTGCAGAGGACAGGACATGTAGGCAGGTTGTTTAGACCAGTGTCAGCTGCCAGAGAGAACACAGCAGCCTGCAGAGGACAGGACATGTAGGCAGGTTGTTTAGACCAGTGTCAGCTGCCAGAGAGAACACAGCAGCCTGCAGAGGACAGGACATGTAGGCAGGTTGTTTAGACCAGTGTCAGCTGCCAGAGAGAACACAGCAGCCTGCAGAGGACAAGACATGTAGGCAGGTTGTTTAGACCAGTGTCAGCTGCCAGAGAGAACACAGCAGCCTGCAGAGGACAAGACATGTAGGCAGGTTGTTTAGACCAGTGTCAGCTGCCAGAGAGAACACAGCAGCCTGCAGAGGACAAGACATGTAGGCAGGTTGTTTAGACCAGTGTCAGCTGCCAGAGAGAACACAGCAGCCTGCAGAGGACAGGACATGTAGGCAGGTTGTTTAGACCAGTGTCAGCTGCCAGAGAGAACACAGCAGCCTGCAGAGGACAGGACATGTAGGCAGGTTGTTTAGACCAGTGTCAGCTGCCAGAGAGAAACACAGCAGCCTGCAGAGGACAAGACATGTAGGCAGGTTGTTTAGACCAGTGTCAGCTGCCAGAGAGAACACAGCAGCCTGCAGAGGACAGGACATGTAGGCAGGTTGTTTAGACCAGTGTCAGCTGCCAGAGAGAACACAGCAGCCTGCAGAGGACAAGACATGTAGGCAGGTTGTTTAGACCAGTGTCAGCTGCCAGAGAGAACACAGCAGCCTGCAGAGGACAGGACATGTAGGCAGGTTGTTTAGACCAGTGTCAGCTGCCAGAGAGAACACAGCAGCCTGCAGAGGACAAGACATGTAGGCAGGTTGTTTAGACCAGTGTCAGCTGCCAGAGAGAACACAGCAGCCTGCAGAGGACAGGACATGTAGGCAGGTTGTTTAGACCAGTGTCAGCTGCCAGAGAGAACACAGCAGCCTGCAGAGGACAGGACATGTAGGCAGGTTGTTTAGACCAGTGTCAGCTGCCAGAGAGAACACAGCAGCCTGCAGAGGACAGGACATGTAGGCAGGTTGTTTAGACCAGTGTCAGCTGCCAGAGAGAACACAGCAGCCTGCAGAGGACAAGACATGTAGGCAGGTTGTTTAGACCAGTGTCAGCTGCCAGAGAGAACACAGCAGCCTGCAGAGGACAAGACATGTAGGCAGGTTGTTTAGACCAGTGTCAGCTGCCAGAGAGAACACAGCAGCCTGCAGAGGACAGGACATGTAGGCAGGTTGTTTAGACCAGTGTCAGCTGCCAGAGAGAACACAGCAGCCTGCAGAGGACAAGACATGTAGGCAGGTTGTTTAGACCAGTGTCAGCTGCCAGAGAGAACACAGCAGCCTGCAGAGGACAAGACATGTAGGCAGGTTGTTTAGACCAGTGTCAGCTGCCAGAGAGAACACAGCAGCCTGCAGAGGACAGGACATGTAGGCAGGTTGTTTAGACCAGTGTCAGCTGCCAGAGAGAACACAGCAGCCTGCAGAGGACAGGACATGTAGGCAGGTTGTTTAGACCAGTGTCAGCTGCCAGAGAGAACACAGCAGCCTGCAGAGGACAGGACATGTAGGCAGGTTGTTTAGACCAGTGTCAGCTGCCAGAGAGAACACAGCAGCCTGCAGAGGACAAGACATGTAGGCAGGTTGTTTAGACCAGTGTCAGCTGCCAGAGAGAACACAGCAGCCTGCAGAGGACAGGACATGTAGGCAGGTTGTTTAGACCAGTGTCAGCTGCCAGAGAGAACACAGCAGCCTGCAGAGGACAGGACATGTAGGCAGGTTGTTTAGACCAGTGTCAGCTGCCAGAGAGAACACAGCAGCCTGCAGAGGACAAGACATGTAGGCAGGTTGTTTAGACCAGTGTCAGCTGCCAGAGAGAACACAGCAGCCTGCAGAGGACAAGACATGTAGGCAGGTTGTTTAGACCAGTGTCAGCTGCCAGAGAGAACACAGCAGCCTGCAGAGGACAAGACATGTAGGCAGGTTGTTTTAGACCAGTGTCAGCTGCCAGAGAGAACACAGCAGCCTGCAGAGGACAGGACATGTAGGCAGGTTGTTTAGACCAGTGTCAGCTGCCAGAGAGAACACAGCAGCCTGCAGAGGACAGGACATGTAGGCAGGTTGTTTAGACCAGTGTCAGCTGCCAGAGAGAACACAGCAGCCTGCAGAGGACAAGACATGTAGGCAGGTTGTTTAGACCAGTGTCAGCTGCCAGAGAGAACACAGCAGCCTGCAGAGGACAGGACATGTAGGCAGGTTGTTTAGACCAGTGTCAGCTGCCAGAGAGAACACAGCAGCCTGCAGAGGACAAGACATGTAGGCAGGTTGTTTAGACCAGTGTCAGCTGCCAGAGAGAACACAGCAGCCTGCAGAGGACAAGACATGTAGGCAGGTTGTTTAGACCAGTGTCAGCTGCCAGAGAGAACACAGCAGCCTGCAGAGGACAGGACATGTAGGCAGGTTGTTTAGACCAGTGTCAGCTGCCAGAGAGAACACAGCAGCCTGCAGAGGACAAGACATGTAGGCAGGTTGTTTAGACCAGTGTCAGCTGCCAGAGAGAACACAGCAGCCTGCAGAGGACAGGACATGTAGGCAGGTTGTTTAGACCAGTGTCAGCTGCCAGAGAGAACACAGCAGCCTGCAGAGGACAAGACATGTAGGCAGGTTGTTTAGACCAGTGTCAGCTGCCAGAGAGAACACAGCAGCCTGCAGAGGACAGGACATGTAGGCAGGTTGTTTAGACCAGTGTCAGCTGCCAGAGAGAACACAGCAGCATGGACCCAGGCTGAGGTCAGAGGTCACAGACACAGGTCACATGTGTTTCTCCTGAGCCTCTTGTTTCAGAGGAGTAATGGGCCCAGTGCAGACAGAGAGAGGCCTCCTCTGGGTGAGGGTGACCCTGGCGGGTGAGACTGAGACTGACCAGGGCGGGTGAGGTAAAGAGTGACCCAGGCGGGTGAAGCAAAGAGTGACCCAGGCGGGTGAGACTGACCCTGGCGGGTGAGCGTAAGAGTGACCCTGGCGGGTGAGGGTAAGAGTGACCCAGGCGGGTGAGGTAAAGAGTGACCCTGGCGGGTGAGGTAAAGAGTGACCCTGGCGGGTGAGACTGACCCTGGCGGGTGAGCGTAAGAGTGACCCTGGCGGGTGAGGGTAAGAGTGACCAGGGCGGGTGAGCGTAAGAGTGACCCTGGCGGGTGAGGGTGAGACTGACCCTGGCGGGTGAGACTGACCCTGGCGGGTGAGGGTAAGAGTGACCAGGGCGGGTGAGCGTAAGAGTGACCCTGGCGGGTGAGGGTGAGACTGACCCTGGCGGGTGAGACTGACCCTGGCGGGTTAGGGTAAGAGTGACCAGGGCGGGTGAGGTAAAGAGTGACCCTGGCGGGTGAGGTAAAGAGTGACCCTGGCGGGTGAGCGTAAGAGTGACCCTGGCGGGTGAGGGTGAGACTGACCCTGGCGGGTGAGACTGACCCTGGCGGGTTAGGGTAAGAGTGACCAGGGCGGGTGAGGTAAAGAGTGACCCTGGCGGGTGAGGTAAAGAGTGACCCTGGCGGGTGAGACTGACCCTGGCGGGTTAGGGTAAGAGTGACCAGGGCGGGTGAGGTAAAGAGTGACCCTGGCGGGTGAGGTAAAGAGTGACCCTGGCGGGTGAGACTGACCCTGGCGGGCAGGTGCATCCAGACACACAGGGCTCGTGGGCGGAGCAGGTCAGGTTGAGCAAGTAGGACTCACAGGTACGCTCACAGGCCACACCCCTCTGTGACATCACAGGGGCGTCCGAACAGTTCAGGAAGATCTGACCCACGGGACACAGGCCGTCTGAGGAGACACACACACACACAGAGACACACAGACACACACACACACAGAGACACACAGACACACACACACACAGAGACACACAGACACACACACACAGAGACACACAGACACACACACACAGACACACACACACACACACAGAGACACACAGACACACACACACACAGAGACACACAGACACACACACACAGAGACACACACACACACACACACAGAGACACACAGACACACACACAAACACACACACACTCACACACACACTCACACAGACACACACACAGAGACACACAGACACACACACACACACAGACACACACACACACACAGAGACACACAGACACACACACACAGAGACCCACACACACAGAGACACACAGACACAGAGACACACAGACACACGCAGAGACACACAGACACACACACACAGAGACACACAGACACACACACACAGAGACACACACACACACACACAGAGACACACAGACACACAGACACACACACACAGAGACACACACACACACACACAGAGACACACAGACACACACACACACACACACAGAGACACACAGACACACAGAGACACACACACAGAGACACACACACACACACACACACACACACACAGAGACACACAGACACACACACACACAGAGACACACAGACACACACACACAGAGACACACACACACACACACACAGAGACACACAGACACACACACAAACACACACACACTCACACACAGAGACACACAGACACACACACAGAGACACACAGACACACACACACACACAGACACACACACACACACAGAGACACACAGACACACACACACACACAGAGACCCACACACACAGAGACACACACACACACAGAGACCCACACACACAGAGACACACAGACACACACACACACACACAGAGACACACACAGAGACACACAGACAGACACACACACACACACAGAGACACACACAGACACACACACACAGAGACACACACACACACAGACACACACACAGAGACACACACACACACAGACACACAAACACAGACACAGAGACACACACACAGACACACACACACACACACATTGTATCCCATTCTCTGGTGATTCTTGGTGATAAACGACTAACCCCCCCCCCAACATCGGCTCTAACTCCTCTAGAGTGGACCATGAACTCACCGCTCGCTGGACTCTGAGACACCAGTTTCCCGTCTACACACAACCTGCAGGAGACAGATCCCAGATATGAGAGAGAGACCAGAGAGAGAGACCAGAGAGAGACCAGAGAGAGACCAGAGAGAGACCAGAGAGAGACCAGAGAGAGACCAGAGAGAGACCAGAGAGAGACCAGAGAGAGACCAGAGAGAGAGACCAGAGAGAGACCAGAGAGAGAGACCAGAAAGAGAGACCAGAGAGAGAGACAAGAGAGAGACCAGAGAGAGACCAGAGAGAGACCAGAAAGAGAGACCAGTGAGAGAGAGACAAGAGAGAGACCAGAGAGAGACCAGAGAAAGACCAGAGAGAGACCGGAGAGAGACCAGAGAGAGAGACCAGAGAAAGACCAGAGAGAGACCAGAGAGAGAGACCAGAGAGAGACCAGAGAGAGAGACCAGAGAGAGACCAGAGAGAGACAAGAGAGAGACCAGAGAGAGACCAGAGAGAGAGACCAGAGAGAGAGACCAGAGAGAGACCAGAAAGAGAGACCAGAGAGAGAGACAAGAGAGAGACCAGAGAGAGACCAGAGAAAGACCAGAGAGAGACCGGAGAGAGACCAGAGAGAGAGACAAGAGAGAGACCAGAGAGAGACCAGAGAGAGACCAGAGAGAGAGACCAGAGAGAGACCAGAGAGAGACCAGAGAGAGAGACAGAGAGAGACCAGAAAGAGAGACCAGAGAGAGAGACAAGAGAGAGACCAGAGAGAGACCAGAGAGAGAGACCAGAGAGAGAGACCAGAGAGAGACCAGAAAGAGAGACCAGAGAGAGAGACCAGAGAGAGACCAGAGAAAGACCAGAGAGAGACCGGAGAGAGAGACCAGAGAAAGACCAGAGAGAGACCAGAGAGAGACCAGAGAGAGACCAGAGAGAGAGACAAGAGAGAGACCAGAGAGAGACCAGAGAGAGAGACCAGAGAGAGACCAGAGAGAGAGACCAGAGAGAGACCAGAGAGAGACCAGAGAGAGACCAGAGAGAGAGACAGAGAGAGAGACCAGAGAGATACCAGAGAGAGACCAGAGAGAGACCAGAGAGAGACCAGAGAGAGACCAGAGAGAGAGACCAGAGAGAGAGACCAGAGAGAGAGACCAGAGAGAGACCAGAGAGAGACCAGAGAGAGAGACCAGAGAGAGACCAGAGAGAGAGACCAGAGAGAGACCAGAGAGAGACCAGAGAGAGAGACAAGAGAGAGACCAGAGAGAGAGACAAGAGAGAGACCAGAGAGAGACCAGAGAAAGACCAGAGAGAGACCGGAGAGAGACCAGAGAGAGAGACCAGAGAAAGACCAGAGAGAGACCGGAAAGAGACCAGAGAGAGACCAGAGAGAGACCAGAAAAACACACAACACAGAAACAGTTCTTACTGAACACCTGCTGACGTCATGATCACGTCTCCAGGATCATAGTCTGCTCCCAGGAAACTGCAGGGACACTCACTCCTGAGACACACAAACACACACATCAACACACACAGACAGACAGACACACACACAGATGCACACACACACACACACACACATCAACACACACAGACAGACAGACACACACACAGATGCACACACACACACACACACACACATCAACACACACAGACACAGAGACACAAAGTTTGGCTCAGGTTACATGCTGCTGGACGATGTGTGTGTCTGAGTGTGTGTGTGTGTGAGTGTGTGTGTGTGTGTCTGTCTGAATGCGTGTGTGTCTGTCTGAATGCGTGTGTGTGTGTGTGTGTGAGTGTGTGTGTGTGAGTGTGTGTGTGTCTGTCTGAATGCGTGTGTGTGTCTGTCTGAATGTGTGTGTGTGTCTGTGTGTGGGTGTTTGTGTGTGTGCATCTGCGTGTATGTGTGTGTGTGTATCTTGTGTGTTACCGTTGCACACATGTGCGGCTGCGGTGGTTGTAGTAGGTTCCTTCTGGACACACACAGCCCTCTTCGCACTCGTCTGAACACGACAACGACAGAGAAGAACATCGACGCAAACACGAAGACACACAAGGACCGTAGAGCATTGAGTACGGACACACAACCTCTGAAACACACACAAACAATGTAGAGCATTGAGTACGGACACACAACTTCTGAAACACACACACAAGGACCATAGAGCATCGAGTACGGACACACAACCTCGGAAACACACACTCACAATGTAGCGCATCGAGGTCGGACAATGTTTGAGTGTGCTCTAACCTACACTCTGGAGGTTAGCTCTAACTTACCGCAGTCGGGAAGGTTAGCTCTAACCTACACTCTGGAGGTTAGCTCTAACTTACCACAGTCGGGAAGGTTAGCTCTAACCTACACTTTGGAGGTTAGCTCTAACTTACCACAGTCGGGAAGGTTAGCTCTAACCTACACTTTGGAGGTTAGCTCTAACTTACCACAGTCGGGAAGGTTAGCTCTAACCTACACTTTGGAGGTTAGCTCTAACTTACCACAGTCGGGAAGGTTAGCTCTAACCTACACTTTGGAGGTTAGCTCTAACTTACCACAGTCAGGGAGGTTAGCTCTAACCTACACTCTGGAGGTTAGCTCTAACTTACCACAGTCGGGAAGGTTAGCTCTAACCTACACTCTGGAGGTTAGCTCTAACTTACCACAGTCAGGGAGGTTAGCTCTAACCTACACTTTGGAGGTTAGCTCTAACTTACCACAGTCGGGAAGGTTAGCTCTAACCTACACTCTGGAGGTTAGCTCTAACTTACCACAGTCAGGGAGGTTAGCTCTAACCTACACTCTGGAGGTTAGCTCTAACTTACCACAGTCGGGAAGGTTAGCTCTAACCTACACTTTGGAGGTTAGCTCTAACTTACCACAGTCAGGGAGGTTAGCTCTAACCTACACTCTGGAGGTTAGCTCTAACTTACCACAGTCGGGAAGGTTAGCTCTAACCTACACTCTGGAGGTTAGCTCTAACTTACCACAGTCAGGGAGGTTAGCTCTAACCTACACTTTGGAGGTTAGCTCTAACTTACCACAGTCGGGAAGGTTAGCTCTAACCTACACTCTGGAGGTTAGCTCTAACTTACCACAGTCAGGGAGGTTAGCTCTAACCTACACTCTGGAGGTTAGCTCTAACTTACCACAGTCGGGAAGGTTAGCTCTAACCTACACTCTGGAGGTTAGCTCTAACTTACCACAGTCAGGGAGGTTAGCTCTAACCTACACTCTGGAGGTTAGCTCTAACTTACCACAGTCAGGTAGGTTAGCTCTAACCTACACTCTGGAGGTCAGCTCTAACTTACCACAGTCGGGGAGGTTAGCTCTAACCTACACTCTGGAGGTTAGCTCTAACTTACCACAGTCAGGAAGGTTAGCTCTAACCTACACTCTGGAGGTTAGCTCTAACTTACCACAGTCGGGAAGGTTAGCTCTAAACTACACTCTGGAGGTTAGCTCTAACTTACCACAGTCGGGAAGGTTAGCTTTAACCTACACTCTGGAGGTTAGCTCTAACTTACCACAGTCGGGAAGGTTAGCTCTAACCTACACTCTGGAGGTTAGCTCTAACTTACCGCAGTCGGGAAGGTTAGCTCTAACCTACACTCTGGAGGTTAGCTCTAACTTACCACAGTCGGGAAGGTTAGCTCTAACCTACACTCTGGAGGTTAGCTCTAACTTACCACAGTCGGGAAGGTTAGCTCTAACCTACACTCTGGAGGTTAGCTCTAACTTACCACAGTCGGGAATGTTAGCTCTAACCTACACTCTGGAGGTTAGCTCTAACTTACCACAGTCAGGTAGGTTAGCTCTGACCTACACTCTGGAGGTTAGCTCTAACTTACCACAGTCAGGGAGGTTAGCTCTAACCTACACTCTGGAGGTTAGCTCTAACTTACCACAGTCGGGAAGGTTAGCTCTAACCTACACTCTGGAGGTTAGCTCTAACTTACCACAGTCAGGGAGGTTAGCTCTAACCTACACTTTGGAGGTTAGCTCTAACTTACCACAGTCGGGAAGGTTAGCTCTAACCTACACTCTGGAGGTTAGCTCTAACTTACCACAGTCAGGGAGGTTAGCTCTAACCTACACTCTGGAGGTTAGCTCTAACTTACCACAGTCGGGAAGGTTAGCTCTAACCTACACTCTGGAGGTTAGCTCTAACTTACCACAGTCGGGAAGGTTAGCTCTAACCTACACTCTGGAGGTTAGCTCTAACTTACCACAGTCAGGTAGGTTAGCTCTGACCTACACTCTGGAGGTCAGCTCTAACTTACCACAGTCGGGGAGGTTAGCTCTAACCTACACTCTGGAGGTTAGCTCTAACTTACCACAGTCAGGAAGGTTAGCTCTAACCTACACTCTGGAGGTTAGCTCTAACTTACCACAGTCGGGAAGGTTAGCTCTAACCTACACTCTGGAGGTTAGCTCTAACTTACCACAGTCGGGAAGGTTAGCTTTAACCTACACTCTGGAGGTTAGCTCTAACTTACCACAGTCGGGAAGGTTAGCTCTAACCTACACTCTGGAGGTTAGCTCTAACTTACCGCAGTCGGGAAGGTTAGCTCTAACCTACACTCTGGAGGTTAGCTCTAACTTACCACAGTCGGGAAGGTTAGCTCTAACCTACACTCTGGAGGTTAGCTCTAACTTACCACAGTCGGGAAGGTTAGCTCTAACCTACACTCTGGAGGTTAGCTCTAACTTACCACAGTCGGGAATGTTAGCTCTAACCTACACTCTGGAGGTTAGCTCTAACTTACCACAGTCAGGGAGGTTAGCTCTAACCTACACTCTGGAGGTTAGCTCTAACTTACCACAGTCGGGAAGGTTAGCTCTAACCTACACTCTGGAGGTTAGCTCTAACTTACCACAGTCAGGGAGGTTAGCTCTAACCTACACTCTGGAGGTTAGCTCTAACTTACCACAGTCGGGAAGGTTAGCTCTAACCTACACTCTGGAGGTTAGCTCTAACTTACCACAGTCGGGAATGTTAGCTCTAACCTACACTCTGGAGGTTAGCTCTAACTTACCACAGTCAGGGAGGTTAGCTCTAACCTACACTCTGGAGGTTAGCTCTAACTTACCACAGTCGGGAAGGTTAGCTCTAACCTACACTCTGGAGGTTAGCTCTAACTTACCGCAGTCGGGAAGGTTAGCTCTAACCTACACTCTGGAGGTTAGCTCTAACTTACCACAGTCGGGGAGGTCAGCTCTAACTTACCACAGTCGGGGAGGTCAGCTCTAACTTACCACAGTCGGGGAGGTCAGCTCTAACTTACCGCAGTCGGGGAGGTTAGCTCTAACTTACCACAGTCGGGGAGGTCAGCTCTAACTTACCACAGTCGGGGAGGTCAGCTCTAACTTACCACAGTCGGGGAGGTCAGCTCTAACTTACCGCAGTCGGGGAGGTCAGCTCTAACTTACCGCAGTCGGGGAGGTCAGCTCTAACTTACCACAGTCGGGGAGGTTAGCTCTAACTTACCACAGTCGGGGAGGTTAGCTCTAACTTACCACAGTCGGGGAGGTCAGCTCTAACTTACCGCAGTCGGGGAGGTCAGCTCTAACTTACCGCAGTCGGGGAGGTTAGCTCTAACTTACCACAGTCGGGGAGGTCAGCTCTAACTTACCGCAGTCGGGGAGGTCAGCTCTAACTTACCACAGTCGGGGAGGTTAGCTCTAACTTACCACAGTCGGGGAGGTTAGCGCTAACTTACCACAGTCGGGGAGGTCAGCTCTAACTTACCGCAGTCGGGGAGGTCAGCTCTAACTTACCCCAGTCGGGGAGGTTAGCTCTAACTTACCACAGTCGGGGAGGTCAGCTCTAACTTACCCCAGTCGGGGAGGTCAGCTCTAACTTACCGCAGTCGGGGAGGTTAGCTCTAAAGTCCACGGTCACGCCGCGCTGGCGACACAGTCGAGCGTAATGAGCCAGAGCGGCGCAGACGCAGGAGGCTCCGCAGCGACAGGCCTCAGCTCTGCACTGCTGCAGGAACACAGCAGGACTCAGCACCCCGTGGCACCTGGAGAAATCCTCCTGAAGAAGCACCGAGCACCTCTCTGTGGCATAGGGGCCTGGGGAGGGAGGAGGGGAGGAGGGAGGGAGGGAGGGGAAGGAGGGAGGGAGGGGAGAGAGGAGGAGGGAGGGGAGAGAAGAGCAGGAGGAGGAGGGAGGGAGGGAGGGAGGGAGGGAGGGGAGAGAGGAGCGAGGATGAGGGGGAGGGAGGCAGGGGAGAGACGAGCGAGAAGGAGGGGGAGGGAGGCAGGGGAGAGAGGAGCGAGGAGGAGGGGGAGGGAGGGAGGGAGGCAGGGGAGAGAGGAGCGAGGAGGAGGGGGAGGGAGGCAGGGGAGAGAGGAGCGAGAAGGAGGGGGAGGGAGGCAGGGGAGAGAGGAGCGAGGAGGAGGGGGAGGGAGGGAGGGAGGCAGGGGAGAGAGGAGCGAGGAGGAGGGGGAGGGAGGCAGGGGAGAGAGGAGCGAGAAGGAGGGGGAGGGAGGCAGGGGAGAGAGGAGCGAGGAGGAGGGGGAGGGAGGGAGGGAGGCAGGGGAGAGAGGAGCGAGGAGGAGGGGGAGGGAGGGAGGGAGGCAGGGGAGAGACGAGCGAGAAGGAGGGGGAGGGAGGCAGGGGAGAGAGGAGCGAGGAGGAGGGGGAGGGAGGGAGGGAGGCAGGGGAGGGAGGAGGAGGGGGAGGGAGGGAGGGAGGCAGGGGAGAGAGGAGCGAGAAGGAGGGGGAGGGAGGGGGGGAGGCAGGGGAGAGAGGAGCGAGAAGGGGGGGGGAGGGGGGGGGGGAGGGAGGGGAGAGAGGAGCGAGAAGGAGGGGGAGGGAGGGAGGGAGGGAGGGAGGGAGGGGGGGAGAGAGGAGCGAGGAGGAGGGGGGAGGGAGGGAGGGAGGCAGGGGAGAGAGGAGCGAGGAGGAGGGGGAGGGAGGGAGGGAGGCAGGGGAGAGAGGAGCGAGAAGGAGGGGGAGGGAGGGGGGGGAGGGAGGGAGGGAGGGGAGAGAGGAGCGAGAAGGAGGGGGAGGGAGGGAGGGGAGGGAGGGGAGAGAGGAGCGAGGAGGAGGGGGAGGGAGGGAGGGAGGCAGGGGAGAGAGGAGCGAGAAGGAGGGGGAGGGAGGGAGGGAGGCAGGGGAGAGAGGAGCGAGGAGGAGGGGGAGGGAGGGGAGGGAGGCAGGGGGAGAGGAGCGAGCGAGGGGGGGGAGGGGGGGGAGGGAGGGAGGGAGGGGGAGAGAGGAGCGAGAAGGAGGGGGAGGGAGGGAGGGAGGGAGGGGAGAGAGGAGCGAGAAGGAGGGGGAGGGAGGGAGGCAGGGGAGAGAGGAGCGAGAAGGAGGGGGAGGGAGGGAGGTAGGGAGGGAGGGAGGTAGGGAGGGGAGAGAGGAGCGAGAAGGAGGGGGGAGGTAAATATCAGAGAAACATTAATGCATGAAAAAGATGTATTTGTTTGGTGCAGTGATCCCGGCAGGAGCCAGAGGAGGAGCCAGAGGAGGAGCCAGAGGAGGAGCCAGAGGAGGAGCCAGAGGAGGAGCCAGAGCAGGAGCCAGAGCAGGAGCCAGAGGAGGAGCCAGAGGAGGAGCCAGAGGAGGAGCCAGAGCAGGAGCCAGAGGAGGAGCCAGAGGAGGAGCCAGAGGAGGAGCCAGAGCAGGAGCCAGAGCAGGAGCCAGAGCAGGAGCCAGAGGAGGAGCCAGAGGAGGAGCCAGAGGAGGAGCCAGAGCAGGAGCCAGAGGAGGAGCCAGAGGAGGAGCCAGAGGAGGAGCCAGAGGAGGAGCCAGAGCAGGAGCCAGGAGCTTGAGGAGGTGATTGGCTGAGGCCGGCAGAGCTGTGTGATTGGCTGAGGCTGGACGGGTGAGAGCTGTGGCTGGTCTTTCAGTCTGAATTTGCGCTTCAGCTTCATAAGTACGCTGTGGGGAGGAGGGGGAGGAGGGGGAGGAGGGGGAGACTCACCGCTCTGCTGGTGTGAGTCACAGGGGTCGCTGTGGGGGAGGAGGGGGAGGAGGGGGAGACTCACCGCTCTGCTGGTGTGAGTCACAGGGGTCGCTGTGGGGGAGGAGGGGGAGGAGGGGGAGACTCACCGCTCTGCTGGTGTGAGTCACAGGGGTCGCTGTGGGGGAGGAGGGGGAGGAGGGGGAGACTCACCGCTCTGCTGGTGTGAGTCACAGGGGTCGCTGTGGGGGAGGAGGGGGAGGAGGGGGAGACTCACCGCTCTGCTGGTGTGAGTCACAGGGGTCGCTGTGGGGGAGGAGGGGGAGGAGGGGGAGACTCACCGCTCTGCTGGTGTGAGTCACAGGGGTCGCTGTGGGGGAGGAGGGGGAGGAGGGGGAGACTCACCGCTCTGCTGGTGTGAGTCACAGGGGTCGCTGTGGGGGAGGAGGGGGAGGAGGGGGAGACTCACCGCTCTGCTGGTGTGAGTCACAGGGGTCGCTGTGGGGGAGGAGGGGGAGGAGGGGGAGACTCACCGCTCTGCTGGTGTGAGTCACAGGGGTCGCTGTGGGGGAGGAGGGGGAGGAGGGGGAGACTCACCGCTCTGCTGGTGTGAGTCACAGGGGTCGCTGTGGGGGAGGAGGGGGAGACTCACCGCTCTGCTGGTGTGAGTCACAGGGGTCGCTGTGGGGGAGGAGGGGGAGGAGGGGGAGACTCACCGCTCTGCTGGTGTGAGTCACAGGGGTCGCTGTGGGGGAGGAGGGGGAGGAGGGGGAGACTCACCGCTCTGCTGGTGTGAGTCACAGGGGTCGCTGTGGGGGAGGAGGGGGAGGAGGGGGAGACTCACCGCTCTGCTGGTGTGAGTCACAGGGGTCGCTGTGGGGGAGGAGGGGGAGGAGGGGGAGACTCACCGCTCTGCTGGTGTGAGTCACAGGGGTCGCTGTGGGGGAGGAGGGGGAGGAGGGGGAGACTCACCGCTCTGCTGGTGTGAGTCACAGGGGTCGCTGTGGGGGAGGAGGGGGAGGAGGGGGAGACTCACCGCTCTGCTGGTGTGAGTCACAGGGGTCGCTGTGGGGGAGGAGGGGAGGAGGGGGAGACTCACCGCTCTGCTGGTGTGAGTCACAGGGGTCGCTGTGGGGGAGGAGGGGGAGGAGGGGGAGACTCACCGCTCTGCTGGTGTGAGTCACAGGGGTCGCTGTGGGGGAGGAGGGGGAGGAGGGGGAGACTCACCGCTCTGCTGGTGTGAGTCACAGGGGTCGCTGTGGGGGAGGAGGGGGAGGAGGGGGAGACTCACCGCTCTGCTGGTGTGAGTCACAGGGGTCGCTGTGGGGGAGGAGGGGGAGGAGGGGGAGACTCACCGCTCTGCTGGTGTGAGTCACAGGGGTCGCTGTGGGGGAGGAGGGGGAGGAGGGGGAGACTCACCGCTCTGCTGGTGTGAGTCACAGGGGTCGCTGTGGGGGAGGAGGGGGAGGCTGGAGCTGCATCCTGACGACAGCTTCCAGGAGTTCCCAAACAGCTGAGGTGTGCTCTCCACCATCCCAGAAGGAGACCTGCAGGAGGGGAGGGATCAGACCGAACCGGACCCAGACCAGGATCAGAACCACCCCGAACCAGACCCAGACCAGGAGCAGAACCACCCCGGACCACACCTAGACCAGGAGCAGAACCACCCCAAACCGGACCCAGACCAGGAGCAGAACCACCCCGGACCACACCTAGACCAGGAGCAGAACCACCCCAAACCGGACCCAGACCAGGAGCAGAAACACCCCGAACCGGACCCAGACCAGGATCAGAACCACCCCGAACCCAGACCCAGACCAGGAGCAGAACCATCCCGGACCACACCCAGACCAGGAGCAGAACCACCTTGAACCAGACCCAGACCAGGAGTAGAACAGACTCTCATCAAAGTGTGATAGAAAAGACCAGAGAGAGACTAGAGAGAGAGACCAGAGAGGGACCAGAGAGAGACCAGAGAGAGACCAGAGAGAGACCAGAGAGAGAGACCAGAGAGAGACCAGAGAGAGAGGCCAGAGAGAGACCAGAGAGAGAGACCAGAGAGAGACCAGAGAGATAGACCAGAGAGAGACCAGAGAGAGACACCAGAGAGAGACCAGAGAGAGACCAGAGAGAGACCAGAGAGAGACCAGAGAGAGACACCAGAGAGAGACCAGAGAGAGACCAGAGAGAGACCAGAGAGAGACTAGAGAGAGAGAGACCAGAGAGGGACCAGAGAGAGACCAGAGAGGGACCAGAGAGAGACCAGAGAGGGACCAGAGAGAGACCAGAGAGAGACTAGAGAGAGAGACCAGAGAGGGACCAGAGAGAGACCAGAGAGAGACCAGAGAGAGACACCAGAGAGAGACCAGAGAGAGACCAGAGAGAGACCAGAGAGAGACTAGAGAGAGAGACCAGAGAGGGACCAGAGAGAGACCAGAGAGGGACCAGAGAGAGACCAGAGAGGGACCAGAGAGAGACCAGAGAGGGACCAGAGAGAGACCAGAGAGAGAGACCAGAGAGAGACCAGAGAGATAGACCAGAGAGAGACCAGAGAGAGAGACCAGAGAGAGACCAGAGAGATAGACCAGAGAGAGACCAGAGAGAGACACCAGAGAGAGACCAGAGAGAGACCAGAGAGAGACCAGAGAGGGACCAGAGAGAGACCAGAGAGAGACCAGAGAGAGACCAAAGGAGACCAGAGAGAGACCAGTTCTGGATCTGGTCTCTTTCTGGTCTCTCTCTGGTCTCTCTCTGGTCTCTCTCCATCCCTAACTGGATCTGGATCTGGACCTCGACCTGGATCTGGACCTGGACCTGGATGAGTCCTCTGAGGCGACTGCTGTTCTGGTTTAGGCCTGATGTCCTTAAAGGGCCCATATGACGGTTTTTGACTTTTCTCTGCTTTAAACATGATTACAATGCTATTTGGCCTTCATACACAAGCCCACAGTAGTTTATTCATTGATTCTGTCAATCTTTTGTAAGAGAACAATCTGTCTCCTTCCCCAGCGTGAGGCACAGAAACGCTCGGGTCCACTTCAGTGACGAAAACCACACTGATGACGCGCATGACCCCGTTTGCTTTGTATTTAAAATAGTTGTTAAATACTTTTGTCAAAACGGGGTAAACAATACACAATTAGTATGCTGTTTTTTGTCAAAAATAATAAAAATAAAAATAAATTAAAAGGCGGCGGGAGGTGATTGACGGATCAAAACAGCGAATCAGAGCGCACAGGCTCCGGCTCCCGAGTCCAGCGTCTGTGGTCTGGTCTCGCGGACACCACATAGAGCTGCTGTTTTTATGCTTTTGTCAGAAACTAAAAGTGTTAGGATCACGTCAACTTGAATGAAGTGTGTTATGGGTGTAAATATGTGACACACTATTTGGCCCTAAGAGGAAGAAAGCGGCTCGACTTTTTTCATCTGTTCATCTCATGGATCTATTATAATACCGGTTCATCTGCGACACTTCACTGAGACTGTTCCAGAACTACAGGGACAATGGAACTGGACTTACTCAAAGGCTGATCTGGAAACACGTTATTCCCACGGTAAAAGACGTAACTCGGACCCCCTCGATCTGTAAGTAGTGACGCTAACTCGCTGTATACTTCTGTAAACTAAATAACTAGGGTCTGATTGTGCATCGAGGACATAGGGCTCGATGTGACGGATTGTCATTGTTGGAAAAAGTTTATTCTTATGTATGAAATTACTAAGTACAGGTGATAAACGACAAAAGCGTGATGCTACGTCAGCGTGCGGGCGGGGGGAGGCGGGTGAGGGCGGGGGAGGCGGGTGAGGGCGGGGGGAGGCGGGTGCGGGCGGGGGGAGGCGGGCCCACAGGCAGAGGAGCAGACTCTTCTCTGGATCAGCTCGTTTGAGTCGAGGTGACGTCACCTCTATACAAGAGATGGCTCTAATCTCACAAGCTTTGATTGTTGTGTGGTGTATCATACACATTAATATCACACATGTGTAGAGGATTGAGTGTGAAACATGAAGAAAAGCCTGATATAGGACCTTTAAAGTAAAGTGTGTTTCTAAGCTCCATTAGAGCTCGTCCTCTGTGATCCCATTAGAGCTGCTGCAGACCTGGCTCAGACCCGGTTCAGACCTGGTTCAGGCCCGTTTCAGACCTGGTTCAGATCTGGTTCTGCAGAACAGTTGGCTCCTTGTTGAGAGTGCGTGGCCTCCGTTAAAGCCCTGCTCACAGTGTGCATTACCCTCAGGCCTCAGCGTGCAGTCTGACACCAGAGCTGAGATCAAAGCATCTGCAGGCCCCCAGACCAGCCCGGGACTAAACACGGACTAAACACAGACTAAACATGGACTAAACATGGACTAAACACAGACTAAACATAGACTAAACACAGAGTAAACATGGACTAAACACGGACTAAACACAGACTAAACACAGACTAAACATGGACTAAACACAGACTAAACATGGACTAAACACGGACTAAACACAGACTAAACATGGACTAAACATGGACTAAACACAGACTAAACATGGACTAAACACGGACTAAACACAGACTAAACATGGACTAAACATGGACTAAACACGGACTACAGACTGTAGCTGCGCTCACATGACCCTCTCAGATTGTAGCTGCGCTCACATGACCCTCTCAGACTGTAGCTGCGCTCACATGACCCTCTCAGACTGTAGCTGCGCTCACATGACCCTCTCAGACTGTAGCTGCGCTCACATGACCCTCTCAGACTGTCTCAATCTGGTCTTAAACTCACAGGAAGTCGTCCTGGTTGTTCCCGTTGAAGGTCCCACATAGTCCCAGCGTGTCCTGGAGCCAGCGCTGGTCTAGCTGCAGGTAAAGCCTGGACTCAGACCAGGAGTACTGCAGCCGGAGCCCAAAGACTGTCTTCACCTGGACAAACATGGAGGACAGCTCCTGCACCTCCACAGCCTCTGAGGACAGAGAGTACAGCGTCATGCGACATCACCTTCTCCACACGCTCCTGTTGTCGTGGTTACCGTCAGAGTAGGGCAGAGAGATGCGGTACTGTCCTCCCAGAAACACCTCTCCCCCATGGGTCAGGGTCAGCTCTGTCCTGGGGTCTTCATCCAGCACCAGACTGACCGACTGCAGACAGGCTCCATCCAGGTTCTAAGCACAAACACACTCACAGTGACAGGGTCCCTGCGCACGCTGCATCCGTGACAGCTGTGAGCTGTAAATACTGTAGATACAGTCTGCAGTAGAGTTACAGTACTGTAAATACTGTAGATACAGTCTGCAGTAGAGTTACAGTACTGTAAATACTGTAGATACAGTCTGCAGTAGAGTTACAGTACTGTAAATACTGTAGATACAGTCTGCAGTAGAGTTACAGTACTGTAAATACTGTAGATACAGTCTGGAGTAGACAGTTACAGTACTGTAAATACTGTAGATACAGTCTGCAGTAGAGAGTTACAGTACTGTAAATACTGTAGATACAGTCTGCAGTAGAGTTACAGTACTGTAAATACTGTAGATACAGGTTCCAGTAGAGAGTTACAGTACTGTAAATACTGTAGATACAGTCTGCAGTAGAGTTACAGTACTGTAAATACTGTAGATACAGTCTGCAGTAGAGTTACAGTACTGTAAATACTGTAGATACAGTCTGCAGTAGAGTTACAGTACTGTAAATACTGTAGATACAGTCTGCAGTAGAGTTACAGTACTGTAAATACTGTAGATACAGTCTGGAGTAGACAGTTACAGTACTGTAAATACTGTAGATACAGTCTGCAGTAGAGAGTTACAGTACTGTAAATACTGTAGATACAGTCTGCAGTAGAGTTACAGTACTGTAAATACTGTAGATACAGGTTCCAGTAGAGAGTTACAGTACTGTAAATACTGTAGATACAGTCTGCAGTAGAGTTACAGTACTGTAAATACTGTAGATACAGTCTGCAGTAGAGTTACAGTACTGTAAATACTGTAGATACAGTCTGCAGTAGAGTTACAGTACTGTAAATACTGTAGATACAGTCTGCAGTAGAGTTACAGTACTGTAAATACTGTAGATACAGTCTGCAGTAGAGTTACAGTACTGTAAATACTGTAGATACAGTCTGCAGTACAGAGTTACAGTACTGTAAATACTGTAGATACAGTCTGCAGTAGAGTTACAGTACTGTAAATACTGTAGATACAGTCTGCAGTAGAGTTACAGTACTGTAAATACTGTAGATACAGTCTGCAGTACAGAGTTACAGTACTGTAAATACTGTAGATACAGTCTGCAGTAGAGAGTTACAGTACTGTAAATACTGTAGATACAGTCTGCAGTAGAGAGTTACAATACTGTAAATACTGTAGATACAGTCTGCAGTAGAGAGTTACAGTACTGTAAATACTGTAGATACAGTCTGCAGTACAGAGTTACAGTACTGTAAATACTGTAGATACAGTCTGCAGTAGAGTTACAGTACTGTAAATACTGTAGATACAGTCTGCAGTAGAGTTACAGTACTGTAAATACTGTAGATACAGTCTGCAGTAGAGTTACAGTACTGTAAATACTGTAGATACAGTCTGCAGTAGAGTTACAGTACTGTAAATACTGTAGATGCAGTCTGCAGTGCTGGAGGAGGTGATGGAGGAGGTGATGGAGGAGGTGCTGGAGGAGGTGATGGAGGAGGTGATGGAGGAGGTGATGGAGGAGGTCATGGAGGAGGTGATGGAGGAGGTGCTGGAGGAGGTGCTGGAGGAGGTGATGGAGGAGGTCATGGAGGAGGTGATGGAGGAGGTGCTGGAGGAGGTGCTGGAGGAGGTGATGGAGGAGGTGATGGAGGAGGTGCTGGAGGAGGTGATGGAGGAGGTGATGGAGGAGGTGCTGGAGGAGGTGCTGGAGGAGGTGATGCAGGAGGTGAGGAGGAGGTCATGGAGGAGGTGATGGAGGAGGTGATGGAGGAGGTCATGGAGGAGGTGATGGAGGAGGTGCTGGAGGAGGTGATGGAGGAGGTGATGGAGGAGGAGATGGAGGAGGTGATGGAGGAGGTGATGGAGGAGGTGATGGAGGAAGTCATGGAGGAGGTGATGGAGGAGGTGCTGGAGGAGGTGATGGAGGAGGTGATGGAGGAGGTGATGGAGGAGGTGCTGGACGAGGTGATGGAGGAGGTGATAGAGGAGGTGCTGGAGGAGGTGATGGAGGAGGTGATGGAGGAGGTGATGGAGGAGGTGACGGAGGAGGTGATGGAGGAGGTGATGAGGAGGTGATGGAGGAGGTGCTGGTGGAGGTCAACATCTGTGCAGGCAGCTTGGCTTTCCTGAGCTGCCGCAGGAAGTACATCCTCTGCTGGGCCTTCTTGATGAGGGAGCTGATGGTCGGCTCCCACTTGAGGTCCTGGGTGATGGTGGTGCCCAGGAAACGGAAGGACTCCACAGAGGTGATGGGGGAGTCCATCACGGAGGGTGGGGGTGGCGCGACAGTGCTCTTCCTGAAGTCCACAATCATCTCCACTGTCTTCTGGGCGTTCAGCTCCAGGTTGTTACCACTGCACCAGGACACCAGCCGGTCCACCTCCCTCCTGTAGGAGACACCAGGACACCAGCCGGTCCACCTCCCTCCTGTAGGAGACACCAGGACACCAGCCGGTCCACCTCCCTCCTGTAGGAGACACCAGGACACCAGCCAGTCCACCTCCCTCCTGTAGGAGACACCAGGACACCAGCCGGTCCACCTCCCTCCTGTAGGAGACACCAGGACACCAGCCGGTCCACCTCCCTCCTGTAGGAGACACCAGGACACCAGCCAGTCCACCTCCCTCCTGTAGGAGACACCAGGACACCAGCCGGTCCACCTCCCTCCTGTAGGAGACACCAGGACACCAGCCGGTCCACCTCCCTCCTGTAGGAGACACCAGGACACCAGCCGGTCCACCTCCCTCCTGTAGGCGGACTCATCGTTGTTGGAGATGAGTCCAATGAGGGTGGTGTCGTCCGCGAACTTGATCAGCTTCACGGAGTCGTGGCTGGAGGTGCAGTGGTTGGTGTACAGGGAGAAGAGCAGGGGAGAAAGAACACAGCCCTGTGGGGCTCCTGTATTTATAATCCGAGAGTCCGAGACATTCTTCCCCAGACGCACTCGCTGCTTCCTGTCCGTCAGGAAGTCAGTGATCCACCTGCAGGTGGAATCGGGCACGTTGAGCTGGGAGAGCTTGTCCTGGAGCAGGGATGGCAGGATTGTGTTGAAGGCAGAGCTGAAGTCCACGAACAGGACCCTGGCGTAGGTCCCCGGGGAGTCCAGGTGCTGTAGGATGTGGTGGAGGGTCAGGTTAATGGCGTCGTCTACAGATCTGTTGGCTCTGTAGGTGAACTGCAGGGGGTCCAGGAGGGGGGAGGTGAGGGACTTGAGATGGGAGAGAACCAGGCGTTCAAATGACTTCATGACGACAGACGTAAGTGCTACAGGTCTGTAGTCATTGAGTCCTGTGATCCTGGGCTTCTTCGGGACGGGGACAATGATGGAGGATTTGAAGCAGGCCGGGACATGGCAGGACTGCAGAGAGGTGTTGAAAATGTCCGTGAACACAGGAGTAAGCTCACTGGGGCAGTGTCTCAGAGTGGCCGGAGACACGTGGTCCGGGCCAGGAGCTTTGCGGGGGTGCAGCCTCAGGAAGAGTTGTTTAATCTCTTTAGAGGCTATTGTTAGGCTGGGGGCAGGGCTGATGGGTGGGTCGTTAGAGTAGTGGGGGGTGGGGGAGGGAGAGGTGTCAGGGGCAGCATCAAAGCGACTGAAAAATAAGTTCAGATCGTCAGCTAGCTTGTGGTCGTCAGCACAGGAGGGGGCTTTGGGTTTGTAGTTGGTGATCTCTCGTAGGCCCCTCCAGACAGAAGCAGTATCGTTGTTACCAAACTGCTCCTGTAGTCGTTCTCTGTGCCGGGACTTGGCTGCTTTCAGTTCTTTCCTGAACTGATATTTAGCTGCTTTGTAGCCGCTGCGGTCCCCCTCCCTGAAAGCAGACTCCTTTGCTTTCCTGAGCTGCCGGAGTTTAGCAGTGAACCAGGGTTTGTCGTTGTTATAGATGACCCTGGTCCTTGTTGGAATGATGCTATCCTCACAGAAGTGAATGTATGACGTCACAGTGTCCGTATATTCATCCAAACTATCTGTGGCAGCTCTGAAAAGGTCCCAGTCTGTAGATTCCATGCATGCAGCTCTTCCACAGCTTCATCAGACCACACTTTGGAGCTCCTCATTGCAGGTTTCGAGAGCTTTAGTCTCTGTCTGTAAGCCGGGATCAGATGTATCATGGAGTGATACATTTATGTACAATGAACAATAACAAAACTGAACACAGATGTTATCTTTGTCCCTTTTGTCCCTGTCCCTGTGCTGTTATCTCTGTCCCTTTGTCCCTGTCCCTGTGCTGTTATCTCTGTCCCTGTCCCTGTGCTGTTATCTCTGTCCCTTTGTCCCTGTCCCTGTGTGAGAGCAGTGTCCCCAGCTGCTGCAGGATCGTCTTACACTCATTTTGTGGCGACGATCGTATCATGATGTAAACGCTTCATAATCTCAGGACACAGAGTCTGCTGGGTCCTAAAGAGTCAGAACCCCAGAGTCTGCTGGGTCCTAAAGAGTCAGAACCCCAGAGTCTGCTGGGTCCTAAAGAGTCAGAACCCCAGAGTCTGCTGGGTCCTAAAGAGTCAGAACACCAGAGTCTGCTGGGTCCTAAAGAGTCAGAACCCCAGAGTCTGCTGGGTCCTAAAGAGTCAGAACACCAGAGTCTGCTGGGTCCTAAAGAGTCAGAACACCAGAGTCTGCTGGGTCCTAAAGAGTCAGAACACAGAGTCTGCTGGGTCCTAAAGAGTCAGAACACCAGAGTCTGCTGGGTCCTAAAGAGTCAGAACACCAGAGTCTGCTGGGTCCTAAAGAATCAGAACCCCAGAGTCTGCTGGGTCCTAAAGAGTCAGAACACCAGAGTCTGCTGGGTCCTAAAGAGTCAGAACACCAGAGTCTGCTGGGTCCTAAAGAGTCAGAACACCAGAGTCTGCTGGGTCCTAAAGAGTCAGAACACCAGAGTCTGCTGGGTCCTAAAGAGTCAGAACACCAGAGTCTGCTGGGTCCTAAAGAGTCAGAACACCAGAGTCTGCTGGGTCCTAAAGAGTCAGAACACCAGAGTCTGCTGGGTCCTAAAGAGTCAGAACACCAGAGTCTGCTGGGTCCTAAAGAGTCAGAACACCAGAGTCTGCTGGGTCCTAAAGAGTCAGAACACCAGAGTCTGCTGGGTCCTAAAGAGTCAGAACACCAGAGTCTGCTGGGTCCTAAAGAGTCAGAACACCAGAGTCTGCTGGGTCCTAAAGAGTCAGAACACAGAGTCTGCTGGGTCCTAAAGAGTCAGAACACCAGAGTCTGCTGGGTCCTAAAGAATCAGAACCCCAGAGTCTGCTGGGTCCTAAAGAGTCAGAACACCAGAGTCTGCTGGGTCCTAAAGAGTCAGAACACCAGAGTCTGCTGGGTCCTAAAGAGTCAGAACACCAGAGTCTGCTGGGTCCTAAAGAGTCAGAACACCAGAGTCTGCTGGGTCCTAAAGAGTCAGAACACCAGAGTCTGCTGGGTCCTAAAGAGTCAGAACACCAGAGTCTGCTGGGTCCTAAAGAGTCAGAACACCAGAGTCTGCTGGGTCCTAAAGAGTCAGAACACCAGAGTCTGCTGGGTCCTAAAGAGTCAGAACACCAGAGTCTGCTGGGTCCTAAAGAGTCAAAAAGCACTGTCGGCAGCAGAGCATTTAGCTCCAAGCTCCTTTACTGTGGAATCAGCTTCATCTACGTTAAGGACGACAGTGGCCCAGTTGGTAGAGCATTGGCCTTTGAGCCTGAAGGTTGTGGGTTTGAGCCCGACCTTCACCATCGACTCCCACTGTCTACTGTTGTTGTGTCCTTGGGCAAGACACTTAACCTCTGGGAGCACCAGCCAAAGTGGGGCGGCTATGGCTGTAAAGTGCCAAACTGCAGTTGTGTCCTTAGGCAAGACACTTCACCCCCATTGCCTAGAATGAGTCTGGTGTGTGTGTGAATGGTTGGTGGTGGTGGGAGGGGCCGATGGCACAGACTGGTTGCCTCTCTTCTGTCAGTGTGCCCCAGGGCAGCTGTGGCTACAGCAGTAGTTTATCACCACCGTGTTTGGAGAGAGAGAATAATCATGTAAAGTGCTACATAAAACCAATGCATCATTATTATTATTATTAAGGAAACAGAGATAGAGAGGGAGTCAAAGAGAGATAGAGAGAGGGAGAGAGAGAGAGCGACAGAGAGAAAGAGAAAGGGAGAGAGAGAGAAAGACACACAGATAGAGATACTGTATATAGAGAAGGAGAGGGAGCGATACACAGAGACAGAGCGAAAGCGTTAGGAAGAGGATGAGAAAGAGAGATAGACAGAGAGAGGTGCAGTGGTGCAGTACACTCACGTGGCCACAGGGGGCGTTCTGGATGGTGACGGTGAAGCGGCTGGAGCTCAGGCTCTTGGACAGAACGTAGTGACAGGTCGCAGCGAAGGAGAAGTCTCTGCCGTCGAAGGAGTGGAAGAACATGTCCCCAGTCACAGAGCACTCAGCTGCAAACACATTTACTTATGTATCGCATCACAGGTCCTGGGTCTACAGCCTCAGTCCTGGGTCTACAGCCTCAGTCCTGGGTCCGCAGCCTCAGTCCTGAGTCTGCAGCCTCAGTCCTGGGTCTGCAGCCTCAGTCCTGGGTCTGCAGCCTCAGTCCTGGGTCTACAGCCTCAGTCCTGGGTCTGCAGCCTCAGTCCTGGGTCTACAGCCTCAGTCCTGGGTCTGCAGCCTCAGTCCTGGGTCTGCAGTCTCAGTCCTGGGTCTACAGCCTCAGTCCTGGGTCTACAGCCTCAGTCCTGGGTCCGCAGCCTCAGTCCTGAGTCTGCAGCCTCAGTCCTGGGTCTGCAGCCTCAGTCCTGGGTCTGCAGCCTCAGTCCTGGGTCTACAGCCTCAGTCCTGGGTCTGCAGCCTCAGTCCTGGGTCTACAGCCTCAGTCCTGGGTCTGCAGCCTCAGTCCTGGGTCTGCAGTCTCAGTCCTGGGTCTACAGCCTCAATCCTGGGTCTGCAGCCTCAGTCCTGGGTCTACAGCCTCAGTCCTGGGTCTACAGCCTCAGTCCTGGGTCTGCAGCCTCAGTCCTGGGTCTACAGCCTCAGTCCTGGGTCTACAGCCTCAGTCCTGGGTCTGCAGCCTCAGTCCTGGGTCTGCAGCCTCAGTCCTGGGTCTACAGCCTCAGTCCTGGGTCTACAGCCTCAGTCCGGGGTCTACAGTCTCAGTCCGGGGTCTACAGTCTCAGTCCTGGGTCTACAGTCTCAGTCCTGGGTCAGTCCTGGGTCTACAGCCTCAGTCCTGGGTCTGCAGCCTCAGTCCTGGGTCTGCAGCCTCAGTCCTGGGTCTACAGCCTCAGTCCTGGGTCTACAGCCTCAGTCCGGGGTCTACAGTCTCAGTCCTGGGTCTACAGGACTCACCAGGACAGGTGTCTTCAGTGCAGTTCCAGACTCCGCTCACACAGGTACTGCAGCACAGAGCACAGGTACAGAAGTCAAATGCATTCAGTCAGTCATATTTATTTATATACGCCATCCACAGTCACAGACACTGACTCTGACTTTGACACTGACTCTGACACTGACTCTGACTCTGACACTGACACTGACTCTGACACTGACACTGACTCTGACACTGACACTGACTCTGACACTGACACTGACACTGACTCTGACACTGACTCTGACTCTGACTCTGACACTGACTCTGACACTGACTCTGACTCTGACACTGACTCTGACACTGACTCTGACTCTGACACTGACTCTGACACTGACACTGACTCTGACTCTGACACAGACACTGACTCTGACACTGACTCTGACTCTGACACTGACTCTGACACTGACTCTGACTCTGACACTGACTCTGACACTGACACTGACTCTGACTCTGACACTGACTCTGACACTGACTCTGACACAGACACTGACTCTGACACTGACTCTGACACTGACTCTCACAATGACTCTGACACTGACACAGACACTGACTCTGACACTGACTCTGACACTGACTCTCACAATGACTCTGACACTGACACTGACTCTGACACAGACACTGACTCTGACACTGACTCTGACTCTGACACAGACACTGACTCTGACACTCACTCTGACACTGACTCTGACACTGACTCTGACACTGACTCTGACACTGACACTGACTCTGACTCTGACACTGACTCTGACACTGACTCTGACACAGACACTGACTCTGACACTGACTCTGACACTGACTCTGACTCTGACACAGACACTGACTCTGACACTCACTCTGACACTGACTCTGACACTGACTCTGACACTGACTCTGACACTGACACTGACTCTGACTCTGACACTGACTCTGACACTGACTCTGACACAGACACTGACTCTGACACTGACTCTGACACTGACTCTGACTCTGACACAGACACTGACTCTGACACAGACACTGACTCTGACACTGACTCTGACACTGACTCTGACACTGACTCTGACACTGACTCTGACACTGACTCTGACTCTGACACTGACTCTGACACTGACTCTGACACAGACACTGACTCTGACACTGACTCTGACACTGACTCTGACTCTGACACAGACTCTGACACAGACACTGACTCTGACACAGACACTGACTCTGACACAGACACTGACTCTGACACTGACACTGACACTGACACTGACTCTGACACTGACTCTGACACTGACTCTGACACTGACACTGACACTGACACTGACTCTGACACTGACTCTGACACTGACTCTGACACTGACACTGACTCTGACACAGACACTGACTCTGACACTGACACAGACACTGACTCTGACACTGACTCTGACACTGACTCTGACACTGACACTGACTCTGACTCTGACACAGACACTGACTCTGACACTGACACTGACACTGACACTGACACTGACTCTGACTCTGACACAGACACTGACTCTGACACTGACTCTGACTCTGACACAGACACTGACTCTGACACTGACTCTGACACTGACTTTGACACTGACACTGACTCTGACTCTGACACTGACTCTGACTCTGACACAGACACTGACTCTGACACTGACTCTGACACTGACTCTGACTCTGACACAGACACTGACTCTGACACAGACACTGACTCTGACACTGACTCTGACACTGACTCTGACTCTGACACAGACACTGACTCTGACACAGACACGGACTCTGACACTGACTCTGACACAGACACTGACTCTGACACTGACTCTGACACTGACTCTGACACTGACTCTGACACTGACTCTGACACTGACACTGACTCTGACTCTGACACTGACTCTGACACTGACTCTGACACAGACACTGACTCTGACACTGACTCTGACACTGACCCTGACTCTGACACAGACACTGACTCTGACACAGACACTGACTCTGACACAGACACTGACTCTGACACAGACACTGACTCTGACACAGACACTGACTCTGACACAGACACTGACTCTGACACTGACACTGACACTGACTCTGACACTGACTCTGACACTGACTCTGACTCTGACACTGACTCTGACACTGACACTGACACTGACACTGACTCTGACTCTGACACTGACTCTGACACTGACACTGACTCTGACACAGACACTGACTCTGACACTGACACAGACACTGACTCTGACACTGACTCTGACACTGACTCTGACACTGACACTGACTCTGACTCTGACTCTGACACAGACACTGACTCTGACACTGACACTGACACTGACACTGACTCTGACTCTGACTCTGACACAGACACTGACTCTGACACTGACTCTGACTCTGACACAGACACTGACTCTGACTCTGACACTGACTCTGACACTGACTCTGACACTGACACTGACTCTGACTCTGACACTGACTCTGACTCTGACACAGACACTGACACAGACACTGACTCTGACACTGACTCTGACACTGACTCTGACTCTGACACAGACACTGACTCTGACACAGACACTGACTCTGACACAGACACTGACTCTGACTCTGACACTGACTCTGACACTGACTCTGACACTGACTCTGACTCTGACACTGACTCTGACACTGACTCTGACACTGACACTGACACTGACTCTGACTCTGACACTGACTCTGACACTGACTCTGACACTGACTCTGACACTGACTCTGACTCTGACTCTGACACTGACACTGACTCTGACACAGACACTGACTCTGACACTGACACAGACTCCGACTCTGACACTGACACTGACTCTGACACTGACTCTGACTCTGACTCTGACACAGACACTGACACAGACACTGACTCTGACACAGACACTGACTCTGACTCTGACACTGACACTGACTCTGACACTGACTCTGACACTGACTCTGACTCTGACTCTGACACAGACACTGACTCTGACACAGACACTGACACTGACTCTGACACTGACTCTGACACTGACTCTGACACTGACTCTGACACTGACTCTGACACTGACTCTGACACTGACTCTGACTCTGACACTGACTCTGACACTGACTCTGACACAGACACTGACTCTGACTCTGACACTGACTCTGACACTGACTCTGACACTGACTCTGACTCTGACACTGACTCTGACACTGACTCTGACACTGACTCTGACACTGACTCTGACTCTGACACTGACTCTGACACTGACTCTGACACAGACACTGACTCTGACTCTGACACTGACTCTGACACTGACTCTGACACAGACACTGACTCTGACACTGACTCTGACACTGACTCTGACTCTGACACTGACTCTGACACTGACTCTGACACAGACACTGACTCTGACACTGACTCTGACACAGACACTGACTCTGACACTGACTCTGACACAGACACTGACTCTGACACTGACTCTGACACTGACTCTGACTCTGACACTGACTCTGACTCTGACTCTGACACTGACTCGGACTCTGACTCTGACACTGACTCTGACACTGACTCTGACACTGACTCTGACACTGACTCTGACACAGACACTGACACTGACACAGACACTGACACTGACCAGGTGTTGCAGCTGTCCTCCAGCGAGTGTCCAGAGGGAAACATCTGTCCCTGATGCTCACAGGGACATTCTGACGGAGACACACAGGACCCAGACTGCAGCACCAGGCCTAGGGACCGGAGGACACAGGGACTGAGCACAGGTACCAGAGGACACAGGGACTGAGCACCGCTACCAGAGGACACAGGGACTGAGCACAGGTACCAGAGGACACAGGGACTGAGCACCGCTACCAGAGGACACAGGGACTGAGCACCGCTACCAGAGGAGACAGGGACTGAGCACAAGTACCAGAGGAGACAGGGACTGAGCACAGGTACCAGAAGAGACAGGGACTGGTACCAGAGGAGACAGGGACTGAGTACAGATACCAGAGGAGACAGGGACTGAGCACAGGTACCAGAAGAGACAGGGACTGGTACCAGAGGAGACAGGGACTGAGTACAGATACCAGAGGAGACAGGGACTGAGCACAGCTACCAGAGGAGACAGGGACTGAGTACAGATACCAGAGGAGACAGGGACTGAGCACAGCTACCAGAGGAGACAGGGACTGAGCACAGGTACCAGAAGAGACAGGGACTGAGCACAGGTACCAGAGGAGACCGGGACAGGAGGACACAGGGACAGACAAAGGGACAGTACCTTGGGGACAGTAGCACCCGTCCACACAGGCCAGTCGGCTCTGGAGGCAGCTCTTCTCCTGAGAGCAGCTCTGAGGACAACAACTGATGCACTCACTCCACTGCAGCCCAGGGTCACAGGTCACCTCTGCAGGACAGGGGTCAGAGGTCAGGGGTCAGAGGTCACCTCTGCAGGACAGGGGTCAGAGGTCAGGGGTCACCTCTGCAGGACAGGGGTCACAGGTCACCTCTGCAGGACAGGGATCAGAGGTCAGGGGTCACAGGTCACCTCTGCAGGACAGGGGTCAGAGGTCAGGTGTCACAGGTCATCTCTGCAAGACAGGGGTCAGAGGTCAGGGGTCACAGGTCATCTCTGCAGGACAGGGGTCAGAGGTCAGGGGTCACAGGTCACCTCTGCAGGACAGAGGTCAGGGGTCACAGGTCACCTCTGCAGGACAGGGGTCAGAGGTCAGGGGTCACAAGTCATCTCTGCAAGACAGGGGTCAGAGGTCAGTGGTCGCCTCTGCAGGACAGGGGTCAAAGGTCAGGGGTCACAGGTCACCTCTGCAGGTCAGGGGTCAGAGGTCAAAGACAGAGACAAAGACAAAGACAGAGACAGAGGCCGAGGCCGAGGCCGAGGCAGAGGCAGAGGCAGATGCAGAGGCAGAGGCAGAGGCAGAGACAAAGACAGAGACAGAGGCCGAGGCAGAGGCAGAGGCCGAGGCAGAGGCCGAGGCAGAGGCAGAGGCAGAGGCAGAGGCAGAGGCAGAGGCAGAGGCAGAGGCAGAGGCAGAGACAAAGACAAAGACAGAGACAGAGGCAGAGGCAGAGGCCGAGGCAGAGGCAGAGACAGAGGCAGAGGCAGAGGCAGAGGCAGAGGCAGAGACAAAGACAGAGACAGAGACAGAGGCAGAGGCAGAGGCCGAGGCAGAGGCAGAGGCAGAGGCAGAGGCAGAGGCAGAGGCAGAGACAAAGACAAAGACAGAGGCAGAGGCAGAGGCCGAGGCAGAGGCAGAGACAGAGGCAGAGGCAGAGGCAGAGGCAGAGGCAGAGGCAGAGACAGAGGCAGAGGCAGAGGCAGAGGCAGAGACAGAGACAAAGACAAAGACAGAGACAGAGGCAGAGGCAGAGGCCGAGGCAGAGCAGAGACAGAGGCAGAGGCAGAGGCAGAGGCAGAGACAGAGGCAGAGGCAGAGGCAGAGGCAGAGGCAGAGGCAGAGGCAGAGACAGAGGCAGAGGCAGAGGCAGAGACAGAGACAGAGGCAGAGGCAGAGGCAGAGGCAGAGGCAGAGGCAGAGACAGAGACAGAGGCAGAGGCAGAGACAGAGACAGAGACAGACGCAGAGGCAGAGACAGAGACAGAGACAGAGACAGAGACAGAGGCAGAGGCAGAGACAGAGACAGAGACAGACGCAGAGGCAGAGACAGACGCAGAGGCAGAGACAGAGACAGAGACAGAGACAGAGGCAGAGGCAGAGGCAGAGACAGAGGCAGAGGCAGAGGCAGAGGCAGAGGCAGAGACAGACGCAGAGGCAGAGGCAGAGACAGAGGCAGAGGCAGAGGCAGAGGCAGAGACAGAGGCAGAGGCAGAGGCAGAGGCAGAGACAGAGGCAGAGGCAGAGACAGAGGCAGAGGCAGCGTTGGAATCTGAGTTGTTTCTGTGATAGTATTACAACAAAACCAGCAGGACTCGCAGTGCCATGTGGCTCAGCACCATGTGGCTCAGCACCATGAGGCTCACAGCCCTGACCATGTGGCTCAGCACCATATGACTCACAGCTCTGACCATGTGGCTCAGCACCATGTGGCTCACAGCCCTGACCATGTGGCTCAGCACCATGTGGCTCACAGCCCTGACCATGTGGCTCACAGCCCTGACCACGTGGCTCAGTACCATGTGGCTCAGCACCATGAGGATGAGTATTACCATGTGGTCGTTAAAATGAACGTTACCGCAGAGAGGGAAGCTGTGTCTCCAGCCGCTCAGAGGGTGGTCTGCGTGGGCACAGGCTCTGGCATACTCACTGAGTACCACACACATGTCATCAGCAGACCTGCACAGAGAGCTACTGTTAGAGAGCTACTGAGGGAGCTACTGTCAGAGAGCTACTGAGGGAGCTACTGTCAGAGAGATACTGTCAGAGAGATACCGTCAGAGAGCAAATGTCAGAGAGATACTGTCAGAGAGCTACTGACAGAGAGATACTGTCAGAGAGCTACTGTCAGAGAGCTACTGAGGGAGCTACTGTCAGAGAGATATTTTCAGAGAGCTACTGAGAGAGCTACTGTCAGAGAGCTACTGAGGGAGATACTGTCAGAGAGATACTGTCAGAGAGCTACTGAGGGAGCTACTGTCAGAGAGCTACTGTTAGAGAGCTACTGAGGGAGCTACTGTCAGAGAGATACTGTCAGAGAGCTACTGAGGGAGATACTGTCAGAGAGATACTGTCAGAGAGATACTGTCAGAGAGATACCGTCAGAGAGCAAATGTCAGAGAGATACTGTCAGAGAGCTACTGACAGAGAGATACTGTCAGAGAGCTACTGTCAGAGAGCTACTGAGGGAGCTACTGTCAGAGAACTACTGTCAGAGAGCTACCAAGGGAGCTACTGTCAGAGAGATACTGTCAGAGAGCTACTGACAGAGAGATACTGTCAGAGAGCTACTGACAGAGAGATACTGTCAGAGAGCTACTGACAGAGAGCTACTGTCAGAGAGATACTGTCAGAGCGCTACTGTCAGGGAGCTACTGTCAAAGAGATACCGTAAGAGAGCAAATGTCAGAGAGATACTGTCAGAGAGCTACTGACAGAGAGATACTGTCAGAGAGCTACTGAGGGAGCTACTGTCAGAGAGATACTGTCAGAGAGCTACTGAGAGAGCTACTGTCAGAGAGCTACTGAGGGAGATACTGTCAGAGAGATACTGAGGGAGCTACTGTCAGAGAGATACTGTCAGAGAGATACCGTCAGAGAGCAAATGTCAGAGAGATACTGTCAGAGAGCTACTGACAGAGCGATACTGTCAGAGAGTTACTGTCAGAGAGCTACTGAGGGAGCTACTGTCAGAGAGATACTGTCAGAGAGCTACTGAGAGAACTTCTGTCAGAGAGCTACTGAGGGAGATACTGTCAGAGAGATACTGTCAGAGAGCTACTGAGGGAGCTACTGAGGAGCTACTGTCAGAGAGCTACTGAGGGAGCTACTGTCAGAGAGCTACTGTTAGAGAGCTACTGTTAGAGAGCTACTGAGGGAGCTACTGTCAGAGAGCTACTGAGGGAGATACTGTCAGAGAGATACTGTCAGAGCGCTACTGTCAGGGAGCTACTGACAGAGAGATACCGTAAGAGAGCAAATGTCATAGAGATACTGTCAGAGAGCTACTGAGAGAGAGATACTGTCAGAGAGCTACTGAGAGAGCTACTGTCAGAGAGCTACTGAGGGAGATACTGTCAGAGAGATACTGAGGGAGCTACTGTCAGAGAGATACTGTCAGAGATACCGTCAGAGAGCAAATGTCAGAGAGATACTGTCAGAGAGCTACTGACAGAGAGATACTGTCAGAGAGCTACTGTCAGAGAGCTACGGAGGGAGCTACTGTCAGAGAGATACTGTCAGAGAGCTACTGAGAGAGCTTCTGTCAGAGAGCTACTGAGGGAGCTACTGTCAGAGAGCTACTGAGGGAGCTACTGTCAGAGAGCTACTGTTAGAGAGCTACTGAGGGAGCTACTGTCAGAGAGATACTGTCAGAGAGCTACTGAGGGAGATACTGTCAGAGAGATACCGTCAGAGAGCAAATGTCAGAGAGCTACTGTCAGAGAGATACTGTTAGTGAGCTACTGAGAGAGCTATTGAGGGAGCTACTGAGAGAGATACTGTTAGTGAGCTACTGAAAGAGCTATTGAGGGAGCTACTGAGAGAGCTATTGAGGAGCTACTCTCAGAGAGCTACTGAGGGAGCTACTGAGAGAGCTACTGAGGAGCTACTGAGGAAGCTATTAAGAGAGCTACTGAGGGAGCTACTGCCAGAGAGCTAATGAGGGAGCTACAGTCAGAGAGCTACAGGGAGCTACTGAGAGTGACTCACAGACACAGGTCGTTGGTGCAGGAGGCCATGTAGGACAGAGGACTCACAAACTCATGACAACTGGAGAACGGAGGCTCGAGGAGAAGGAAGCAGACGTCATGGACTCTCTGTGGACACAGGAACTCATCAGATCTGGTCTCTCTGGTCTCTCTCTGGTCTCTTTCTGGTCTCTCTCTCTGGTCTCTCTTTCTGGTCTCTCTCTAGTCTCTCTCTGGTCTCTCTCTGGTCTCTCTCTCTGGTCTCTCTCTCTGGTCTCTCACTCTGGTCTCTCTCTCTGGTCTCTCTCTGGTCTCCCTGGTTTCTCTCTGGCCTCTCTCTCTGGTCTCCCTGGTCTCTCTCTGCTCTCTCTCTCTGGTCTTTCTCTGCTCTCTCTCTGGTCTCCCTGGTTTCTCTCTGGTCTCTCTCTCTGGTCTCCCTGGTCTCTCTATGGTCTCCCTGGTTTCTCTCTGGTCTCTCTCTCTGGTTTCTCTCTCTGGTCTTGCTCTCTGGTCTCCCTGGTCTCTCTCCCTGGTCTCTCTCTCTGGTCTCTCTCTCTGGTCTCTCTCTCTGGTCTCGCTCTCTGGTCTCCCTGGTCTCTCTCTAGTCTCACCTGTAGGACCGGGTCAGGGAGCCCGCTGCAGGGGGAGCTGAGTCCTGATTGGACGGTGGGACAGGTGGGTTGGTTAGGTTCCGCCTCCTGCCAGCTGTTCCCAAACATCTCTATGTCGTGTGTGAGGACTCCTGAGGAAAGACAGTCGTGTTATTTCAACCCAAGTCTGAGCCTCGGGTCGCACCCAGGGGGTCTCCTTCAGGGTCTGTCCTTCAGGGTCTGTCCTTCAGGGTCTGTCCCCTACCGTAGCTGGTCTGCAGGTCGCCCCCCCCCCTCCCCTACCGTAGCTGGTCTGCAGGTCGCCCCCCCTCCCCTACCGTAGCTGGTCTGCAGGTCGCCCCCCCTCCCCTACCGTAGCTGGTCTGCAGGTCGCCCCCCCTCCCCTACCGTAGCTGGTCTGCAGGTCGCCCCCCCCCTCCCCTACCGTAGCTGGTCTGCAGGTCGCCCCCCCCCACTCCTCTACCGTAGCTGGTCTGCAGGTCGCCCCCCCCCCCACTCCTCTACCGTAGCTAGTCTGCAGGTCGCCCCCCCCCACTCCTCTACCGTAGCTAGTCTGCAGGTCGCCCCCCCCCACTCCTCTACCGTAGCTGGTCTGCAGGTCGCCCCCCCCCACTCCTCTACCGTAGCTGGTCTGCAGGTCGCCCCCCCCCCACTCTTCTACCGTAGCTAGTCTGCAGGTCGCCCCCCCCCCCTCTCCTCTACCGTAGCTAGTCTGCAGGTCGCCCCCCCCCACTCCTCTACCGTAGCTAGTCTGCAGGTCGCCCCCCCCCACTCCTCTACCGTAGCTGGTCTGCAGGTCGCCCCCCCCCCACTCTTCTACCGTAGCTGGTCTGCAGGTCGCCCCCCCCCCACTCCTCTACCGTAGCTAGTCTGCAGGTCCCCCCCCCCTCTCCTCTACCGTAGCTAGTCTGCAGGTCGCCCCCCCTCCCCTACCGTAGCTGGTCTGCAGGTCGCCCCCCCCCCACTCCTCTACCGTAGCTAGTCTGCAGGTCGCCCCCCCTCCCCTACCGTAGCTGGTCTGCAGGTCGCCCCCCCCCTCCCCTACCGTAGCTGGTCTGCAGGTCGCCCCCCCCCACTCCTCTACCGTAGCTGGTCTGCAGGTCGCCCCCCCCCACTCCTCTACCGTAGCTGGTCTGCAGGTCGCCCCCCCCCCACTCCTCTACCGTAGCTAGTCTGCAGGTCGCCCCCCCCCACTCCTCTACCGTAGCTAGTCTGCAGGTCGCCCCCCCCCACTCCTCTACCGTAGCTGGTCTGCAGGTCGCCCCCCCCCACTCCTCTACCGTAGCTGGTCTGCAGGTCGCCCCCCCCCCACTCTTCTACCGTAGCTAGTCTGCAGGTCGCCCCCCCCCCTCTCCTCTACCGTAGCTAGTCTGCAGGTCGCCCCCCCCCCACTCCTCTACCGTAGCTAGTCTGCAGGTCGCCCCCCCCCACTCCTCTACCGTAGCTGGTCTGCAGGTCGCCCCCCCCCCCACTCTTCTACCGTAGCTGGTCTGCAGGTCGCCCCCCCCCCACTCCTCTACCGTAGCTAGTCTGCAGGTCGCCCCCCCCCCCTCTCCTCTACCGTAGCTAGTCTGCAGGTCGCCCCCCCTCCCCTACCGTAGCTGGTCTGCAGGTCGCCCCCCCCCCACTCCTCTACCGTAGCTAGTCTGCAGGTCGCCCCCCCCCCACTCCTCTACCGTAGCTGGTCTGCAGGTCGCCCCCCCCCCTCCCCTACCGTAGCTGGTCTGCAGGTCGCCCCCCCCCCCCCTCCCCTACCGTAGCTGGTCTGCAGGTCGCCCCCCCCCCCCCTCCCCTACCGTAGCTGGTCTGCAGGTCGCCCCCCCCCCCCTCCCCTACCGTAGCTGGTCCGCAGGTCGCCCCCCCCCCCTCCTCTACCGTAGCTGGTCTGCAGGTCGCCCCCCCCCCCCCCCCCCCTACCGTAGCTGGTCCGCAGGTCGCCCCCCCCCCCCCCTACCGTAGCTGGGCTGCAGGTCGCCCCCCCCCCCCCCCCCCCCTACCGTAGCTGGTCCGCAGGTCGCCCCCCCCCCCCCCCTACCGTAGCTGGTCCGCAGGTCGTCTTGTGTGTCTGCATTGAAGTTCCCGCAGAGACCACAGGTACGACCCACGAGGTCCGGGCTGAGGGTGATGTAGACCGAGCCCCTGAGACCGTTCCAGGCCAAAGTCAGACCCTGGTCCTGGACCAGGATGTAGTCCGACACCTGCCTCAACATGAGGCCATGGAGTTGATGAGGGAGCCTCAGCCTGGAAGACATGGGGGGGGGGCACTGAGGCAGGCTGAGCCGGACTGAAGCAGGCTGAGACAGACTGAGACTGAGGCAGACTGAGGCAGACTGAGACAGACTGAGACTGAGGCAGACTGAGACAGACTGAGACTGAGGCAGACTGAGACAGACTGAGACAGACTGAGACAGACTGAGACTGAGGCAGACTGAGACAGACTGAGACTCAGGCAGACTGAGACTGAGGCAGACTGAGGCAGACAGAGGCAGACTGAGGCAGACTGAGGCAGACTGAGACAGACTGAGACAGACTGAGACTGAGGCAGACTGAGACAGACTGAGGCAGACTGAGACTGAGGCAGACTGAGACAGACTGAGACTGAGGCAGACTGAGACAGACTGAGACTGAGGCAGACTGAGACTGAGGCAGACTGAGGCAGACAGAGGCAGACTGAGGCAGACTGAGACAGACTGAGACTGAGTCAGACTGAGGCAGACAGAGGCAGACTGAGGCAGACTGAGACAGACTGAGACTGAGGAAGACTGAGACTGAGTCAGACTGAGACTGAGTCAGACTGAGTCAGACTGAGGCAGACAGAGGCAGACTGAGGCAGACAGAGGGAGACTGAGACAGACTGAGACTGAGTCAGACTGAGACTGAGTCAGACTGAGTCAGACTGAGGCAGACAGAGGCAGACTGAGGCAGACTGAGGCAGACTGAGGCAGACTGAGGCAGACTGAGGCAGACTGAGACAGACTGAGACTGAGGAAGACTGAGACTGAGTCAGACTGAGACTGAGTCAGACTGAGTCAGACTGAGGCAGACAGAGGCAGACTGAGGCAGACAGAGGGAGACTGAGACAGACTGAGACTGAGTCAGACTGAGACTGAGTCAGACTGAGTCAGACTGAGGCAGACAGAGGCAGACTGAGGCAGACTGAGGCAGACTGAGGCAGACTGAGGCAGACTGAGGCAGACTGAGACAGACTGAGACTGAGGAAGACTGAGACTGAGTCAGACTGAGACTGAGTCAGACTGAGTCAGACTGAGGCAGACAGAGGCAGACTGAGGCAGACTGAGACAGACTGAGACTGAGTCAGACTGAGGCAGACAGAGGCAGACTGAGTCAGACTGAGTCAGACTGAGGCAGACTGAGGCTAAGTACTCACGGCTGCCCCCTGTAGGTCACATGGTCCCTGTGCAGTCGGATCTCTCCGTCTCGGTTCATGAAGACACTGAGGGAGCGACGGCAGCTGTAGACCAGGGAGCGGCAGGACGGGTCGTTATGGATCTGGACACACACAGGAGACTCTGTGATGTCACACATCACTCTGTGATAGCTCTATGGATGCGACACAGTAACGATACACTGACACACTGACCCACTGACACACTGACGCACTGACACACTGACACACTGACGTACTGACACACTGACACACTGATACACTGACCCACTGACCCACTGACACACTGACACACTGACACACTGACGCACTGACACACTGACACACTGACACACTGACAAACTGACGTACTGACACACACGCTGACACACTGACACACTGACACACTGATACACTGACCCACTGACCCACTGACACACTGACACACTGACACACTGACGCACTGACACACTGACACACTGACACACTGACAAACTGACGTACTGACACACACGCTGACACACTGACCCACTGACGCACTGACACACTGACGCACTGACACACTGACACACTGACCCACTGATACACTGACACACTGACGCACTGACGTACTGACGTACTGACGTACTGACACACTGACACACTGACACACTGATACACTGACACACTGACACACTGACACACTGACACACTGACACACTGACGTACTGACACACTGACACACTGATACACTGACACACTGACACAATGACACACTGACACACTGATACACTGACACACTGACACACTGACACACTGATACACTGACACACTGACACACTGATACACTGACACACTGACACACTGACCCACTGATACACTGACACACTGACACACTGACGTACTGAAACACACGCTGACACACTGACACACTGACACACTGATACACTGACACACTGATGCACTGACACACTGACGCACTGACACACTGACCCACTGACACACTGACGCACTGACACACTGACACACTGACGCACTGACACACTGACCCACTGACACACTGACGTACTGACACACTGACCCACTGACACACTGACACACTGACACACTGACGCACTGACACACTGACACACTGACACACTGACACACTGACGTACTGACACACTGACCCACTGACACACTGACACACTGACACACTGACGCACTGACACACTGACACACTGACACACTGACAAACTGATGTACTGACACACACGCTGACACACTGACCCACTGACGCACTGACACACTGACGCACTGACACACTGACCCACTGACACACTGACGCACTGACGTACTGACACACTGATACACTGACACACTGACGCACTGACACACTGGCGCACTGACACACTGACACACTGACCCACTGACACACTGACGCACTGACGTACTGACACACTGATACACTGACACACTGACACACACACTGACACACCGACTCACCGACACACTGACACTCTGACACACACACACTGACACACTGACACAGACACACACACACTGACACACTGATACACTGACACACACACACACTGATACACTGACACACTGATACACTGATACACTGGCACACTGACAGACACACACACTGACACACACACACACTGATACACTGACACACTGATACACTGACACACTGACACACTGACACACACACACTGACACACACACACTGACACACTGATACACTGACACACACACACACACACTGATACACTAACACACTGACACACACTGACACACACACACACACTGACACACTGAGGCCCCGTACCAAGATGATACGATTCACCCCTGTCTGTTTCATGGTGCAATGACGGGACCTCTGATCTATGGTCCAATACCATGTGGTCTCTCTCTATGGTCCAATACCATGTGGTCTCTCCCTACAGTCCAATACCATGTGGTCTCTCCCTACACTCCAATACCATGTGGTCTCTCCCAATGGTCCAATACCATGTGGTATCTCTCTATGGTCCAATACCATGTGGTCTTTATCTATGGTACAATACCATGTGGTCTTTCTCTATAGTCCAATACCATGTGGTATCTCTCTATGGTCCAATACCATGTGGTCTTTATCTATGGTACAATACCATGTGGTCTTTCTCTATGGTCCAATACCATGTGGTCTTTCTCTATGGTCCAATACCATGTGGTCTCTGAGAAACTGCTGTGATTTAGAGAAATATAAGAATAAATTGAAATGAAGTGAACTCTTGTCAGTGACGCCCCCTGGAGTCCTCACAGTCCCGCAGCAGAGGTCAGAGGTCACCTGTACACTGAGCCTGGAGTCCTCACAGTCCCGCAGCAGAGGTCACCTGTACACTGAGCCTGGAGTCCTCACAGTCCCGCAGCAGAGGTCAGAGGTCACCTGTATACTGAGCCTGGAGTCCTCACAGTCCCGCAGCAGCGGTCAGAGGTCACCTGTACACTGAGCCTGGAGTCCTCACAGTCCCGCAGCAGAGGTCAGAGGTCACCTGTACACTGAGCCTGGAGTCCTCACAGTCCCGCAACAGAGGTCAGAGGTCACCTGTATACTGAGCCTGGAGTTCTCACAGTCCCGCAGCAGAGGTCAGAGGTCACCTGCACACTGAGCCTGGAGTCCCCACAGTCCCGCAGCAGAGGTCAGAGGTCACCTGTACACTTAGCCTGGAGTCCTCACAGTCCCGCAGCAAAGGTCAGAGGTCACCTGTACACTGAGCCTGGAGTCCTCACAGTCCCGCAGCAGAGGTCAGAGGTCACCTGTACACTGAGCCTGGTGTCCTCACAGTCCCGCAGCAGAGGTCAGAGGTCACCTGTACACTGAGCCTGGAGTCCTCACAGTCCCGCAGCAGAGGTCAGAGGTCACCTGTACACTGAGCCTGGAGTCCTCACAGTCCCGCATGAGAGGTCAGAGGTCACCTGTACACTGAGCCTGGAGTCCTCACAGTCCCGCAGCAGAGGTCAGAGGTCACCTGTACACTGAGCCTGGAGTCCTACCAGTCCCGCAGCAGAGGTCAGAGGTCACCTGTACACTGAGCCTGGAGTCCTCACAGTCCCGCAGCAGAGGTCAGAGGTCACCTGTACACTAAGCCTGGAGTCCTCACAGTCCCGCAGCAGAGGTCAGAGGTCACCTGTACACTGAGCCTGGAGTCCTCACAGTCCCGCAGCAGAGATCAGAGGTCACCTGTACACTGAGCCTGGAGTCCTCACAGTCCCGCAGCAGAGGTCAGAGGTCACCTGTACACTGAGCCTGGAGTCCTCACAGTCCCGCAGCAGAGGTCAGAGGTCACCTGTACACTGAGCCTGGAGTCCTCACAGTCCCGCAGCAGAGGTCAGAGGTCACCTGTACACTGAGCCTGGAGTCCTCACAGTCCCGCAGCAGAGGTCAGAGGTCACCTGTACACTAAGCCTGGAGTCCTCACAGTCCCGCAGCAGAGGTCAGAGGTCACCTGTACACTGAGCCTGGAGTCCTCACAGTCCCGCAGCAGAGGTCAGAGGTCACCTGTACACTGAGCCTGGAGTCCTCACAGTCCCGCAGCAGAGTGTAGGAGCAGCGTCCTGAGAATCTGAAGTAAAGTCCATCAAACGTCTCGTAGTTGAACTGACCCCAACTGCGACACGTCATCTCCCTCTCAGCGCCCTGGTTAGGCACTGCAGAGAACACAGAGAACACAGAGTCACACAGAGAACACAGAGTCACACAGAGTCACACAGAGAACACAGTCACACAGAGACACACAGAGAACACAGAGTCACACAGAGAACACAGAGTCACACAGAGTCACACAGAGAACACATAGTCACACAGAGAACACAGAGTCACACAGAGACACACAGAGAACACAGAGTCACACAGAGTCACACAGAGACACACAGAGAACACAGAGTCACACAGAGTCACACAGAGAACACAGAGTCACACAGAGAACACAGAGTCACACAGAGAACACAGAGTCACACAGAGAACACAGAGACACACAGAGAACACAGAGTCACACAGAGAACACAGAGTCATACAGAGAACACAGAGTCACACAGAGACACACAGAGAACACAGAGTCACACAGAGAACACAGAGTCACACAGAGTCACACAGAGAACACATAGTCACACAGAGAACACAGAGTCACACAGAGACACACAGAGAACACAGAGTCACACAGAGTCACACAGAGAACACAGAGTCACACAGAGAACACAGAGTCACACAGAGAACACAGAGTCACACAGAGAACACAGAGACACACAGAGAACACAGAGTCACACAGAGAACACAGAGTCATACAGAGAACACAGAGTCACACAGAGACACACAGAGAACACAGAGTCACACAGAGTCACACAGAGAACACAGAGTCACACAGAGAACACAGAGTCACACAGAGAACACAGAGTCACACAGAGAACACAGAGTCACACAGAGAACACAGAGACACACAGAGAACACAGAGTCACACAGAGAACACAGAGTCATACAGAGAACACAGAGTCACACAGAGACACACAGAGACACACAGAGAGACACACAGAGTCACACAGAGAACACAGAGAGCACAGGGTTAGGGTTACACAGAGAGACATACTGTAGAGAACGGTATGTGGGGCTGTGAGGCTGGATGACAGGGAAGGGTCATGGTCATGCAGGGGTAAGGGGGCGGGAGGCGGGGGTAAGGGGGCGGGAGGCGGGGGTCAGGGGGCGGGGTCTCACCTGTCTGACACCTCTGACCTGTGGCCTGGAACAGACTGCAGTCACATGACTCAGAGTTCACACACTGACCTCCGTTTAGACAGAAGAACGAACACGAGCCAACTGTGGAGGACAGAGGAGGAGCAGGGTCAGGAGGAGGAGCAGAGGAGGAGCAAGGTCAGGAGGAGGAGCAGAGGAGGAGAAGGGTCAGGAGGAGGAGCAGAGGAGGAGCAGGGGAAAAGCAGAGGAGGACAGAGGAGAAGGGTCAGGAGGAGGAGCATTGGAGGAGCAGGGGAAAAGCACGAGGAGCACAGAGGAGGAGAAGGGTCAGGAGGAGGAGCATTGGAGGAGCAGGGTCAGAAGAAGAACCTCCATAGAGGAGCACACAGGACATCTTATAACTTCTTTATAAAAGTAGATCATCATTCAATGAACATTTACACACCCATCTTCATAAGTCTCCATCCCCCAGTCCTCATAAGTCTCCATCCCCCAGTCCTCATAAGTCTCCATCCCCCAGTCTCATAAGTCTCCATCCCCCAGTCCTCATAAGTCTCCATCCCCCAGTCTCATAAGTCTACATCCCCCAGTCCTCATAAGTCTCCATCCCCCAGTCTCATAAGTCTCCATCCCCCAGTCCTCATAAGTCTCCATCCCCCAGGTCTCATAAGTCTCCATCCCCCAGTCTCATAAGTCTCCATCCCCCAGTCTCATAAGTCTCCATCCCCCAGTCCTCATAAGTCTCCATCCCCCAGTCTCATAAGTCTCCATCCCCCAGTCCTCATAAGTCTCCATCCCCCAGTCTCATAAGTCTACATCCCCCAGTCCTCATAAGTCTCCATCCCCCAGGTCTCATAAGTCTCCATCCCCCAGTCTCCTAAGTCTACATCCCCCAGTCCTCATAAGTCTCCATCCCCCAGGTCTCATAAGTCTCCATCCCCCAGTCTCATAAGTCTCCATCCCCCAGTCTCATAAGTCTCCATCCCCCAGGTCTCATAAGTCTCCATCCCCCAGTCTCATAAGTCTCCATCCCCCAGTCTCATAAGTCTCCATCCCCCAGTCCTCATAAGTCTCCATCCCCCAGTCTCATAAGTCTCCATCCCCCAGGTCTCATAAGTCTCCATCCCCCAGTCTCATAAGTCTCCATCCCCCAGGTCTCATAAGTCTCCATCCCCCAGTCCTCATAAGTCTCCATCCCCCAGTCTCATAAGTCTCCATCCCCCAGTCTCATAAGTCTCCATCCCCCAGTCCTCATAAGTCTCCATCCCCCAGTCTCATAAGTCTCCATCCCCCAGGTCTCATAAGTCTCCATCCCCCAGTCTCATAAGTCTCCATCCCCCAGGTCTCATAAGTCTCCATCCCCCAGTCCTCATAAGTCTCCATCCCCCAGTCTCATAAGTCTCCATCCCCCAGTCTCATAAGTCTCCATCCCCCAGGTCTCATAAGTCTCCATCCCCCAGTCCTCATAAGTCTCCATCCCCCAGTCCTCATAAGTCTCCATCCCCCAGTCTCATAAGTCTCCATCCCCCAGTCTCATAAGTCTCCATCCCCCAGTCCTCATAAGTCTCCATCCCCCAGTCTCATAAGTCTACATCCCCCAGTCCTCATAAGTCTCCATCCCCCAGGTCTCATACGTCTCCATCCCCCAGTCTCCTAAGTCTACATCCCCCAGTCCTCATAAGTCTCCATCCCCCAGGTCTCATAAGTCTCCATCCCCCAGTCTCATAAGTCTCCATCCCCCAGTCTCATAAGTCTCCATCCCCCAGGTCTCATACGTCTCCATCCCCCAGTCTCATAAGTCTCCATCCCCCAGTCTCATAAGTCTCCATCCCCCAGTCCCCGTCTCATAAGTCTCCATCCCCCAGTCTCATAAGTCTCCATCCCCCAGGTCTCATAAGTCAGTCAATCCCATCCCCCAGTCTCATAAGTCTCCATCCCCCAGGTCTCATAAGTCTCCATCCCCCAGTCCTCATAAGTCTCCATCCCCCAGTCTCATAAGTCTCCATCCCCCAGTCTCATAAGTCTCCATCCCCCAGTCCTCATAAGTCTCCATCCCCCAGTCTCATAAGTCTCCATCCCCCAGTCTCATAAGTCTCCATCCCCCAGTCTCATAAGTCTCCATCCCCAGTCTCATAAGTCTCCATCCCCCAGTCCTCATAAGTCTCCATCCCCCAGTCTCATAAGTCTCCATCCCCCAGTCCTCATAAGTCTCCATCCCCCAGTCTCATGAGTCTACATCCCCCAGTCCTCATAAGTCTCCATCCCCCAGGTCTCATAAGTCTCCATCCCCCAGTCTCCTAAGTCTACATCCCCCAGTCCTCATAAGTCTCCATCCCCCAGGTCTCATAAGTCTCCATCCCCCAGTCTCATAAGTCTCCATCCCCCAGTCTCATAAGTCTCCATCCCCCAGGTCTCATAAGTCTCCATCCCCCAGTCTCATAAGTCTCCATCCCCCAGTCTCACAAGTCTCCATCCCCCAGTCCTCATAAGTCTCCATCCCCCAGTCTCATAAGTCTCCATCCCCCAGGTCTCATAAGTCTCCATCCCCCAGTCTCATAAGTCTCCATCCCCCAGGTCTCATAAGTCTCCATCCCCCAGTCCTCATAAGTCTCCATCCCCCAGTCTCATAAGTCTCCATCCCCCAGTCTCATAAGTCTCCATCCCCCAGTCCTCATAAGTCTCCATCCCCCAGTCTCATAAGTCTCCATCCCCCAGTCCTCATAAGTCTCCATCCCCCAGTCTCATAAGTCTCCATCCCCCAGGTCTCATAAGTCTCCATCCCCCAGTCTCATAAGTCTCCATCCCCCAGGTCTCATAAGTCTCCATCCCCCAGTCCTCATAAGTCTCCATCCCCCAGTCTCATAAGTCTCCATCCCCCAGGTCTCATAAGTCTCCATCCCCCAGTCCTCATAAGTCTCCATCCCCCAGTCTCATAAGTCTCCATCCCCCAGGTCTCATAAGTCTCCACCCTCTCCATCCCCAGTCTCATAAGTCTCCATCCCCCAGTCTCATAAGTCTCCATCCCCCAGTCCTCATAAGTCTCCATCCCCCAGTCCTCATAAGTCTCCATCCCCCAGTCTCATAAGTCTCCATCCCCCAGTCTCATAAGTCTCCATCCCCCAGTCCTCATAAGTCTCCATCCCCCAGTCCTCATAAGTCTCCATCCCCCAGTCTCATAAGTCTCCATCCCCCAGTCTCATAAGTCTCCATCCCCCAGTCTCATAAGTCTCCATCCCCCAGTCCTCATAAGTCTCCATCCCCCAGTCCTCATAAGTCTCCATCCCCCAGTCTCATAAGTCTCCATCCCCCAGTCTCATAAGTCTCCATCCCCCAGTCCTCATAAGTCTCCATCCCCCAGTCCTCATAAGTCTCCATCCCCCAGTCTCATAAGTCTCCATCCCCCAGTCTCATAAGTCTCCATCCCCCAGGTCTCATAAGTCTCCATCCCCCAGTCTCATAAGTCTCCATCCCCCAGTCCTCATAAGTCTCCATCCCCCAGTATGACGTATGTTAGCCCTCTCACCAGCTCCAGTAGAGCCATTAACAGAGGTTTGTGACACAATCAAAACCATTTCAAATAAAGTCAATGATGTTATGGGCTTTAGAACGACTTACGACAGGTCTGTATTGGCTGAGCTGAAGTTGGATGGATGACACAGTGAACTTGTGAACTAGCAAATCAGAGGGCTACATAAAATTACACTGAGGGCCGCAATTGGCCCCTGCGCCTGAGTTTGGACACGCATACTTTAGGGGCTCCCGGGGGAGCTCCACAGTACAATAACTACAGTACAATAACTACAGTAACTACAGTAAAGTAACTACAATAACTACAGTAAAATAACTACAGTAACTACAGTACAGTAACTACAGTAACTAGAGTACAGTAACTACAGTACAATAACTACAGTACAATAACTACAGTACAGTAACTACAGTACAGTAACTAGAGTACAGTAACTACAGTACAGTAACTACAGTACAATAACTACAGTACAGTAACTACAGTAACTAGAGTACAGTAACTACAGTAACTACAGTACAGTAAGTACAGTACAATAACTACAGTACAATAACTACAGTAACTACAGTACAGTAAGTACAGTACAATAACTACAGTAAGTACAGTACAATAACTACAGTAACTACAGTACAGTAAGTACAGTACAATAACTACAGTAAGTACAGTACAATAACTACAGTACAGTAAGTACAGTACAATAACTACAGTAACTACAGTACAATAACTACAGTACAGTAACTACAGTACAGTAACTACAGTACAATAACTACAGTACAGTAACTACAGTACAGTAACTACAGTACAGTAACTACAATAACTACAGTACAATAACTACAGTAGAGTAACTACAGTACAGTAACTACAATAACTACAGTACAATAACTACAGTACAGTAACTAAAGTACAGTATCTACAGTACAATAACTACAGTAACTACAGTACAGTAAGTACAGTACAATAACTACAGTAACTACAGTACAATAACTACAGTACAGTAACTACAGTACAGTAACTACAGTACAATAACTACAGTACAGTAACTACAATAACTACAGTACAATAACTACAATACAGTAACTACAGCACAGTAACTACAGTACAGTAACTACAATAACTACAGTACAATAACTACAGTACAATAACTACAGTACAGTAACTACAGTACAGTATCTACAGTACAATAACTACAGTAACTACAGTACAATAACTACAGTACAGTAACTACAGTACAGTAACTACAATAACTACAGTACAGTAAGTACAGTACAGTAACTACAGTACAATAACTACAGTACAATAACTACAGTACAGTAAGTACAGTACAATAACTACAGTACAGTAACTACAGTACAGTAACTACAATAACTACAGTACAGTAAGTACAGTACAGTAACTACAGTACAATAACTACAGTACAATAACTACAGTACAGTAAGTACAGTACAATAACTACAGTAACTACAGTACAATAACTACAGTAACTACAGTACAGTAACTACAGTACAGTAACTACAGTACAATAACTACAGTACAGTAAGTACAGTACAATAACTACAATACAATAACTGCAGTTAACTTGTGATGTGTGCTCCTCTTTCCTACTGTTCAATAACTTGTGATGCAACACTGACATTTCCCCGCAGTGGGACAAATAAAGGATCTCTTAATCTTAACTACAGTACAATAACTAGAGTACAGTAACTACAGTACTTTTGAATGCATTACTCCAACACTGGGGTCAATGATCTAGTTAGTAATATATGATTGTCCTGTAGGGGGCGCTGTCAGGAGCAATGGTCGCCACAGAGAGGGACCAGAAGTTGCTCTTCAGGTCCAGAGCTGGATGATTTACCTTTTATACATGTTTTTAGTGTTAGGGGAAACTGGAGCACCTCCCACACGGATTCAAACCCAAGACCGAAGAGAGAGTGCTAACCACTCAGCCACCATGCCATGTGAATCGTGGGATATGGAGAACAAGGGGAAAGCTGTCAGTAAAACAGAGACAGACACCAACAAACAACTCCCATTCAGCACACCTGAGGGAAAGGAAGGAGTGTTGTTTTGACCCAGAGGAAGAATTAAAGAAAAAGAGACCAGCGAGAGACCAGAGGGCGAGAGAGCGACCAGAGAGAGAGACCAGAGAGACCAGTGAGACAGACCAGAGAGAGACTGGAGAGAGACCGGAGAGAGACCAGAGAGAGACTGGAGGGAGACCGGAGAGAGACCGGAGAGAGACCGGAGGGAGACCGGAGAGAGACCGGCGAGAGACCAGGGAGAGACCGGAGAGAGACCGGAGAGAGACCAGAGAGAGAGACCAGAGAGAGACCAGAGAGAGAGACCAGAGAGAGACCAGAGTGAGAGACCAGAGAGAGAGACCAGAGAGAGACCAGAGAGAGAGACCAGAGAGAGACCAGAGAGAGAGACCAGAGTGAGAGACCAGAGAGAGAGACCAGAGAGAGAGACCAGAGAGAGAGAGACCAGAGAGAGAGACCAGAGAGAGACCAGAGAGAGAGACCAGAGAGAGACTGGAGAGAGACCGGAGAGAGACCGGAGAGAGACTGGAGGGAGACCGGAGAGAGACTGGAGAGAGACTGGAGAGAGACCGGAGAGAGACCGGAGAGAGACTGGAGGGAGACCGGAGAGAGACTGGAGAGAGACCGGAGAGAGACCAGAGAGAGACCAGAGAGAGACCGGAGAGAGACCGGAGAGAGACCAGGGAGAGACCGGAGAGAGACCAGAGAGAGAGACCAGAGAGGGACCAGAGAGAGACCAGAGAGAGACCAGAGAGAGACCAGAGAGAGACCAGAGAGAGACCGGAGAGAGACCGGAGAGAGACCAGAGAGAGACCAGAGAGAGACCAGAGAGAGACCAGAGAGAGACCAGAGAGAGAGACCAGAGAGAGAGACCAGAGAGAGAGACCAGAGAGAGACCAGAGAGAGAGACTTACGTGGGGGTCGTATGACGTTGGACCTCAGAGCTTCTTTAAACCGTCGTCTCAGAACCAAAGAGCTCGTGCTGCTGCCCTCCTCCTCCTCAAAGCCATTGGATTGGTCCCAGTGATGATGCAACGACAGATTGGCGTTCGGCGTTTGGCTTTGGCGCCACTGAGCCGGAAAGTTCTGCACGGAGCTTTCTGTTGTCATACTGACAACACCGGTATGAATGACCGGTGGTGTCAGTGGACCCAGTAATGCGCCATTCTCCGTGTTTGAACTACTTTCTACTGGGCTTACTGTCGTCAGACTTCCTCCATGAGGATGTTTATGTGAAGTGGCGGCCCTCATGTTTGGTCCTGATGCACTGGCTGGACTTTCACTGTGCCACAGGTTTGTGGAACGGCCGCGAGTCAGATATGTTGTAGATATTGAAACTTCTGTGGGTGACAGTGATTGTTGATCTGATCGGTTGGACTCAGGTCGGCTGGACTCAGGTCGGCTGGACTCAGGTCGGCTAGACTCAGGTCGGCTGGACTCAGGTCGGCTGGACTCAGGTCGGCTGGACTCAGGTCGGCTGGACTCAGGTCGGCTGGACTCAGGTCGGCTGGACTCAGGTCGGCTGGACTCAGGCGTGGTTGTGGTTGGAGTCAAAGCACTGGTGTCTACTTTAACATCCATCGTCCCAGTAACTGGTGACGCAGACATGACAGGATCCTCTTCTATGAACTGCAGCGGGTTCAAAGGTGAGGCTGGACTCGTGTCTGCTCTTTTGGTCATTTGGGGGTTTGCTGTATTTTCCACTGTAGAAGGTTTAGAGTGGGTCAGTCCAAGGGTTTTCAGTTTCTCTGTTTTAGAGGAGGTCAAACGACCAGATTGGCTTTGCATCTGTGAAGCTGCAGGTTGGCCTGTGTCCACTGTTCTGGAGACTTGTGGCGGTGTAGTTTCTATATTGGAGACTTGTGGCGGTGTAGTTTCCACATTGGAGACTTGTGACGGTGTACTTTCCACATTGGAGACTTGTGACGGTGTACTTTCCACATTGGAGACTTGTGACGATGTACTTTCCACATTGGAGACTTGTGACGGTGTAGTTTCCACATTGGAGACTTGTGACGGTGTAGTTTCCACATTGGAGACTTGTGACGATGTAGTTTCCACATTGGAGACTTGTGACGGTGTACTTTCCACATTGGAGACTTGTGACGGTGTAGTTTCCACATTGGAGACTTGTGACGGTGTAGTTTCCACATTGGAGACTTGTGACGATGTAGTTTCCACATTGGAGACTTGTGACGGTGTACTTTCCACATTGGAGACTTGTGACGGTGTACTTTCCACATTGGAGACTTGTGACGGTGTACTTTCCACATTGGAGACTTGTGACGGTGTAGTTTCCACATTGGAGACTTGTGACGGTGTACTTTCCACATTGGTAGAGGTTGTGGAGGGTGTTTGGAGACTGGCTCCTCGCAGAGATGGCAGTGTCTGCGGTTGATGGTGTCTTTCTGGTGTTGACGTTGTCTCAAGCTTTATCGTGGGTTGAAACTTGGTTTCCGTTTTGGTTCTTGTTGTGAAGGAGCTTGGGTTGTGAGTGTTTGCCGTGTGGGGTGTGGTCTGAGTGTGTGCCGTGTGGGGTGTGGTCTGAGTGTGTGCCGTGTGGGGTGTGGTCTGAGTGTGTGCCGTGTGGGGTGTGGTCTGAGTGTGTGCCGTGTGGGGTGTGGTCTGAGTGTGTGCCGTGTGGGGTGTGGTCTGAGTGTGTGCCGTGTGGGGTGTGGTCTGCACAGTGGGAGGCCTGGTGTCACTCAGAGTCTCATAGTGTGATGTTGTAGCAGAGTTGGTTTGGGTCCTGGCTGATTCTGTTGTCCTTCTTGATGTGTAGACCGCTCTCTCGGACTCGTCCTCGGGGGAAACCTTCAATAGAAAGAATAGTGTTAGAATTAAACAAATAACAATGATTGTTATTGGTTGTTGATAGAGGGATGGGCCGTGCCGAGCTTTAGGAGAGGGTTAGTTTAACTTTAACTTTGCTTCAATTCACTGTCATTGAACGAGAACTCTTTCTCTGTGATGTCACACTAACAATGGTCCAGCCGACCAATCAGGTGCTCCCAATAGCAAATGGGACGAGTGGGTACACAGCAAGGCCTCTCCTGATTGGCTCTTTGGTTGCGGTGTCGTTGCACACATTTGACTGTTACAGACACATGTGTCATGTGACTGTTATAGACACATGTGTCATGTGACTGTTATAGACACATGTGTGTCATGTGACTGTTACAGACACGTGTCATGTGACTGTTATAGACACGTGTCATGTGACTGTTATAGACACATGTGTCATGTGACTGTTATAGACACATGTGTGTGTCATGTGACTGTTACAGACACGTGTCATGTGACTGTTATAGACACATGTGTGTCATGTGACTGTTATAGACACATGTGTGTCATGTGACTGTTATAGACACATGTGTCATGTGACTGTTATAGACACATGTGTGTGTCATGTGACTGTTATAGACACATGTGTCATGTGACCATGGATCTATTGTGTTGTAGCCAGTGTGTGTTGTTCGTCCAAACAAGGTCTCTGTCCTGAAGTCCTCTCACATTAGTCCTGGTCTCAGGTCTCTGTCCTGAAGTCCTCTCACATTAGTCCTGGTCTCAGGTCTCTGTCCTGAAGTCCTCTCACATTAGTCCTGGTCTCAGGTCTCTGTCCTGAAGTCCTCTCACATTAGTCCTGGTCTCAGGTCTCTGTCCTGAAGTCCTCTCACATTAGTCCTGGTCTCAGGTCTCTGTCCTGAAGTCCTCTCACATTAGTCCTGGTCTCAGGTCTCTGTCCTGAAGTCCTCTCACATTAGTCCTGGTCTCAGGTCTCTGTCCTGAAGTCCTCTCACATTAGTCCTGGTCTCAGGTCTGTCCTGAAGTCCTCTCACATTAGTCCTGGTCTCAGGTCTCTGTCCTGAAGTCCTCTCACCTTAGTCCTGGTCTCAGGTCTCTGTCCTGAAGTCCTCTCACATTAGTCCTGGTCTCAGGTCTCTGTCCTGAAGTCCTCTCACATTAGTCCTGGTCTCAGGTCTCTGTCCTGAAGTCCTCTCACATTAGTCCTGGTCTCAGGTCTCTGTCCTGAAGTCCTCTCACATTAGTCCTGGTCTCAGGTCTCTTTCCTGAAGTCCTCTCACATTAGTCCTGGTCTCAGGTCTCTGTCCTGAAGTCCTCTCACATTAGTCCTGGTCTCAGGTCTCTGTCCTGAAGTCCTCTCACATTAGTCCTGGTCTCAGGTCTCTGTCCTGAAGTCCTCTCACATTAGTCCTGGTCTCAGGTCTCTGTCCTGAAGTCCTCTCACATTAGTCCTGGATGCAGTGTTAGCGGCACATTGGCTTCCTCCAGTGTGTGTTTAAATGTTATTTATTGTGTGTGTATCATAGATGTCTTCAGTGTGACATCGCTCAGGTCTTCGGTGTGAGTCCGAGCTGCAGACGGTGACATCACTCAGGTCTTCGGTGTGAGTCCGAGCTGCAGACGGTGACATCGCTCAGGTCTTCGGTGTGAGTCCGAGCTGCAGACGGTGACATCACTCAGGTCTTCGGTGTGAGTCCGAGCTGCAGACGGTGACATCGCTCAGGTCTTCGGTGTGAGTCCGAGCTGCAGACGGTGACATCACTCAGGTCTTCGGTGTGAGTCCGAGCTGCAGACGGTGACATCGCTCAGGTCTTCGGTGTGAGTCCGAGCTGCAGACGGTGACATCATTCAGGCCTTCGGTGTGAGTCCGAGCTGCAGACGGTGACATCACTCAGGTCTTCGGTGTGAGTCCGAGCTGCAAAGTGAGTTATTGAATATTGAAGTATCGGGTTTCGCTCCCAGGTCGTTCTGTGACCCTCACTTTTCCACTTTTTGTCCCGAATCACAATCGTCTCATTGTTGGTGTTTATGAAAGAGAAGTTCTGAGGGTGGGGTACCGTGGGAACGGACACCATGAGGAGGACCAGGAGGAGGACCATGAGGATGAACATGACACACATGTGTCTATAACAGTCACATGACACACATGTGTCTATAACAGTCACATGACACACACTTGTGTCTATAACAGTCACATGACACACATGTGTCTATAACAGTCACATGACACACACTTGTGTCTATAACAGTCACATGACACACATGTGTCTATAACAGTCACATGACACACATGTGTCTATAACAGTCACATGACACACATGTGTCTATAACAGTCACATGACACACATGTGTCTATAACAGTCACATGACACACATGTGTCTATAACAGTCACATGACACACATGTGTCTATAACAGTCACATGACACACACGTGTGTCTATAACAGTCACATGACACATGTGTCTATAACAGTCACATGACACACACATGTGTCTAAAACAGTCACATGACACATGTGTCTATAACAGTCACATGACACACACATGTGTCTATAACAGTCACATGACACACGTGTGTCTATAACAGTCATATGACACACACTTGTGTCTATAACAGTCACATGACACAAATGTGTCTATAACAGTCACATGACACACACGTGTGTCTATAACAGTCACATGACACACATGTGTCTATAACAGTCACATGACACACACTTGTGTCTATAACAGTCACATGACACACATGTGTCTATAACAGTCACATGACACACATGTGTCTATAACAGTCACATGACACACATGTGTCTATAACAGTCACATGACACACATGTGTCTATAACAGTCACATGACACACACGTGTGTCTATAACAGTCACATGACACATGTGTCTATAACAGTCACATGACACACACATGTGTCTAAAACAGTCACATGACACATGTGTCTATAACAGTCACATGACACACACATGTGTCTATAACAGTCACATGACACACATGTGTCTATAACAGTCACATGACACACATGTGTCTATAACAGTCATATGACACACACTTGTGTCTATAACAGTCACATGACACACACATGTGTCTATAACAGTCACATGACACACATGTGTCTATAACAGTCACATGACACACATGTGTCTATAACAGTCACATGACACACACATGTGTCTATAACAGTCACATGACACACATGTGTCTATAACAGTCACATGACACACACATGTGTCTATAACAGTCACATGACACACATGTGTCTATAACAGTCACATGACACACATGTGTCTATAACAGTCACATGACACACACGTGTGTCTATAACAGTCACATGACACACATGTGTCTATAACAGTCACATGACACACATGTGTCTATAACAGTCATATGACACACACTTGTGTCTATAACAGTCACATGACACACATGTGTCTATAACAGTCACATGACACACATGTGTCTATAACAGTCACATGACACACACGTGTGTCTATAACAGTCACATGACACACATGTGTCTATAACAGTCACATGACACATGTGTCTATAACAGTCACATGACACACACATGTGTCTATAACAGTCACATGACACACACGTGTGTCTATAACAGTCACATGACACACTTGTGTCTATAACAGTCACATGACACACATGTGTCTATAACAGTCACATGACACACACATGTGTCTATAACAGTCACATGACACACACGTGTGTCTATAACAGTCACATGACACACATGTGTCTATAACAGTCACATGACACACATGTGTCTATAACAGTCACATGACACACACGTGTGTCTATAACAGTCACATGACACATGTGTCTATAACAGTCACATGACACATGTGTCTATAACAGTCACATGACACACATGTGTCTATAACAGTCACATGACACACACATGTGTCTATAACAGTCACATGACACACACATGTGTCTATAACAGTCACATGACACACATGTGTCTATAACAGTCATATGACACACACTTGTGTCTATAACAGTCACATGACACACATGTGTGTCTATAACAGTCACATGACACATGTGTCTATAACAGTCACATGACACATGTGTCTATAACAGTCACATGACACACATGTGTCTATAACAGTCACATGACACACACATGTGTCTATAACAGTCACATGACACACATGTGTCTATAACAGTCATATGACACACACTTGTGTCTATAACAGTCACATGACACACATGTGTCTATAACAGTCACATGACACACATGTGTCTATAACAGTCACATGACACACACGTGTGTCTATAACAGTCACATGACACACATGTGTCTATAACAGTCACATGACACACTTGTGTCTATAACAGTCACATGACACACATGTGTCTATAACAGTCACATGACACACACATGTGTCTATAACAGTCACATGACACACACGTGTGTCTATAACAGTCACATGACACACATGTGTCTATAACAGTCACATGACACACATGTGTCTATAACAGTCACATGACACACACGTGTGTCTATAACAGTCACATGACACATGTGTCTATAACAGTCACATGACACATGTGTCTATAACAGTCACATGACACACATGTGTCTATAACAGTCACATGACACACACATGTGTCTATAACAGTCACATGACACACATGTGTCTATAACAGTCACATGACACACACGTGTGTCTATAACAGTCACATGACACACATGTGTCTATAACAGTCACATGACACATGTGTCTATAACAGTCACATGACACACACATGTGTCTAAAACAGTCACATGACACATGTGTCTATAACAGTCACATGACACACATGTGTCTATAACAGTCACATGACACACACATGTGTCTATAACAGTCACATGACACACACTTGTGTCTATAACAGTCACATGACACACATGTGTCTATAACAGTCACATGACACACATGTGTGTCTATAACAGTCACATGACACACATGTGTCTATAACAGTCACATGACACACATGTGTCTATAACAGTCACATGACACACATGTGTCTATAACAGTCACATGACACATGTGTCTATAACAGTCCCACCTGGTGTCCTCCTGCGCCTCCTCCTGTCCGCGCTCTCAGTCCCACCTGGTGTCCACCTGCGCCTCCTCCTGTCCGCGCTCTCAGTCCCACCTGGTGTCCACCTGCGCCTCCTCCTGTCCACGCTCTCAGTCCCACCTGGTGTCCTTCTGCGCCTCCTCCTGTCTGCTATCTCAGTCTCACCTGGTGTCCTCCTGCACCTCCTCCTGTCCACGCTCTCAGTCCCACCTAGTGTCCTCCTGCGCCTCCTCCTGTCCACGCTCTCAGACTCACCTGGTGTCCTCCTGCGCCTCCTCCTGTCCGCGCTCTCAGTCCCACCTGGTGTCCTCCTGCACCTCCTCCTGTCTGCTATCTCAGTCTCACCTGGTGTCCTCCTGCGCCTCCTCCTGTCCGCGCTCTTAGTCCCACCTGGTGTCCTCCTGCGCCTCCTCCTGTCCGCGCTCTCAGTCCCACCTGGTCTCTGAGGGCCATGGTGTCATGTTCCTGCTCCTTTGTGCTGCAGGAGAACAACCACACGTTTGTTTCACAGTAACACAACATCCACAACAGAGGCTTCCCCCACACTTTAGTCCTCAAGTCCTGGTCCAGGACCAGTCCTCAAGGCCTCAAGTCCTGGTCCAGGACTAGTCCTCAAGGCTTCAAGTCCTGGTCCAGGAGTAGTCCTCAAGGCCTCAAGTCCTGGTCCAGGACTAGTCCTCAAGGCTTCAAGTCCTGGTCCAGGACCAGTCCTCAAGGCCTCAAGTCCTGGTCCAGGACTAGTCCTCAAGGCCTCAAGTCCTGGTCCAGGACTAGTCCTCAAGGCTTCAAGTCCTGGTCCAGGACCAGTCCTCAAGGCCTCAAGTCCTGGTCCAGGACTAGTCCTCAAGGCTTCAAGTCCTGGTCCAGGACCAGTCCTCAAGGCCTCAAGTCCTGGTCCAGGACTAGTCCTCAAGGCTTCAAGTCCTGGTCCAGGAGTAGTCCTCAAGGCCTCAAGCTTTCAGCGCCGTACTAGATGGTGTTGGTTTTACTCAGAATGTCGAGGAACCTACTCACATTCATAACCACACCTTGGACCTTGTCCTGACCTACGGCTGTGATGTCTCCAATGTTGACATCCAGCGTCAAAGCTCGTTGCTGTCTGACCATTTCTTGATCACGTTTGATCTCGCTTTGGAGGACTTTCCTGTCCCGCAAGATAAAACCATAATGAAAAGAACCTTAAATGATAAATCTATCACAAGGTTCAAAGAACTAATACAGCCTATGTTGAATACTGCTGCAGGTGAACCTGTTCACAGCAGCTGCAGTCCCTCAGTCATTGACCAAACGGTGGGCAACACTATGGAGTCTTTCAAATCTGCATTAAATGCAGCAGCTCCTTTAAAACAGAAAACCATTAGGATTAGATCATCGTCGCCCTGGTACAGTGTTCAACTCCACACTTTAAAACAGGACGTCAGAAAATTGGAGAGGCTATATCGCCACTCCCACTCGGAGCCTGTCCACAGGGAGTGGAAAGCAGGTCTCCGAAACTACAAGAAGGCCCTTCGCGGGGCTCGAACTCAATACTATTCAACTTTAATAGAAGCGAATAAAAACAACAGTAGATTTTTGTTTAGCACCGTCGCTAAACTCACAAACTGCCATAGCACAATCAAGCCTAAAATTCCAAGCTCACTGAGCAGTGTCGACTTTCTCCACTTCTTTAATAATAAAATTACATCCATCCGTGACAAGCTGGAGGAGGTTACTCCTGCTGTTGGTAGTGGACAGGCTGAAGCGGCATACGTGACTTCCCACTTAGACTCTTCAGTGGGCCTCGATAAATTCATGGCTGTGAGCCAAGCAGGTGATCTCTGTGGTCACATCCTCAAAAGCCTCAACTTGCATGTTAGACGCAGTCCCAACATGGCTCTTCAAAGACATACTTCCTTTGATAATTGAGCCTATCGTAAATATAATAAACGCATCCATACAATGTGGCTATGTCCCACAAGCTTTTAAAACCGCGGTAATCAAACCCCTTCTGAAGAAAACAAACCTGGACCCAGAAATACTTACAAACTACAGACCGATCTCAAACCTCACTTTTATATCTAAAATCCTGGAAAAACTTATAGCTGAGCAGCTCCGCTGCCACCTGCAGAAAAATAATATGTTTGAAGTCTTTCAATCAGGATTCAGAGCTCATCATAGCACTGAAACGGCACTAGTCAAAGTCACAAATGACTTACTACTAGCTGCCGATAATGGACAAGTGTCAGTGCTGGTCCTACTGGACCTTAGTGCTGCATTTGACACAATAGACCACAGCATTCTACTGCAGAGGCTAGAATGTGATATAGGTCTTAGAGGAACAGCCCTTGGCTGGTTTAAATCCTATTTATCAGATCGATATCACTTCGTCAATGTGAATCAGGACTCGTCGCCTTATTCTGGAGTGGAATTCGGTGTGCCGCAGGGTTCGGTACTCGGACCGATTCTTTTTACTCTCTACATGCTGCCACTGGGAAACATTATTAAAAAGCATGGAATTAATTTCCACTGCTGCAGATGACACACAGCTTTATCTGTCGATGAAGCCTAATCAGACAGATCAGCTAGAAAAGCTCAGTGCTGCATAAAGGACCTTAAAATGTGGATGACTCTTAACTTCCTACTTCTCAACCCGGAGAAGACAGAAGTGATCCTACTCGGTCCGAAGCGCCTGCGTGACTCCCTCACTAACCAGATAATTACTCTGATAATGTCAGTATTATACCCAGTAACACTGTGAGGAATCTTGGAGTCATTTTTGACCAAGAACTCTCCTTCAAGGCTTATATAAGCCAAGCAACTAAAACGGCGTACTTCCACTTACGGAACATCGCTAAAATTAGGAATTTCCTTCCTAAAAGTGACGCGGAAAAACTCATTCACGCGTTTGTCACCTCAAGGCTCGACTACTGTAACGCTTTACTGGCAGCGTGCCCTAAAGCCTCTTTGAAGAGCTTCCAGCTCGTTCAGAATACAGCAGCTAGGATCTTAACAGGTACCAAAAGGAGGGAGCACATAACTCCGGTGTTAAAATCACTCCACTGGCTCCTGTGGAGTACAGAATAAAGTTTAAAATCCTACTCTTAACATATAAAGCCATAAATGGCTTGGCTCCCTCTTATCTCCAAGACACGTTAGTGTCGTATCAACCAGGTCGAGCGTTGCGCTCACAAAACGCCAGACGTCTGGTGGTCCCTAAGGTCTCAAAGGTCACTGTTGGTGGCAGAGCATTTAGCTCCAAGCTCCTTTACTGTGGAATCAGCTTCCCATTTATGTTAAGGAAGCAGATACGGTCTCCACATTCAAGGCCAGGCTTAAAGCACTTTACTTTAATTTAGGATATAATTAGGTAATATATAATATGTAGTGTATATATTATATATATATGCTGTAATATGTTATATATTATGTTATATATTATTCAATAATGTATTGTGTTATGTTGTATATTATGTTATATATTATGCTGTATGTTATTCTTTATTCAAGGCTAGGTTTAAAACAGTCCTCTTTAGTTTAGCATATGGCTAGGAAGGTAAGACTCGGAGAAGGTTAAACTCCTCAGAGTGTCAGTCAAGCTGCATAGGGCGCCCTCTGCTGGAGAAGTATGGTAACTTGAGCACTATCCTCTCCTCCTTCCTACTTTATCTGTTTAGCATTTTTAGGACTCTGACTGTAGTTTGTTCATTGCTATTCACCCGTTGTCCCATTGTCTGTTTCATGGTACGATGACGGGATCTCTGAGCCTGGCCTCTTCCATCTACACCTGCGGACTGCCCCGCCCGACCCGCCTGGGAGTGCTTCAGTCCTGCACCGGACCTGTCCACGTTCAGCGTCCACTGGTCCACGTTCTGTAGCTAGCTTAGGTCCTGGATCATTAGCCTGTCCGTCCGGAGGAGCGGATCCCTTTCTCATATGGGTCTCCCTCCCTGTGGGTTTCCCTAGTTCTCCTCCAAGGTTTCTCACTTTTTCCCACTGGGTTTTTTAAGAGTTTTTCCTTGTCGATGCAGGAGGGTCTTGTTGGACAGTTAGTGTCCAACAGAAAGGATTGGTGATGATCAGGACACTTTAGCATTCTACAACATGTATGGACATTTTCTTCTGTGTGTGCTTTATATTCTTCATGTGTTTTAACTGTTGATTCTCTGACCTGTGTTGGTGATTTCAATGGTTTTGTTAAGTCTCTGAGATGACTTCTGTTGTGACCTAGGGCTATACAACAATACATTGGATTGTATTGTGTATTGTATTGTAAGTCCTGGTCCAGGACTAGTCCTCAAGACCTCAAGTCCTGGTCCAGGACTAGTGTGTGTGTGTGTGTGTGTGTGTGTGTGTGTATGTGTCTCTGTGTGTGTGTATGTATGTGTGTGTGTCTCACTTGGTTTGGTGAGGGTTGACTCTCTCTTCGCCCAATGACAGATGAGCTGAAAGACAAAGGCACCAGTCACAAAACAACCAAGGCCCATCTCTGTCTCTGCCTCTCTCTCTCTCTCTCTCTCTCTCTGCCTCTGTCTCTCTCTCTCTCTCTCTCTCTGCCTCTGTCTCTCTCTCTCTCTCTCTCTCTCTCTCTGCCTCTGTCTCTCTCTCTCTCTCTCTCTCTGTCTCTGCCTCTCTCTCTCTCTCTCTCTCTCTCTGCTCTCTCTCTCTCTCTCTCTCTCTCTGTCTCTGCCTCTCTCTCTCTCTCTCTCTGTCTCTGCCTCTCTCTCTCTCTCTCTCTCTCTCTGCCTCTCTCTCTCTCTCTCTCTGCCTCTGCCTCTCTCTCTCTCTCTCTCTCTCTGTCTCTGCCTCTCTCTCTCTCTCTCTCTGCCTCTGTCTCTCTCTGTGTCTGTCTCTGTGTCTGTGTGTCTCAGTGTGTGTCTCTAGTGTCTCTAGTCAGTCCTCTGAGGACACTCTGAGGACACTCTGGGGACACTCTGGGGACACTCTGCGGACACTCTGAGGACACTCTGAGGACACTCTGCGGACACTCTGAGGACACTCTGAGGACACTCTGGGGACACTCTGAGGACACTCTGGGGACACTCTGCGGACACGGCTGTGATTCAGGAATCACTGAAAAATAAACAACATCAAACTGAAGTTACTGATGTCGATGAGAGAGAGGACACATGTGATGTCACACACTGTCCTCTCTGCTAGGAACTAACTCTGTCCTGACAGAAGCGCTGTCCCATGGACAGAGACAGACACAGAGACAGACACAGACGCAGAGACAGAGACAGAGGCAGAGACAGACAGAGGCAGAGACAGAGACAGAGACAGAGACAGAGACAGAGACAGAGACAGACAGAGGCAGAGGCAGAGACAGAGACAGAGACAGAGACAGAGACAGAGACAGACGCAGAGGCAGAGACAGACACAGAGACAGAGGCAGAGGCAGAGACAGAGACAGAGACAGAGACAGAGGCAGAGACAGACACAGAGACAGACACAGAGACAGAGACAGACACAGAGACAGACACAGAGGCAGACACAGAGACAGAGGCAGAGGCAGAGACAGAGGCAGAGACAGAGGCAGAGGCAGAGACAGAGACAGACACAGAGACAGAGGCAGAGGCAGAGACAGAGACAGAGGCAGACACAGAGGCAGAGACAGAGGCAGAGGCAGAGACAGAGGCAGACACAGAGGCAGAGGCAGAGACAGAGACAGACACAGAGACAGACACAGAGACAGAGACAGAGGCAGAGGCAGAGACAGAGACAGAGACAGACACAGACACAGAGACAGAGGCAGAGGCAGACACAGAGACAGACACAGAGACAGAGACAGACACAGAGACAGACACAGAGGCAGACACAGAGACAGAGGCAGACACAGAGACAGACACAGAGACAGAGGCAGAGGCAGAGGCAGACACAGAGGCAGAGGCAGAGACAGAGACAGACACAGAGACAGACACAGAGACAGAGACAGACGCAGAGGCAGAGGCAGAGACAGAGGCAGACACAGAGACAGACACAGAGACAGAGGCAGAGGCAGAGGCAGACACAGAGGCAGAGGCAGAGACAGAGACAGACACAGAGACAGAGGCAGAGGCAGAGGCAGACACAGAGGCAGAGGCAGAGACAGAGACAGACACAGAGACAGACACAGAGACAGAGACAGACGCAGAGGCAGAGGCAGAGACAGAGGCAGACACAGAGACAGAGGCAGAGGCAGAGACAGAGACAGAGGCAGACACAGAGGCAGAGACAGACACAGAGACAGACACAGAGACAGACACAGAGGCAGAGACAGACACAGAGACAGAGACAGAGGCAGAGGCAGAGACAGAGACAGAGACAGAGGCAGAGACAGAGACAGAGACAGAGACAGAGGCAGAGGCAGAGGCAGAGACAGAGACAGAGACAGAGACAGAGGCAGAGACAGAGACAGAGACAGAGGCAGAGGCAGAGACAGAGGCAGAGACAGACACAGAGACAGACACAGAGACAGAGGCAGACACAGAGACAGACACAGAGGCAGAGACAGACACAGAGACAGAGACAGAGGCAGAGGCAGAGACAGAGACAGAGACAGAGGCAGAGACAGAGGCAGAGACAGAGACAGAGGCAGAGACAGACACAGAGACAGAGGCAGAGACAGAGACAGAGACAGACACAGAGACAGACGCAGAGGCAGAGACAGAGGCAGAGACAGAGACAGAGACAGAGACAGACGCAGAGGCAGAGACAGAGGCAGAGACAGAGACAGAGGCAGAGACAGAGACAGAGACAGAGGCAGAGACAGAGGCAGAGACAGAGACAGACGCAGAGGCAGAGACAGAGGCAGAGACAGAGACAGAGACAGAGACAGACGCAGAGGCAGAGACAGAGGCAGAGACAGAGACAGAGGCAGAGACAGAGACAGAGACAGAGGCAGAGACAGAGACAGAGACAGACACAGAGGCAGAGACAGAGGCAGAGACAGAGACAGAGACAGAGACAGAGACAGACAGAGACAGACAAAGACAGACAAAGACAGACAGAGACAGCCCACTCCTCTGGACCACACCTGCTGCAGCAACTAATGGAGCGACAAGTCCTCAAAGTCCAGCTGGGCCCCCCTCCCCCATCTATATATGTGTGTGTGTGTGTGTGTGTGTGTGTGTGTGTGTGTGTGTGTGTGTCTATGTGTATGTATCTCAGGAGTCAGGGGTATGAGGTCTGGGTTCAGAGTTAGAGCTAGAGGCAGAGACAGAAGCAGAGACAGAGACAGAGGCAGAGACAGAGGCAGAGACAGAGACAGAGACAGAGACAGAGACTTTAAAGTTGTCACTCAGCTGCCATTTTCAGAGACCACTTTGTCTCCCATAGAATGTCTCTTGGGAAGTTTCCGTCTTTTGAATATGTGTCTTTTAAAATACAACAAAAACAATCTCCTCCAATACTCTTCGTTGTCCTATACAAGCCACCGCAGTCATGTCACAGTTTTATTGATAATTTTACAGAGTTGCTTTCAGTTGTATGCACAGATTTTGATAGTTTGGTTATTACAGGTGATTTTAATATTCATGTGGATAATGTTGATGACAGAAATGCTAAAGAGCTGAGTTCTGTTCTTGAATCCTTTGATCTCACTCAGCATGTGAGTGGCCCCACCCACAGCAGAGGGCACACTCTAGACCTGTTAGTTACAAAGGGGGTGATTATTTCAAATGTAAACGTGGTCGATGTTGCGCTTTCGGATCATTTCTGTGTATTTTTTGACATGTGTTTCACTAACAAACCACCAGTGGACTCTGCAACTGTACGAAGAAGACACATAAATGAAAATACGGGTGAACTATTTATGGGAATGATAAACTTTGAGAATGCATCGTATTCTACTGTAGATGAACTGTTTAACTCTGTCACCTCTAGTGTTTTGAATGTTCTGGATACCGTTGCCCCTGTGAAGGTTAAAATAGTGAAAAATAAGCAGAAGGCGCCGTGGGCTAAAGCAGACTCGGTCAGGGCACAAAAGAGAAAGTGCCGGAGGGCCGAGCGGAAGTGGCGCAAGTCCAACCTCCAGGTTGATTACAAGATCTTCAAAGATAAGTTGAGCGAGTTTAACCGGGTGCTACGTAGTACGAGAGAAAGGTATTTTTCTGAAATGATTGAAGGCTGCAGCAACAATCTGCGTGTTCTGTTTTCAACAGTTAATAGATTAACAAACCCCGTGTTCAGATGCCATTAGAGCTTACTTCCAAACATAAATGCAATGAGTTTGCACATTTTTTTCAATGACAAGGTTCAAGGCATCAAAAACGCCATTGTCTCCAATCCACAGATAACCATCCAACAGCCAGAAAGGCTCTTTGAGCTAACTCACTTTGCACCTGTAGATCATAAAAATGTCCAAGAAATAATCTCCAGTTTGAGCTCCTCCACATGCAGCTTGGATGTACTACCCACTAGATTTCTGAAGTCTGTTCTGAGCAGTCTGTTACCTTCACTCACACAGATAGTAAACATGTCCCTTCATTCTGGAATATTCCCAAAGGCCCTGAAAACTGCAGTCATCAGGCCCCTGCTAAAAAAGAGCAGGCTGGATGCTACAGTACTTAACAACTATCGTCCCATCTCAAATCTGCCATTTATGGGGAAAGTCCTTGAAAAAGTTGTCTACCTACAGCTTACTAGATTTCTTATAATCAACAACTCATTTGATATGTTTCAGTCCGGCTTTAGACCCCACCACAGCACTGAGACTGCTCTCGTTAAGGTTACAAACGATATCCGGCTGAACACTGACGCAGGCAAAGTCTCAATCCTAATCCTGTTAGATCTGAGTGCTGCCTTTGACACCGTCGACCATGAGATCCTCTTACAGAGACTAGAGGACTGGGTTGGCGTCACTGGCACCGCCCTAAGTTGGTTTAGGTCTTACCTTGAAGACAGGAAGTACTTTGTGGAGATTGGAAACTGTGTCTCAGATCATATGGCCCTGACCTGTGGAGTCCCACAGGGGTCGATCCTGGGACCTCTTCTGTTCAATCTCTACATGCTGCCGTTAGGTCAGTTAATACGCAGAAACAAAGTTTCCTATCATAATTATGCAGACGACACTCAGATCTATGTCTCACTGACTGCAGGAGAACATGGACCAGTGGACTCACTCCTTCACTGTATCCAACAGATCAGTGAGTGGATGCAAAACAACTTCCTTCAGCTAAACGCAGACAAAACTGAAATGATTGTCTTTGGTCCAGAAACAAAGAGAGAGCGTCATCTGTCACCTCCAGTCTCTCTCCCTAAAACCTTCAAACAAGGTCAGAAATCTAGGGGTAATACTGGACTCAGACTTACATTTTAATAGCCACATCAAATCAGTAACATCAGCAGCTTTTTACCATCTAAAAAACATTGCCAGGATCAAAAACATAGTGTCTAAAGCAGACCTGGAGATTCTTATCCATGCATTTGTCTCCAGTAGGTTAGACTACTGCAATGGCCTGCTCACAGGTCTGTCCAAACAGGCTGTAAAACAGCTGCAGTACATTCAAAATGCAGCAGCTCCAGTCCTGACTAGAACCAGGAAGTACGACCACATTAGTCCTGACTAGAACCAGGAAGTACGACCACATTAGTCCTGACTAGAACCAGGAAGTACGACCACATTAGTCCTGACTAGAACCAGGAAGTACGACCACATTAGTCCTGACTAGAACCAGGAAGTACGACCACATTAGTCCTGACTAGAACCAGGAAGTACGACCACATTAGCCCTGACTAGAACCAGGAAGTACGACCACATTAGTCCTGACTAGAACCAGGAAGTACGACCACATTAGTCCTGACTAGAACCAGGAAGTACGACCATATTAGTCCTGACTAGAACCAGGAAGTACGACCACATTAGCCCTGACTAGAACCAGGAAGTACGACCACATTAGTCCTGACTAGAACCAGGAAGTACGACCACATTAGTCCTGACTAGAACCAGGAAGTACGACCATATTAGTCCTGACTAGAACCAGGAAGTACGACCACATTAGTCCTGACTAGAACCAGGAAGTACGACCATATTAGTCCTGACTAGAACCAGGAAGTACGACCATATTAGTCCTGACTAGAACCAGGAAGTACGACCACATTAGTCCAGTCCTCAGGTCTCTGCACTGGCTTCCTGTGGCTCAGAGAATAGACTTTGAGGCCCTGTCCACACGAAGTCAAGCTCAGGCCTAAACGCAAAAATACTTTATCAATCCAGTGTATCGTCCATACGAGGCCGGCGTTTTGGGGGGGTGTAAACGAACATTTTTGAAACTAGGTCCCAGAGTGGAAAGATTTCAAAACTCCGTATATGCCGCTCCGTGGTTACTGCCTCTCCGCAATGTATCTGAGACGCGTCATCGCCCCGCCTCTTGTTAAAGCAGCATGCGCCGCACTCAGAAAATAATGACAACAACAATGTAGCTTGTTGGTTTTGTAATCCAGTGCGACCCGAAGCAACAGTTCAACCTCATCGTCCGTCCATACTAATGTAGTACCAGCTCGCCCACTCGCCATGTTGTCTGTTTACAAAATTCCGCGCATGCCCAGTTCCCGTCACGGAAGTTTGGGCTTGATCCCGTCATTGCGTCACAGCGCCACCAACAGGTCTGGCATAGTTTCACAGCGTTTTCAGGCGTATTGACTACATTCATATGGACGCACACATTTACTGAGCTAACTCCGTGTTTACAGAAAAAGTTTCTGAAATTATAAGCGTTTTGTCTTTGTGTGGATATAGCCTGAAACAGCTCTGCTTGTTACAAGTCTCTCCATGGCCTCGCACCAAAATATATTAGTGACATGTTAGTCCCATATGAACCAGCCCGGACTCTGAGGAGCACAGGGACTGGACTCCTGCTGGGACTCTGAGGAGCACAGGGACTGGACTCCTGCTGGGACTCTGAGGAGCACAGGGACTGGACTCCTGCTGGGACTCTGAGGAGCACAGGGACTGGACTCCTGCTGGGACTCTGAGGAGCACAGGGACTGGACTCCTGCTGGGACTCTGAGGAGCACAGGGACTGGACTCCTGCTGGGACTCTGAGGAGCACAGGGACTGGACTCCTGCTGGGACTCTGAGGAGCACAGTGACTGGCCTCCTGCTGGGACTCTGAGGAGCACAGGGACTGGACTCCTGCTGGGACTCTGAGGAGCACAGGGACTGGACTCCTGCTGGGACTCTGAGGAGCACAGGGACTGGACTCCTGCTGGGACTTTGAGGAGCACAGGGACTGGACTCCTGCTGGGACTCTGAGGAGCACAGGGACTGGACTCCTGCTGGGACTCTGAGGAGCACAGGGACTGGACTCCTGCTGGGACTCTGAGGAGCACAGGGACTGGACTCCTGTTAGTGCCCAGAGTCAGAACTAAACATGGGGAGGCTGCTTTTCAGATTCATGCTGCTAAAATCTGGAACAGTCTTCCTGAAGATGTGAGACAGGCCTCCTCTCTGACAATGTTTAAAACCAGGTTAAAGACAGTTCTGTTTAGCTGTGCTACAACTGAGGAATTTTATATTTTTATATTTTTAATTATTATTGATTTTAATGCTATTTTGTTCAGCACTTTGAGTTGCCTTGTGTATGAATTGTGCTATATAAATAAACGTGCCTTGCCTTGCCTTACCTTGATAAACCAACGCGAGGAGGATGAGGAGCCCGCGTGCGCCTCGGGGCTTCATGGCTCACGGTAGTCGGTAGTCGGTAGTCGGTAGTCCCGGGATTCACACCGACTCCATCAGGACCTCTCCCCGTCCCGTGGAGCGCGCGTCTGCTGCGGCTGAGCGCGAGCCACAGACTGAAAGCAGCCCCGCCCCCACATACCTGCTCATTAGCATAACGCAAAAGAGGGGCGGGGACATGCGCGAGAGCCTGTGTTGAACCTGTTCCCAGCTGTGTTCATCCTACAGTCTGACACCTGTGTCATACAGGGCCCTTGCGCACTTAGAGGGCGTCACTGTGATACACTTCCTCTTCACACTGCTCTGTCTACTGTGATATACTGATAATAGCATGTGTATTGTCTGTCTATAAGTTATATCGGAGTTCACCCTTAGAGGGCGCACTCGCACTGTTCAGAACCAAGTGCCCAGTGTTGAGTGATAACTTTGTTAGTCTGAGGCTGTACCTGTTGATAGAAGATGTTCATCAGAGATGTTCCTGTCATTATTACTGGCCACGATGCAACACACTTTCACTGACAGCCAAAGAGCCGCTGATAGTCCAAGGGCTGGTTGGGCAGGGGGTGAATGGTTAGTCCTGGATCAGTCCTGGATCAGTCCTGGCTCAGTCCTGGCTCAGTCCTGGCTCAGTCCTGGCTCAGACCTGGATCAGTCCTGGCTCAGTCCTGGCTCAGTCCTGGCTCAGTCCTGGCTCAGTCCTGGCTCAGTCCTGGCTCAGTCCTGTCCTGGATCAGTCCTGGCTCAGTCCTGGATCAGTCCTGGCTCAGTCCTGGTTCAGTCCTGGGTCAGTCCTGTCCTGGATCAGTCCTGGCTCAGTCCTGGATCAGTCCTGGCTCAGTCTTGGATCAGTCCTGGCTCAGTCCTGGATCAGTCCTGGCTCAGTCTTGGATCAGTCCTGGCTCAGTCCTGTCTCAGTCCTGGATCAGTCCTGGCTCAGTCCTGGATCAGTCCTGGCTCAGTCCTGGATCAGTCCTGGCTCAGTCCTGGATCAGTCCTGGCTCAGTCCTGGCTCAGTCCTGGCTCAGTCCTGGATCAGTCCTGGCTCAGTCCTGGATCAGTCCTGGCTCAGTCCTGGCTCAGTCCTGGCTCAGTCCTGGATCATCTTCATTGACTAAACATGATGAAGTGCATCATTCTTGCCGCGTCAGCGCTCATCTGTACTCACTGTACAGTCTGACACCTGTACTCACTGTACAGTCTGACACTCTGTACTTGACACTCTGTACTCACTGTACAGTCTGACACCTGTACTCACTGTACAGTCTGACACCTGTACTCACTGTACAGTCTGACACTCTGTACTCACTGTACAGTCTGACACTCTGTACTCACTGTACAGTCTGACACCTGTACTCACTGTACAGTCTGACACCTGTACTCACTGTACAGTCTGACACCTGTACTCACTGTACAGTCTGACACCTGTACTCACTGTACAGTCTGACACTCTGTACTCACTGTACAGTCTGAACACCTGTACTCACTGTACAGTCTGACACTCTGTACTCACTGTACAGTCTGACACCTGTACTCACTGTACAGTCTGATACTCTGTACTCACTGTACAGTCTGACACCTGTACTCACTGTACAGTCTGACACCTGTACTCACTGTACAGTCTGACACCTGTACTCACTGTACAGTCTGACACCTGTACTCACTGTACAGTCGGACACTCTGTACTCACTGTACAGTCTGACACCTGTACTCACTGTACAGTCTGACACTCTGTACTCACTGTACAGTCTGACACTCTGTACTCACTGTACAGTCTGACACTCTGTACTCACTGTACAGTCTGACACTCTGTACTCACTGTACAGTCTGACACTCTGTACTCACTGTGTACACTGTACAGTCTGACACCTGTACTCACTGTACAGTCTGACACTCTGTACTCACTGTACAGTCTGACACTCACTGTACTCACTGTACAGTCTGACAAGTCGTTAAGAAAGCTCGTCAGCGTCTCTACTTTCTGCGTAAACTTAGAGAATTTACCACTAACTCTAAGATTGTGCTTAACTTTTATGGCTGCACCATTGAGAGTTTACTTGTTGGTTCTGTGTCTGTGTGGTTTGGAAACATCACAGATAAAGAAAAGAGAGCTTTAAACAAGGTGCTCCGCTCTGCAAAGAGGACCGTGGGCTGTGAGCTTCCTGTTCTGGAGGTTCTTTATAAATCCACACTTTTAAACAAAGCTCTTAGGATTGTTAATGACTCTTCTGGCCACCCTGGGAAAGCCATGTTCCAGCTTCTTCCCTCTGGCAGAAGATATCGCTCTCTGAGATGCAGGACATCTCGTTACGCTAACAGTTTTTATCCACAGGCTGTTATCAGTGTGAACAGAGCACTTTAATGATTTGCACTTGTTTTGAACTGTTTTAGTCGATCCATTTCACAGTGACATTTGTTTATTGTTTTATTTGTTTTATTTTTGTCTTTTAATGTTGTTTTATGTCTGTATTTGTCTGTGCACACTGGAGACTTTTGCTAATGTATTCCAATGTGGTTTTACTGCAAATGGCAAATAAACTGAATCTGAATCTGAATCTGAATGTGCAATACATAGTTTTCCATCACGTGCTTATTACCCATGATGCTTTGCGCGAACGTGATGTTGTCAGTCTGGTGTCTATAGCACCTATCATTTGTCCCCATGTCATCTAAAGCCACGAATTGGGTCGACACTGACCGTGTTAAGTTATTGATACACTGGAGAAATCTGAGGAAAGATCCTTTGAGAATCGGGAGATTTGGATCCATGTGAAACGCAGCGAGACCAGTGGACTTCCCAGAAATGGCTTACTTTCACTTAACAGTTTTACAATTAAAAAGGTCATGATGTATATGATGCAATATTTCTTTCAATTAATAGTTTATTTTGAACGAAGCAGTTGATATCACAGGCCGTAAATCACTTCTGTCTACCACCCTTCCCCTCCTCCTCCTCATCCTCATTCATTTAGATGGCCGCCTATATATACATGGTATCACAGTCAAATCACGGCTTTGAATATAAACCACACATTCAGATGCAGCTCTTACCTGTTATGAAACGGTCAGAACAGACCTTATAGTGCCGTTTTTCAGGGGTTAGGGTTGAATCCCTCTCGCCAACTAAAGGGTCTTTTCTCCGTCGAGAGTCACTCCCCGGCTCGTAATAACCTTCGGAATGTCGCCACAATCTGCAGGGTTACTGCGCCCCCAAACGACGCAGGCAGTCGGCATGTTTTAGCGCAAAAAAGTTTTATGCCCGCTTTGTTTACCTACAACTAGCGGCGGCTAGACTTGTAAAATCGCGAACTGCGGAATTGTGGGTAGTGTGTGACGTCAGTTGAAAACTATGTACTGTATACCTGTGACAGTGAGATGTGCAATACCCCAGACTGAGAGATGTGTAATACCCCAGACTGAGAGATGTGCAATACCCCAGACTGAGAGATGTGTAATACCCCAGACTGAGAGATGTGTAATACCCCAGACTGAGAGATGTGCAATTCCCCTGACTGAGAGATGTGCAATACCCCAGACTGAGAGATGTGTAATACCCCAGACTGAGAGATGTGCAATACCCCAGACTGAGAGATGTGTAATACCCCAGACTGAGAGATGTGCAATTCCCCTGACTGAGAGATGTGCAATTCCCCTGACTGAGAGATGTGCAATACCCCAGACTGAGAGATGTGCAATACCCCAGACTGAGAGATGTGTAATACCCCAGACTGAGAGATGTGCAATACCCCAGACTGAGAGATGTGTAATACCCCAGACTGAGAGATGTGCAATTCCCCTGACTGAGAGATGTGCAATACCCCAGACTGAGAGATGTGTAATACCCCAGACTGAGAGATGTGCAATACCCCAGACTGAGAGATGTGTAATACCCCAGACTGAGAGATGTGCAATACCCCAGACTGAGAGATGTGTAATACCCCAGACTGAGAGATGTGTAATACCCCAGACTGAGAGATGTGCAATTCCCCTGACTGAGAGATGTGCAATACCCCAGACTGAGAGATGTGTAATACCCCAGACTGAGAGATGTGCAATACCCCAGACTGAGAGATGTGTAATACCCCAGACTGAGAGATGTGCAATTCCCCTGACTGAGATGTGCAATACCCCAGACTGAGAGATGTGCAATACCCCAGACTGAGAGATGTGTAATACCCCAGACTGAGAGATGTGCAATACCCCAGACTGAGAGATGTGTAATACCCCAGACTGAGAGATGTGCAATTCCCCTGACTGAGAGATGTGCAATACCCCAGACTGAGAGATGTGTAATACCCCAGACTGAGAGATGTGCAATACCCCAGACTGAGAGATGTGTAATACCCCAGACTGAGAGATGTGCAATTCCCCTGACTGAGAGATGTGCAATACCCCAGACTGAGAGATGTGTAATACCCCAGACTGAGAGATGTGCAATTCCCCTGACTGAGAGATGTGCAATACCCCAGACTGAGAGATGTGTAATACCCCAGACTGAGAGATGTGCAATTCCCCTGACTGAGAGATGTGCAATTCCCCAGACTGAGAGATGTGTAATACCATTGAGATACCTTTGTGTTTCTCTTCAGGTAGAAAATATAAATTTAATTCTGTCTTTTTCCATCTGTTACAGTTTCGAGAAGTTTAGAGAAAACTCCTCCTCTCAGAAAGCAAAAAAACCCAAGTCTGCAGGAGCAGTAGGAGGAGACGCAGCAGGAGGAGGTGTAGCAGGAGGCGCAGAGCAGTGAGGACATAGATCTGTTGAAGTCAGGTCATCTGTTCATCAGTATTACAGCAGTCTGTTGTTGTGCTGTTGAGCAGGTGTCCTGCCTGTGGCTTCATCTTAAAGGTCCACGATGGAGAAGAACAAAGCATCGAAGTCACTCTGGAGGTGAGTAACCGAGGAAACTAGCCTCTTCACACCGAGCTAAACACAGGACATTAGCCTCTTCACACCGAGCAAAACACAGGACATTAGTCTCTTCACACCGAGCAAAACACAGGGCATTAGTCTCTTCACACCGAGCAAAACACAGGACGTTAGCCTCTTCACACCGAGCTAAACACAGGACGTTAGCCTCTTCACACCGAGCAAAACACAGGACGTTGGCCTCTTCACACCGAGCAAAACACGGGACGTTAGCCTCTTCACACCGAGCTAAACACGGTACATTAGCCTCTTCACACCGAGCAAAACACGGGACATTAGCCTCTTCACACCGAGCTAAACACGGGACATTAACCTCTTCACACCGAGCAAAACACAGGACATTAGCCTCTTCACACCGAGCAAAACACAGGACGTTGGCCTCTTCACACCGAGCAAAACACGGGACGTTAGCCTCTTCACACCGAGCTAAACACGGGACATTAGCCTCTTCACACCAAGCTAAACACGGGACATTAGCCTCTTCACATTGAGCAAAACACAGGACGTTAGCCTCTTCACACCGAGCAAAACACAGGACGTTTGCCTCTTCACACCGAGCAAAACACGGGACCTTAGCATCTTACTGTCTGAGTAGCTTTCGTGAGTACCTTTCATTTATAAAGGTGTCTTTGTAAATGTTGTTTCACATGGATAAACTTTAATGTGAGTTGACCTGCCCTTATTACAGCTGGAGGAGCAGGAGGAGCCAGTGAGTGAGGAGGAGGAGGAGGAGGAGGAGGAGGACTCTGCAGATGAATGGACTCCCAAATCCACTCATCAGAAGGAGATCAAAGCTGTAGAGCAGAGTGAGGAGGAGAGAGGAGGCCAGGCTGGTGAGTGTGTGTGTCTGTCTGTCTGTCTGTGAGGGTGTGTGCGTGTGAGTGTGAGAGTGTGTCTGTCTGTCTGTGAGAGTGTGTGCGAGTGTGTGTGTCTGTCTGTCTGTGAGGGTGTGTGTGTGTGAGTGTGAGAGTGTGTCTGTCTGTCTGTGAGAGTGTGTGCGAGTGTGTGTGTCTGTCTGTCTGTGAGGGTGTGTGTGTGTGAGTGTGAGAGTGTGTCTGTCTGTCTGTGAGAGTGTGTGCGAGTGTGTGTGTCTGTCTGTCTGTGAGGGTGTGTGTGTGTGAGAGTGTGTGTGTCTGTCTGTCTGTCTGTCTGTGAGGGTGTGTGTGTGAGAGTGTGTCTGTCTGTGTGTCTGTCTGTCTGTGAGAGTGTGAGAGTGTGTCTGTCTGTGAGAGTGTGTGAGTGTGTGTCTGTCTGTGTGTCTGTCTGTCTGTGAGAGTGTGTGTGAGTGTGTGTCTGTCTGTCTGTCTGTCTGTGAGGGTGTGAGTGTGTGTGTGTGAGTGTGTGTCTGTCTGTGTGTCTGTCTGTCTGTGAGTGTGTGTCTGTTTCTGTGTCTGTCTGTCTGTGAGTGTGTGAGTGTGTGTTTGTCTGTCTGTGCGTGTGTGTGTCTGTCTGTCTGTTAGTGTGTGTCTGTCTGTGTCCTGAGTGTGTGTTAATGTGTGGGTTGCAGAGTCCCCACAGAAGCAGCAGCTGTGTCCTGAGTGTGTGTTAATGTGTGTGTTGCAGAGTCCCCACAGGAGCAGCAGCTGTGTCCTGAGTGTGTGTTAATGTGTGTGTTGCAGAGTCCCCACAGAAGCAGCAGCTGTGTCCTGAGTGTGTGTTAATGTGTGTTAATGTGTGTGTTGCAGAGTCCCCACAGAAGCAGCAGCTGTGTCCTGAGTGTGTGTTAATGTGTGTGTTGCAGAGTCCCCACAGGAGCAGCAGCTGTGTCCTGGGTGTGTGTTAATGTGTGTGTTGCAGAGTCCCCACAGGAGCAGCAGCTGTGTCCTGAGTGTGTGTTAATGTGTGTGTTGCAGAGTCCCCACAGAAGCAGCAGCTGTGTCCTGAGTGTGTGTTGCAGAGTCCCCACAGAAGCAGCAGCTGTGTCCTGAGTGTGTGTTAATGTGTGTGTTGCAGAGTCCCCACAGAAGCAGCAGCTGTGTCCTGAGTGTGTGTTAATGTGTGTTAATGTGTGTGTTGCAGAGTCCCCACAGAAGCAGCAGCTGTGTCCTGAGTGTGTGTTAATGTGTGTGTTGCAGAGTCCCCACAGGAGCAGCAGCTGTGTCCTGAGTGTGTGTTAATGTGTGTGTTGCAGAGTCCCCACAGAAGCAGAAGCTGTGTCCTGAGTGTGTGTTAATGTGTGTGTTGCAGAGTCCCCACAGAAGCAGCAGCTGTGTCCTGAGTGTGTGTTAATGTGTGTTTTGCAGAGTCCCCACAGAAGCAGCAGCTGTGTCCTGAGTGTGTATTAATGTGTGTTAATGTGTGTGTTGCAGAGTCCCCACAGAAGCAGCAGCTGTGTCCTGAGTGTGTGTTAATGTGTGTTAATGTGTGTGTTGCAGAGTCCCCACAGAAGCAGCAGCTGTGTCCTGAGTGTGTGTTAATGTGTGTGTTGCAGAGTCCCCACAGAAGCAGCAGCTGTGTCCTGAGTGTGTGTTAATGTGTGTTAATGTGTGTGTTGCAGAGTCCCCACAGGAGCAGCAGCTGTGTCCTGAGTGCGGTGCCTTCTTTGTGGCGACACACACGTGTGACATGAAAAACAAAGTGTGTGTGTGCAGCGTGTGCAGCCAGATGTTCATCTCTGAAGCTGCTCTCAGAGTCCACAGACACACACACTTAGACACACAGACACACACACTGACGCACACAGTGACCGACACACAGCAGTTCCTCTGTAAGTTCTGCAGCCTGAGCTTCAGGACCAGAGTGGACAAACTGGCTCATGAGCTGATCCACCTGAAGCAGAAGGACTGTCACATCTGTGCCTCTGACTTTGCCTCTGAGCAGGCCTACATCAGACACCTCCTGCTGCACTCAGGAGAGAAACCTCCCCCGTCTCACTGTCACCACAAGAGAAACCATGTGCTGCTGCAGGAGGAGCAGCAGGAGCACCCGGAGGAGCACACAGAGGAGCCTAAAGGTCAAAGGCCTCCAACTGGACGACGCAAAGGTCGACCAAAGAGGAGCCCAGAGGAGCTCAGTGCACAGAAGAAAAGACTGAAGACACAGTTCACTGAGTCCCAGGACTGAGTCCTGCTCAGGCCCCGCCCCCTGTCACAGGCCACGCCCCTTTGTTACTGGCCACTCCCCTCTGTCTCAGGCCCGCCCCTCTGTTACAGGCCACGCCCCTTTGTTACAAGCCCCGTTTTATTTTCACAGGACTCTGTTTTAGTGATGAGTTAAAGTTCTGTAGCCCAGCTTTAATGACCAGGCACATGCCATGTATGTCACATGGTCTCTGTCACATCTGTGTCACATGGTCTCTGTGTCACATGTGTGTCCACATGGTCTCTGTCACATGCTTGTCCATATGGTCTCTGTCACATGTGTGTGTGTGTGTGGCACATGGTCTCTGTATCACATGGTCTCTGTGTCGTATGTGTGTGTGTCCACATGGTCTCTGTGTCACATGTGTGTGTGTCCACATGGTCTCTGTGTCACATGTGTGTCCACATGGTCTCTGTGTCACATGTGTGTCCACATGGTCTCTGTGTCACATGTGTGTCCACATGGTCTCTGTGTCACATGTGTGTCCACATGGTCTCTGTCACATGTGTGTCCACATGGTCTCTGTGTCACATGTGTGTCCACATGGTCTCTGTGTACACATGGGCCCCGTCCCAATACTCGCACTTCCACCTCGCGCCCCTCATTTGCGCGTTCCCGATAAAGTGTGCGAGTGCGTAGGGTCCAGTCCCAATCCTCCAGGGAGGTCTTTGGCCCCGCCCCCTTTGCGCCCCTGAGCCACACTTCGCCGTAGCCTGCATCTATGCGCACTTTGGCGAAGGATATTGCCCATAATCCTTTGCGGTACAAACCAAAACGACAGGAAAATGCAATTAAATATACATTTTGAAATATATATGCAGTATGTGTGTAAATAAGTTTTGCTGTTACTTGGAAAGAAGCATAAACGTCTGATGAAGAATTACGGACATTGTGTTTTAACAATTTAATAACTTTTTAAAGCAAGCGTTTATATAACATTCAATTTAAACTTTACACTTAGTACAATAATCTTAGAATGTATAAAAACTGACCAGATAGTTAGTTACCCACATTTAACTTAAAATTATACATCCATCCATCCATTTTCTTCCCCTTAATCCATTTCTGGGTCGGGGGGGTGTCAGTCAGAGTTGCACCCAGTCACAGAGCACCAGCCCCTCCCTGATCCTCCTGCAGGTGCTGAGTCCACAGGAGCTGAGATCTTTCAGTGGGGGCTTTGGGCAAAGTAGGGTTAAGTGTCTTGCCCAAGGACACAACGTCAGCAGTCATCAGTGGGAGTCGTGAAGTAGGTCTTATGATGGGCTCGAACCCACGACCTTCAGGCCCAAAGGCCAATGCTCAAATTATTAAAATTATACAGCTATCTCTAATTAAAAACAACTAATATACATGTATTTTAACGTGTGTGAAGCAATTCATTTTGTTTCCCAAAGGGTCAGACAAAGTTACCTTTAATGTTTATAAAGTTTAGGTCTGAAAATGACCATCTCTTGACGAGTCGATGACGTCACCTGCTCTCAGTGCACTGTCCCCATTCTGCCTTTTTTGCACACTTGTAACCTGCCACTCAAACCATGTGTGCACTTCAAACACATGCACACTTCGTAGAAGTGTGTAGGGTGCAGTGTGGGTAATGGGACTGGGCCATGGTCTCTGTGTCACGTGTGTGTGTGTGTCACATGGTCTCTGTGTCACGTGTGTGTGTGTCCACATGGTATCTGTGTCGCATGTGTGTTCTCATGGTCTCTCTGTCACATGCTTGTCCACATGGTCTCTGTGTCACGTGTGTGTCACATGGTCTCTGTGTCACGTGTGTGTCCACATGGTCTCTGTGTCAGATGTATGTCACATGGTATCTGGGTCACGTGTGTGTGTGTCCACGTGGTCTCTGTCACATGTGTGTCCACATGGTGTCTGTGTCACATGGTCTCTGTGTATGTACACATGGTCTCTGTGTCATGTGTGTGTCCACATGGTCTCTGTGTCACATGTGTCCACATGGTCTATATATCACATGTGTGTCCACATGGTCTCTGTCACATATGTGTCCACATGGTCTCTGTGTCACATGTGTGTCCACATGGTCTTTGTGTCACATGGTCTCTGTGTCATGTGTGTGTCCACATGGTCTCTGTGTCACGTGTGTCCACATGGTCTCTATGTTCACATGGTCTCTGTGTCCACATGGTCTCTGTGTCACATATGTGTCCACATGGTCTCTGTGTCACATGTGTGTCCACATGGTCTTTGTGTCACATGGTCTCTGTGTCATGTGTGTGTCCACATGGTCACTGTGTCACGTGTGTCCACATGGTCTCTATGTTCACATGGTCTCTGTGTCCACATGGTCTCTGTGTCACATATGTGTCCACATGGTCTCTGTGTCACATGTGTGTCCACATGGTCTTTGTGTCACATGGTCTCTGTGTCATGTGTGTGTCCACATGGTCTCTGTGTCACGTGTGTCCACATGGTCTCTATGTTCACATGGTCTCTGTGTCCACATGGTCTCTGTGTCACATATGTGTCCACATGGTCTCTGTGTCACATGTGTGTCCACATGGTCTTTGTGTCACATGGTCTCTGTGTCATGTGTGTGTCCACATGGTCACTGTGTCACGTGTGTCCACATGGTCTCTATGTTCACATGGTCTCTGTGTCCACATGGTCTCTGTGTCACATATGTGTCCACATGGTCTCTGTGTCACATGTGTGTCCACATGGTCTTTGTGTCACATGGTCTCTGTGTCATGTGTGTGTCCACATGGTCTCTGTGTCACGTGTGTCCACATGGTCTCTATGTTCACATGGTCTCTGTGTCCACATGGTCTCTCTGTCACATGTGTCCACATGGTCTCTGTGTCAGATTGTCTCTGTGTCACATGGTGTCAGCACAACCATCAGCTTAATTTTTTTACCTGTTTTCTCTGATTTTGAACAAAAAAACGAATGTATCAATATTTGCTGCGTTATGTTAGCATTAGCGTTATGTTAGCATTAGCGTTATGTTAGCATTAGCGTTATGTTAGCATTAGCGTTATGTTAGCATTAGCGTTATGTTAGCATTAGCGTTATGTTAGCATTAGCGTTATGTTAGCATTAGCGTTATGTTAGCATTAGCGTTATGTTAGCATTAGCGTTATGTTAGCATTAGCGTTATGTTAGCATTAGCTTTATCTTAGCATTAGCGTTATATTAGCATTAGCTTTATAGTAGCAATAGTGCTATGTTAGCATTAGCGTTATGTTAGCATTAGCGTTATGTTAGCATTAGCTTTATCTTAGCATTAGCGTTATATTAGCATTAGCTTTATAGTAGCAATAGTGCTATGTTAGCATTAGCGTTATGTTAGCATTAGTTGTATATAGCATTAGCGTTATGTTAGCATTAGCTTTATGTTAGCATTAGTTGTATATAGCATTAGCTCCTCCTCCAGTAATAGTCTCTTGTTTTTGCCATACCATATAACACATGATCATAAATGTTATTCAAAACGTGTTTATTTGGTATTAAAGATGTCTTTGTGGGCTTTCATGTTCAAGACCTGCTTTGTGTTTCGCTCCAGCCATGCTGCAACCAATCAGAGAGGAGCAAAGTGGTCACGGGACTCCACAGGTCAAAACAGGAAGATGACGCGAAAACAACATGAGCTAAAGCAGGACTACACCAGGACTAAAGCAGGACTACTGCAGGACTACGGCAGGACTAAAGCAGGACTACACCAGGACTAAAGCAGGACTACTGCAGGACTAAAGCAGGACTACGGCAGGACTAAAGCAGGTCTAAAGCAGGACTAAAGCAGGACTACTGCAGGACTAAAGCAGGACTACGGCAGGACTAAAGCAGGACTACACCAGGACTAAAGCAGGACTACTGCAGGACTAAAGCAGGACTACTGCAGGACTAAAGCAGGACTACACCAGGACTAAAGCAGGACTACTGCAGGACTAAAGCAGGACTACGGCAGGACTAAAGCAGGTCTAAAGCAGGACTAAAGCAGGACTACTGCAGGACTAAAGCAGGACTACGGCAGGACTAAAGCAGGACTACACCAGGACTAAAGCAGGACTACTGCAGGACTAAAGCAGGACTACTGCAGGACTAAAGCAGGACTACACCAGGACTAAAGCAGGACTACACCAGGACTAAAGCAGGACTACTGCAGGACTAAAGCAGGACTACGGCAGGACTAAAGCAGGACTACACCAGGACTAAAGCAGGACTACTGCAGGACTAAAGCAGGACTACGGCAGGACTAAAGCAGGACTACACCAGGACTAAAGCAGGACTACTGCAGGACTAAAGCAGGACTACGGCAGGACTAAAGCAGGACTACACCAGGACTAAAGCAGGACTACTGCAGGACTAAAGCAGGACTACGGCAGGACTAAAGCAGGACTACACCAGGACTAAAGCAGGACTACTGCAGGACTAAAGCAGGACTACTGCAGGACTAAAGCAGGACTACTGCAGGACTAAAGCAGGACTACACCAGGACTAAAGCAGGACTACTGCAGGACTAAAGCAGGACTACTGCAGGACTAAAGCAGGACTACTGCAGGACTAAAGCAGGACTACTGCAGGACTAAACCAGAACTAAAGCAGGACTACTGCAGGACTAAAGCAGGACTACTGCAGGACTAAACCAGAACTAAAGCAGGACTACTGCAGGACTACACCAGGTCTAAAGCAGGACTATAGCAGGAGTAAACCAGGACTATAACCAGGACTAAAGCAGGACTATAGCAGGACTAAAGCAGGACTACACCAGGACTAAAGCAGGACTACTGCAGGACTAAAGCAGGACTACGGCAGGACTAAAGCAGGACTACACCAGGACTAAAGCAGGACTACTGCAGGACTAAAGCAGGACTACGGCAGGACTAAAGCAGGACTACACCAGGACTAAAGCAGGACTACACCAGGACTAAAGCAGGACTACTGCAGGACTAAAGCAGGACTACTGCAGGACTAAAGCAGGACTACACCAGGACTAAAGCAGGACTACTGCAGGACTAAAGCAGGACTACACCAGGACTAAAGCAGGACTACACCAGGACTAAAGCAGGACTACACCAGGACTAAAGCAGGACTACTGCAGGACTAAAGCAGGACTACGGCAGGACTAAAGCAGGACTACACCAGGACTAAAGCAGGACTACTGCAGGACTAAAGCAGGACTACTGCAGGACTAAAGCAGGACTACGGCAGGACTAAAGCAGGACTACACCAGGACTAAAGCAGGACTACTGCAGGACTAAAGCAGGACTACGGCAGGACTAAAGCAGGACTACACCAGGACTAAAGCAGGACTACTGCAGGACTAAAGCAGGACTACTGCAGGACTAAAGCAGGACTACTGCAGGACTAAAGCAGGACTACACCAGGACTAAAGCAGGACTACTGCAGGACTAAAGCAGGACTACTGCAGGACTAAAGCAGGACTACTGCAGGACTAAAGCAGGACTACTGCAGGACTAAACCAGAACTAAAGCAGGACTACTGCAGGACTAAAGCAGGACTACTGCAGGACTAAACCAGAACTAAAGCAGGACTACTGCAGGACTACACCAGGTCTAAAGCAGGACTATAGCAGGAGTAAACCAGGACTATAACCAGGACTAAAGCAGGACTATAGCAGGACTAAAGCAGGACTACACCAGGACTAAAGCAGGACTAAACCTGGACTAAACCAGGACTACAGCAGGACTAAAGCAGGACTAAACCAGGACCACACAGGACTAAAGCAGGACTAAACCAGGTCTAAAGCAGGTCTAAAGCAGGACTATAGCAGGAGTAAACCAGGACTAAAGCAGGACTACACCAGGACTAAACCAGGACTAAAGCAGGACTACTGCAGGACTAAAGCAGGACTACTGCAGGACTAAACCAGAACTAAAGCAGGACTACTGCAGGACTAAAGCAGGACTACTGCAGGACTAAACCAGAACTAAAGCAGGACTACTGCAGGACTAAAGCAGGACTACACCAGGACTAAAGCAGGACTACTGCAGGACTAAAGCAGGACTACTGCAGGACTAAAGCAGGACTACTGCAGGACTAAAGCAGGACTACTGCAGGACTAAACCAGAACTAAAGCAGGACTACTGCAGGACTAAAGCAGGACTACTGCAGGACTAAACCAGAACTAAAGCAGGACTACTGCAGGACTACACCAGGTCTAAAGCAGGACTATAGCAGGAGTAAACCAGGACTATAACCAGGACTAAAGCAGGACTATAGCAGGACTAAAGCAGGACTACACCAGGACTAAAGCAGGACTAAACCTGGACTAAACCAGGACTACAGCAGGACTAAAGCAGGACTAAACCAGGACCACACAGGACTAAAGCAGGACTAAACCAGGTCTAAAGCAGGTCTAAAGCAGGACTATAGCAGGAGTAAACCAGGACTAAAGCAGGACTACACCAGGACTAAACCAGGACTAAACCAGGACTAAAGCAGGACTATAGCAGTCGGCAAGAAAATAATCTTTCAAAACTGGAAATCCAAAAAATCATGGCACATCACTCACTGGACCAGCCTCCTCAAAGATCAGCTCACAAACACAACACTGTCTCAGCCTTTCCTGAAGCATGAACCCTTCATAACCTGCCTCCAACTCACTCAACCAGCACCCACACTCTCACAACCAGCACCCACACTCTCACAACCAGCACCCACACTCTCACAACCAGCACCCACACTCTCACAACCAGCACCCACACTCTCACAACCAGCACCCACACTCTCACAACCAGCACCCACACTCTCACAACCAGCACCCACACTCTCACAACCAGCACCCACACTCTCACAACCAGCACCCACACCTCACAACCCACCCACTCTCACAACCACACCCACACTCTCACACCACACACCAGCACCCACACTCACTCAACCAGCACCCACACTCTCACAACCAGCACCCACACTCTCACAACCAGCACCCACACTCTCACAACCAGCACCCACACTCACACAACCAGCACCCACACTCTCACAACCAGCACCCACACTCTCACAACCAGCACCCACACTCTCACAACCAGCACCCACACTCTCACAACCAGCACCCACACTCTCACAACCAGCACCCACACTCTCACAACCAGCACCCACACTCTCACAACCAGCACCCACACTCTCACACACCAGCACCCACACTCACTCAACCAGCACCCACACTCTCACAACCAGCACCCACACTCACTCAACCAGCACCCCCACACTCACTCAACCAGCACCCACACTCTCACAACCAGCACCCACACTCTCACAACCAGCACCCACACTCTCACAACCAGCACCCACACTCTCACAACCAGCACCCACACTCTCACAACCAGCACCCACACTCTCACACCACACCCACACTCTCACAACCAGCACCCACACTCTCACAACCAGCACCCACACTCTCACAACCAGCACCCACACTCTCACAACCAGCACCCACACTCTCACAACCAGCACCCACACTCACTCAACCAGCACCCACACTCTCACAACCAGCACCCACACTCTCACAACCAGCACCCCACACTCTCACAACGCACCCACACTCTCACAACCAGCACCCACACTCTCACAACCAGCACCCACACTCTCACAACCAGCACCCACACTCTCTCAACCAGCACCCACACTCTCACAACCAGCACCCACACTCTCACAACCAGCACCCACACTCTCACAACCAGCACCCACACTCACTCACCAACCACACCCACACTCTCACAACCAGCACCCACACTCACTCAACCAGCACCCACACTCTCACAACCAGCACCCACACTCACTCAACCAGCACCCACACTCTCACAACCAGCACCCACACTCACTCAACCAGCACCCACACTCTCACAACCAGCACCCACACTCTCACAACCAGCACCCACACCTCAACCACACCACAACCAGCACCCACACTCTCACAACCAGCACCCACACTCTCACAACCAGCACCCACACTCTCACAACCAGCACCCACACTCTCACAACCAGCACCCACACTCTCACAACCAGCACCACACTCTCACAACCAGCACCCACACTCTCACAACCAGCACCCACACTCCACAACCAGCACCCACACTCACACCAGCACCCCACTCTCAACCAGCACCCACACTCACTCAACCAGCACCCACACTCACTCAACCAGCACCCACACTCTCTCAACCAGCACCCACACTCTCACAACCAGCACCCACACTCTCACAACCAGCACCCACACTCTCACAACCAGCACCCACACTCTCACAACCAGCACCCACACTCTCACAACCAGCACCCACACTCTCACACACACACCACACACTCTCACAACCAGCACCCACACTCTCACAACCAGCACCCACACTCTCACAACCAGCACCCACACTCTCACAACCCCACCCACACTCACCAACCAGCCCCCACACTCTCACAACCAGCACCCACACTCTCACAACCAGCACCCACACTCTCACAACCAGCACCCACACTCTCACAACCAGCACCCACACTCTCACAACCAGCACCCACACTCTCACAACCAGCACCCACACTCTCACAACCAGCACCCACACTCTCACAACCAGCACCCACACTCTCACAACCAGCACCCACACTCTCACAACCAGCACCCACACCCACTCACAACCACACCCACACTCTCACAACCAGCACCCACACCACTCAACCAGCACCCACACTCTCACAACCAGCACCCCCACTCACTCACTCAACCAGCACCCACACTCTCACAACCAGCACCCACACTCACTCAACCAGCACCCACACTCTCACAACCAGCACCCACACTCACTCAACCAGCACCCACACTCTCACAACCAGCACCCACACTCACTCAACCAGCACCCACACTCTCACAACCAGCACCCCACACTCACTCAACCAGCACCCACACTCTCACAACCAGCACCCACACTCACTCAACCAGCACCCACACTCTCACAACCAGCACCCACACTCTCACAACCAGCACCCACACTCTCACAACCAGCACCCACACTCTCACAACCAGCACCCACACTCTCACAACCAGCACCCACACTCTCACAACCAGCACCCACACTCTCACAACCAGCACCCACACTCTCACAACCAGCACCCACACTCTCACAACCAGCACCCACACTCACTCAACCAGCACCCACACTCTCACAACCAGCACCCACACTCACTCAACCAGCACCCACACTCACTCAACCAGCACCCACACTCACACAACCAGCACCCACACTCTCACAACCAGCACCCACACTCTCACAACCAGCACCCACACTCTCACAACCAGCACCCACACTCTCACAACCAGCACCCACACTCTCACAACCAGCACCCACACTCTCACAACCAGCACCCACACTCTCACAACCAGCACCCACACTCTCACAACCAGCACCCACACTCTCACAACCAGCACCCACACTCTCACAACCAGCACCCACACTCACTCAACCAGCACCCACACTCTCACAACCAGCACCCACACTCTCACAACCACACCCACACTCTCACAACCAGCACCCACACTCTCACAACCAGCACCCACACTCTCACAACCAGCACCCACACTCTCACAACCAGCACCCACACTCTCACAACCAGCACCCACACTCACTCAACCAGCACCCACACTCTCACAACCAGCACCCACACTCTCACAACCAGCACCCACACTCTCACAACCAGCACCCACACTCACTCAACCAGCACCCA